ATCTATCGTGTCATATTTATCATTACACGTCCTAATCGATGAAATTAATACCCATGCGAACCCAACAAAAAATTGCGTTTGTGAATCTAGCAGTGTCAAATTAAAAAAAAAAACAACTTAAATCCTACTTCCTCAAAACAACAAACTATTGAATATTAATACCACTCCTATCGTATATCACACGATTATGTTCAAAGCTGTATAGCTTTCGTAGTTAATAACCTTTTAATAGGTTTAATTTTTTTGTTTGCAGTCACTTTTATTGTGCACTATGCGGGCATAGTGTGTCTATTTTATGTCTAGGAAAAATGCTATTTTATTGCTGTTATTAAGTTTTACTGCCTGTATCATTGAAGTACTGTAACTGAAAGCCATCTTGAGGTATTACAGGAAAAGTTAATAGTATTTATATACAAGGGAAGGTCAGAAATATGGCAAATATAGAATTTTTGTAAAAAAATAATAATTAAGTAACCGATTTATTTTACAATTATTTCTTATTATCGGTCCATACAATAATCGATTGTGATTTGTCGGAAGTGGGCTATAGCCCCTTATAAGGAGTGGTTTTAGGTAAAAATTATTTTTTTGTTTTGAAACAAAAATATATTTTTTTTGATTCCTCCAATTTTTTTATATTTTTTGGTACTGCTTGAAAGAGCTTTCTCAGTAAATTTTGAGATTTTTTTGATCACGGGTTCAGAAGATATAAAATTTTCAAAAAAACTGCTTTTTTTTGTTTTTCGCTCATAACTTCTTAAAAAATAGTCCAAATCAAAATGTTCTTTCTATATAAAATTTTCGTTTTTAAATGTACTTTTCAAAAAAAATATATTGAAAATATTTGAAGCGTTTTAAGTTAAGATTTTTGAGTTTTAAAGTTTAAATCGTGTTTTTAAAAATGTACATTTAAAATACACACACACGTGTGTCTTTTTCGATTTTCGCGAAATTTTTTTATTTTCAACTTCTATCTACTCAACAACTATTCAGCCTGGTCCGGTAGTGGGCCTTCCCTAATTACTATTTTTTTTTTCGAAACAATAATTTTTAGAGAATTTTTTTTTAATTTTGAAAAATTAAAAAAAATAGTAATTATGGATGGCCCACTACCGGACCAGGCGGAATAGTTTTTTTTTCAAAAGTACATTTAAAAACGAAAATTTTATATAGAATGAACATTTTGATTTGGACCATTTTTTAAGAAGTTATGTTATAAACACTAGAAAGTCATTTTTGACTAATTCATTTTACCAAGGAATCCACTATTACATTTTCCCCATTACATTACTCCATTTCTGGTATGTTATCTTTGGGTGTTAAATTTAAGTATACTATAAAAACAATTATTTTGCAATATTTCACAAGGTGACTTATTTTAATTCATACGCAAATTAAAAAAAAAGTCCATTAATATTTTAGATAAGAGGTCGCTTGTCTAATGGAGGCTATCATTTTATTGCCAAAATCGTATACGATCAATTAACAAAATTAAGCAATGAGATAATGTTTATAGAAAATTAAATAAATCATGATATTATTTTGCAAGTATTTGCCGACAAAGATTATTCAGTATTATAATAATATATTTTTTGATTTTTTTTATAGTATACTATAAAAAAAATCAAAAAATATATCTACCCAATGAGGTTGTTGGGGGGGGGGGAATCCATCTGATCTAATACATTAAATTCACTTTTTGGTTTCGTAAGTAACTAAAAATTATATAATTTTTGATTGAAACAGGAAATCATTACTTTCGAGATAAGCTATTTAAGATAAGATATTTTTATGAAATAGGTTAAAAAGTCATTTTTTATTAATGAACCATTACCGTTTTACCCATCTATCAATCAAACCAATTAAATGCGATCAAACTTGTGCAACCTCTCATCATATACATTTATAACCCGATACCAAGATATCAACAACAAAAAACCTACCAACAAGCATGCTTGATTAATACTCGTCGAATTCTCCATTTGTGGTTTCCAAGCCAACGGGTTCGTTTTTCAAACGATAATGTTACCAACATGATGAACTTATAATTAATCTAATTGAGTGTAATAAATTGCAATTAAGGGAATTAATACTTGTGCATGTTATGTGGGAAAAACAAGTTTATTGCGGTGACATACATTTCACTGTCTTAAGATTATCTTTATTGAGTTTTGATTATGGGACTTTAACAGAACAATTGTACAGGGTGTTTAAATGAAATATATTGTAAAGCACTTTCAAGGATTGATTTATTCTTATTTGTAATTTAAATTAATACTTATTTGAAGGATATAGGGAGTTGAATGCAAGAACTAACCTATACTTATTTGGATATAATTTCAATGTTAAGTGCAAGGGTAAAGTTATTCTTATTTCAAGAAAAACTATCAAATTGTTTTAAATGCAAGCACCCTCAAATAAAATATACACTATTCTTAATTTAAGAATAAGTATTTTTTGATACAAATGTTATAATTCTTGGCGATAAAATATTTACTTTTGGATTAAATATAAGGTAGGTATCTTTATGTAAGTTAGGCACTAATTGTTTTAAATATTGTCTATTCTTTTTTTAACTTTTGCTCATGGCATGGTCATTATATCCTAACCTTTAAAGTCGAGCAAAAGTTAAAAAAAGAATAGACAATATTTGAAACAATTATTGCTTAACTTAACCTGAAAAAATGATGTTGGTCTATAGCATTGTCTTTATTAAGTACATAACTTTTTTATAATTTTTTAAATACCTATCTACCTTAATATACATATGTATATAATATATACTGCAATGATTTTTTCAAACCTTCAGACACGTTAATTTTGTTTGCGAGACGGGCATTTTTTGGCTATATTGGCCCGTTTAACCAAAATTTTTATTCGTACCTATAATCTAGAGGTAAAATATACATATGTGATTCTTCGGCCAACCTAATATCACTCCAACATCTAAAATTCAATACATAATACTACACACATAAATATAAGTATGTAATAATTATTACCTACACATACATTTAGTGGTTTATACTATCAATTTCCACTAATTTAGCAGCTCTTTCATAATTCCAAACCAAATATTAACTAACACAAGAAACAATCTTCCAAAATGTCGGACACTTTCGTGAGTGGGGGATACTTTTAAGAATAGTCCAGTCGTACCAATATTTACTAATCTTAGAATAAATATAATTATATTTATATCCAGTATTGTTTAATATCTTTAAGAACAGAATAGAGGAAATTTTCCAAAATTTGGTGTAATCGATTGTTAATCTTAAATTAAGAATAAGATTATTTCATTTTAAAAAAAGTTTTTTTTAACATTTTTAACAGCCTGAGGGGGGTCTCACGCACGCCGCCTTACCCTTCTAACGATGCTGCATTTTAATGAATATTAATAGGCCTTCGCTTAATTTAAGAGACGGCGTGTTACCTGTTATTCTAATCCTATTAGTCTAAAACCCCCTTTCGGCATCAAATTAACTTAAATAGGTATCGTGTTTCAAAAATTAGCTGGAAGATTTATGCCCAATCATTGGGCCCCAATCATTTCCAGGAACGGAGAAAAAATTACAGTATTTGTGCGATAGTTCAGCTGAAATTGTTACAGAGATCGTGTACGACCTTGAGTCGAATTATTTTACAATAATTATTTTAGTTAAAGTCATCCCATATAAAAACGTCCAATCGGTTTAGATTTTGATAGAAAACAATATGAAAAAATATGCTTTTAAAATTTGTCATTTTTATGCCCCTATTATTGAGCTTCAACTTTTTTGTATTATAAAAATGTTACTATTAGTTTAATTTTATTTAAATTTAAATTTTATTGAAATGTTTTTTTTCATGGATAACTTGACAGAATAAATTTTTGTAGTTATTATTGTGCATTTTTCTACTTAAAATTTTTCAATAAAATTTAGTATAGGGTCGTTTTGAGGGGAGGTGAATCCAGTGCCATGCTTAGATTTTGTTTAAAAAATCGCTAATATGAATTCTTAAAAATTTACTCCTAAAATCTGACATAGTAGGCCTTGTATTTTGTAAAATATAGCGGTTATCAAGATATACACTTTAAAACAAATCCGGTTAAAATCGCGCAATAAATAAAGATTTTACAGGGGTGACTCGCAAACAAATGGGTCACACTGTATATAGCAACCTGTTGGTAAATTTACAGGGTTATTTTTTAGTTCATAGTAACCTTAAAAAATGTGAATGGTTTAAATTTCATTTACTTAAAAAATATTTTGTACATGAAAACAATGAACAATGAACCAATGAAAATTCGCTAATATTTATTTGATACCTAAAATATTATCCTACCTTTTTTTTTAACCAAATTCCAAACTTTTTGTATTGTTTTAATATTATAATTACAATTTCTATTTTTGATGCGTGTATATTTAATCAAAAAAACTGTTATCCAACATTCTACTAACCTTGACTCGGTAGTAATCTATATATCTAAATTCCTAAAATAATATATATGTATGTATTATTGTTTTGTACCAACTTTATTTAAGAATATTCTCCATTGCAACAAATAATCGGGGGTAAAGACCTTTTAACAACAAGTCGTAAACTGAATAATCATTTAATTAATTGTGGTCCACGCGGCTAACCCTGGGACACACCAGTCGATATTTCGTCAATGATTCGTATACAATGCCATCCCAGAACCATACGATAAAACTTATCTTAAGTACACATACATAATTAATTTATATTTATATCAGAGATAATTACGAAAAATATAATTTGTAGTCACTTCTACGAAGTGACTGGGCCTATACAGAGCTCGACGTAATTACAGTGATATTTTCTAGTGGTATAGTAAATTTTATTGCAGTGCCTGTTGAAGTTATTTATACAACTCGATTTTAATTGCAGGGCTATCGAGACTACCAGAAAGGTGCAAGATCTGCTGTTGAGTGAATAGAGTTAAAAAAGAATTGTCGTGTGGTTAAATTTTCGAATTTTGATGCTGCCAGGTTATTATGGATATAACCCACGACCAAATTCATCCCAACCCTAGGGACAAGGCCAATCCACTTAGTATATTATTTTTTTCGTAAGTATTTTTTTATTATCGGATTTGTTTTCAAAGTTAAGTTAAGTATTTAATTTTTTTAATTTAAATAAAAAAAATCATGTAAATTGTTTTTACATCTGAAAGGGTGGTTTCATGTATGGGACACCCCTAATTTTTTTTATTTTAACAGGTGTCAAAAATTTAGAGTTTCAATAAAATCAAATATTATTTTATATTGGAAAAATACTAAATATCTAAAGCTATCAAGTAAATCTACCGGGTATTCTACATACTATTAAATATAACAAAATATTATCAATATTTAAATTTTTTAACGCACAATTTTGTATTGGATAAGATAAAAATAAATCCTTAATATATATCAGATAAAGCAATACTTATCTGAAAACGTCATTTTTTTAATCAATATTTAATATATTAATTTCATTAAGTAATTAATGACATATTCTATCGATAAGATTGTACATAAAAGCACCTGTTATCAAAAAAACGCATAAACATAACATTATTAAACAATAAACACTATGACACACCTTTCAACATTCATTAAATTATTTTTTTAAATTTCAAACCATCATTTTTGAATAAAAATAATTTCTTTTATTATTTAGTATTTATTAATTAATTTATTTGGGCAGAATTTTGTACATCATACATAAAATTTTTATAAAATTATTTAGATTAAATTGGTAAAGTTAAATTTTTTTGTATTTAAAAATAGTGTCGAAACATTTAAAATAAAAACACATAAAACATTTTCTACCAAAACAGTTTAAAAAGTTAATTTTTTTAATCAAAAAATATTTTAAATATAAAATACATGTAAAAGTTTAAAATATTGGTTATTAAAAAATGTGTTTTCACATTTTTTTCTATAAAATTATTGGTTTAAATTTGTAAAAAATCATTTAAATGATAGTCGATAAATTTTTAATCCAAAAATTACCACTTTAAAATTTAAAACTTACATTTAAATGTAATGTGAAAATTTTTGGGCTAAAAAGTATCATTTAAATGACTCTTTACAAATACATAATAAATAATAATATATAATCCGAAAATTTGATAGAATATATTTGAACCAAAATTTTTTAAAATCAATCAGTTTTAGTTGTATTTTATATTTAAAATTTTTTTGACTATTAATTATTTTGGGTTTAAAAAAATATAACTTTTTAATCTTCAAACTATTATCTAATAAATGCTAAAACAGCGTGCCATACATAACTAATAATAAAATATAACCTGTCATAGATATCCACCTATAACAATTTCTGATAAACTATCATATATGATTATATATAAGAAAATGTACGTCTATTTCTATAACTAAACATATGAAAGTTGTATTGGCACATGTCCAAAACATTTAAATGCGTCGAATCCTCAATTATTTATGTTCCCTTGATTTTCAAAGAAAAGTAGGCTCTCAAATTAAATAATTGTTTAGTTTTTAACCAAAATAAACAAACAGTCAGCTTTTATACGACTTCTTGAGTGAAATGCTTCAGACGGCACTATATTTTAATTTTTAACCACTGTGTTTTAAATTTTGGATTGGGCAGTTTTTAACGACCCGAAACCTTAATTTTATGTGCAGTTTTCAACTACCCGATTTTAAATAATTTAAATGTAAGGGCAGATTTCAATTATCCCTAAAACCGGCAACACCGCTAACGCGTTACATCTCACGCGTGATGCCTAGTAAACATAGTTGTTTACCCATAAAACTACACATTGTTTTCGTATTTAATCAAGATAATGACGTTTTTTTGTATGATTCCATTTAACAAGTAAAAAGTAAATAATACTATCTATTTAAAATTTTTCTTATATTTACTATCAAACATTAATTTAAAGAAATACACAGTACCAACCTAATTAATGTTAAGACTCTTTAAACATTAAATGTTTGTTTGTTTAAGTTTTAATTTATTACAGAATTGTGCCTGGTAATGTATATAAATCTAAAAATAAGGTTGATTATTTAACAAGGGATTGTTGCGTTTTATAAAATGTAATAAATCCTGGTCTACTTAAGCTTCACCCAATGTTTTTATATCCAAAATCCTTTTTGTGTGTTCACATTTTCGAATATCACCCCAGATGTTTTCTGAATTATTTATGTGTACACAAGAGGTGCTATGTCAATAAGGATGACATTTTTATCAGCATCGAAAAAAATAGTTGGATGTCATACAGATATTACCGAGTTAATGAGGTTTTAAATTTTTGAAGATTTATATATTTGTTTTATGATGTGGGAAATTTAGTTGAGGGGTTGTCACTTTTGATAAATTGCAAAAACAGGTCCTATATTTTTGTAAGGAAATATGGGATTTTGGACCACCCATGGGAGTTTTTGATTGTTTTGTTTCAAATTATTGATTTTCCTAATATACAGGGCTGTGTCGGTTCGTGAGTGTATAGGAGGGCCACCATAATAATAAAATAATAAACTAAATAATAAACTTTACTAATCGAGACAAAAACTATAAAAATTCAGACAACAATTTTAAACAATTTAATTCAAATCAAAACAAAAACACCCGCTCTACACACACTGCCATCCACCACATCTTCAGTCATGTTATATAAAACCACCAATTAGAGCTCACCATTACTTGCTTTGCTATTATTGTAGCTAGTCACTTAAATTGCCAATTGCTGGTATTTTTTTCTGATTAAAATGGTTAAAATAGAAAATTCCGAAATATTCACAAAAATAATTTTTTTTTAATTAAACACCCTGTGTATTTTTACTTATTTTAAAAGACATATTAATTTTAAGCATAATTTCATAACTACCTTAAACTTAAAAATAAATAATTAATAACACTCTTCCAGATGCAGAAACGCATTGATAAATATAGTTATTATTTGTCAAAAAAAAACATATACAATTTACAAAAACGTTTTGTAGTATTAATTAAACCCTAATGGAATTATTCATAGAAATTTTGTAAATTTTACAAATCCCTTTTCGTTTAAAATAAAACTTTTTTTTATAATATTAAAAAAATTTATGTAAATTTAACAACAAATTAATTGTTAATTCAATAAACTATTTTCATTGTAACAATGGTCACATTTTCAACCTACTGTTGGGTGTTGGGTAGATTTTTTTTAAATAATTGCAAGACATTAAAACAAATTATTTATTATAACAAAAAAATTAACTCATATAATATGATGTACAAAATAAGTTATGCAAAAAAATTTTTTTGTTCCAAATTAAAATATGTAAAAATATACAGGCTGTTATTTTCTTGAATATTTCGGAAACCCGACGTTCAATTGTTTTTCTGTTTTCACCATTTTAATAGAAAGAAAAAATGCCACAAATCTACTCATTTAACCGACTTTCTAGCAGCAATAATAACCGAGTTAGCAATGATGCAGACAAAATATTTAAAACTTTTTCTTTTTGAATCACCCTAAAAGCCAGATAAGTATCTAACTAAAATATTAGTAGTACATTAAGTATTTAGGTAGGTACCTATTTAATATTTATTACTGTAGGTATTTTTAAAGTAGGAAGTAGTAGGTATAATAAAATAATACCCAGTTTAGGTCAAATCTCACGTTCAAAGCGTTGTATTAAATTAAACAGGGCACGTAAATTTTTGTCTAAACTTCTGAATATTGAATTTTAAAAATGGCAAAAACGTGTTTACTTCCCCAAAACTATTTTTCTTGTAAAAACGGTAGTTATTACCATTATTCTTTATACGGTGTGTCTCGAAATTTTTTTATTTTTGGTTGTTTTACTGTTAGTCCAGAATGGGGTTTTTGGGAAGCCACCAGGTCTACATACATTTTTAATATTAGAGCTTCACGGAAGATAGCTTCACGGAGGTTAGGATTTTGTTGTTTTTTTTAACATCCCTTTACGGTGGATAGGTTTTAAAATAGCAAATCAATGAACTTAAAATTTTGAATTATAAAACAGCAACACTCTCATCTGCATATAAATTCCAACTGACCTTCAGGAATCACATTCATCTATAATGTCGTAAACAGAGGTTTTTGCTTATTTAAAATGATTATAGCGCCATCCGTTGCATAAAATTTAAAGAAAAAACAGATTCACTGAGGATAGAATCAATTTTTGTAACACCTACATAAATGGTTATACAAATTATTTCTTTTAATTTTTAAAAATATTTTATATTTGATTCGATTGCTTTGGATGTGTTTAGTTTACTTAGTAAACTGATATTTTTAGTATGCTTTTACTACCTCAGATATTTGAAAACATATAGGTTAACCTAGAAAGAGTAACAGTCACGGAGGATAGGTTTTAGATTTTTAAAACATTATAAAAAATAATTAATTGCGGTTAAAATATTCACCCACCTACAAAACAATTTTTTGACCCATTGTCACGATATTTTTGACCATCAATAAAATACCAGATAATATTAGATAAACGAAGGGTTAAGGCAGGTAGTCTTATCATATTTAGACACAAAATGACTAACCTCATTAATTTCAAACGCTCGTTAAACAAAAATATTGCTTACTTCACAAAGATAAAAAATTAAAATCACCGATAAAAAACGTGTTCTGCCCCACAGTGCGCCTTAAAAAAAGTGTTTTATTTTGTTTATCTCTTCCCCATTATATCAAGACCGACATGGATTAGAACCCTTCCGCCTTAAATTGTGGTTGCATTCGCTTTTTTTATTTTAATCTTTTCATCACGTCTGCCTTGGTTTTAAGCCTTTTTATTGGGCCCTCTTTACGATTCAAATAACATTAAGACTGTGTCTGTACGGAAATACCCTTTTATAAATAAAAGGGGTTGACATATAGTAAATAACATTTTTGTTGTAATAGAATTACAATCAATTAAACATAGTTACTACATTATAATATTTTTTATTCTCGGGAGTACCTCAGGGTTCTAATCTAGGTCCACTTCAAACCTGGTATTTAAAATTGAAAACTGACCTCCCTGTATATAAAATTATTATATATTAAGGAAGTTATATTCGGCACAGGATAAAGGTACAAAAGGATTACCTTACTGGGATTTCCTCGAAAAAGAATGAATTCTATAGAGTAAATCCAGCTGCCTCTAATTATGATCGATTCATTTAACAGGGCAAGAACAATTTTATGTTTCAAATTAAATTGTCTATTAAAATATAAGTAAAATATACATTTAAAAAAAATGTTATTTTCGTGAATATTTCAGAAACCCGACGTTCAATTGTTTTTTTGTTTTCACCATTTTGATCGGAAGAAAAAATTTCACCATATTGCTAGTTTAACCGACTTTCTAGCACCAATATTAACGGAGTTAGCGATGGCGAAGAAAAAAATTTTAAACTTATTTTTTGAATCACGTTAAAACTTCAGAGTTGTAAAACTAAAAATATAATAAAAATTCAATATTAGTATTTACTTAAATTAAGTAATAAATCTCCAAAGCAGACTATTTTACTTAAATTCTGCTTTTATTAAACTTAATTAAAGTAAACAGACCACTTATATTTCATTGCTATATCTTATAATCTCAGGTTGCATTTTTAAAACGTAAAGTAGGTACCTACTACAATTAATGTAATTGTATATTATTATTATGATGTTACCTAATAAGTACATTTGTTTTTTTAGATTTAATATTAAATAGATAGTAGGTATTCTTTTTTAAAACAATAGTATTAAAATATACATGAGATAAAAACATTTTATTTAGTTTCATTAAAAATTAAAAACAAGTTTTTAAGCCCAGCTTTTAATAATTTATTAATAGATACTATATTTATTTCTAGCCATTTTTAATAATTATTTTTTTCATAGATTCTTATATATTAAGAGTTTAAACAATATTGTTGTTTTTATATTAAGAATAATAAATTTATGTTTTTTTTGTTATAACAAAGATTATTTAAAAAAACATTTATGACTTGGTCATATTTTAAAACAAAAGCAAAATGACAAATTTGGGAATTTTTAATTATTTATTATTTACATACTAATTATTACAATGATTCATGAGAAGTCACATGCATTTATTTATATAAATTATTTTAAAATTAGTGAAATTTCGAGATTATTAATTTTTTCAGATACACAATAGGAATATTCAAAAAAGGCTACAGAAAAGATTTGGAAGCTGAAGATCTTTACAATCCTTTGAAAAGTGATAAAAGTACAATCCTAGGAGACAGATTAGAAAAGTAAGTAATTTTTTTCTAAAATTGAATTGGGGTCATGAAATAAACCATGTAATATAATATAAACCCAATACAGCTGCAAAAATACCCACTATCACAACATAAGAAATTCTTCAAAAAATATCCCGATAAAACACTAAACATCTGGTTGAAATGGAGATGTTGGGTCGGAGTATCTACCTATAAAGGGTATCAAATTTTGCATTTTGCAGATGAGAAATTATATTTTTAAACGTTGGGTCATTAAGGAAATATTTAGATGATGCCATCTTGATAATATTATTTGCATTACCTATTTAAATTTGGATTTTATACTTTTCACAGTAGGTAAATTTAGCTAACCAATTTACAACGAATATAAAAAGATTGTGTCAATATCAACTTCAAACGGTCGAAATGTTTAAAAATTTAAGAATTTTAATTTTTAAAAAATTCTAAATCTTGAAAATTTGTCTTTCAATTTTTTATATTTACCCCGGTGTGCGAATTTTTCCTATTAATTTTAAATTTATACTACTGTGCGTATTTATCCTACCATTTTTAAATTCATCCCGCTGTGCGAATTTGTCCTATCATTTTTTAAATTCTTTCAACTGTGCACGTACATATGTCCTAACTGTAATTTGTACTTTTGGACCATATTTCAAAATTAATCAATCGGTAAATCAAATCTTTATACATATTTTTAAAGGAAATTGAATGATATACAAAAAAGGACTGATGTTTTTAAGCAATTACTTTAACCATATAAAAGATATTCAAAATCAAAGCTTGAAGAATTAAAAAAAAAATTTTGAATAATTTTTTAACCCATTGAAAAATAATTATAATATTTTTAATTTAAAAAAAATTCTACATCTTTAAAATTTGTCTTTCATTTTTTTTATATTTACCCCACTGTGCGAATTTTTTCTAATAGTTTTTAATTTCGATCTTCTGTGCGAATTTTTACTATTAATTTTAAATTTTAAACCACTGTGCGTATTTATCCTACAATTTTTAAATTTATCCCACCGTGTCCTAACTCATTGAAAAATAATTATTGTCAAATGAGGATGAAATATTTATAATTTTTAAAAAATTCTACATCTTGAACATTTGTCTTTCATTTTTTTATATTTACCCCACTGTGAACATTTTTTCCATCAATTTTTAATTTCGAACTACTGTGCGAATTTTTCCTATTAATTTTAAATTTACCCCACTGCGTATTTATCCTACCATTTTTAAATTTATCCCACTGTGCGAAATTGTCCTACCATGTTTTAAATTCATCCTACTGTGCAATTTTGTCCTCTTAATAACGATACTTCATGCTCTCCTGATACTTAAAAGTTGTCATACTTTTTATTCGCTCACATATTATGTATATATATATATATATATATATATATATTTATGTTTAAAACTTTAAGAATTTTAATTTTTGAATTTTAAAAAAATTCTAAATTTTGAAAATTTCTCTTTAAGTTTTTTATATTTACCCCACTACCCCAATAGTTTTTAATTTCGAACTACTGTGCGAATTTTTCCTATTAATTTTAAGTTTATACCACTGTGCGAATTTGTCCTACCATTTTTTAAAATTGTGCAAGTTTGTCCTACTAAATGGCGAGTTGAAAAAGCTCACATATTAATGCCTTATTCTTTACAGAAAATGGGACGCCCACCTAAAACACAGAGAAAAGCTAGGAAAAAAACCGAGCCTGGGTAGAGTGCTAGTCTCCACTTTCTGGCCTGAATACGTATACCTAGGCGTGCTCTTATGCGTGATGGATCTTGGAGTGAGATTAATCCAACCCATCTATCTTGGATACCTTTTGGATTACTTCAGACCCAACAGTGTGGTAACAGAAACTGAGGCGTTGTGGTATGCGGGTGCTGTCGTGGGAATGAACGCAGTCAGTGCCATTTTTGTGAACCAATACATCATGAACGCTTTCCATTACGGTATGAAGGTCAGGGCGGCGTGTTGCGCCCTGATATACAGAAAAGTAAGTTTTCTTAGACTGGAGAGATTAAAGACTCTAAGGTTGTATAATTTTTTAGGCTTTGAGACTTAGTAAGACTGCCTTAGGAGAGACTGCATCAGGAAAAATCGTAAATTTATTGTCGAACGATGTCAGTAGATTTGATATAGTATCAGTATTCATCCATCACATGTGGGTTGCACCATGCTCCACTTTATTCGTAATGTACTTCCTTTGGGTTAAAGCTGGATATGCCGGTATAATTGGGATCATTCCTGTGTTCTTGGTGGTCCCTTTCCAAAGTAAGTAGTACATCACTATAAATAAAAATTTCCCAACAATTTCAACTTTAGGTTACACTGGCAAACTGTCTGCAAAATACAGGAAACAAACTGCCATGAAAACCGACGAAAGAGTGAGACTGATGGACGAAATAATCACCGGAGTGCAAGTAATCAAAATGTACGCCTGGGAAAAACCGTTCGCCAAATTGATCAAGTTTGCGAGAAAAGCGGAAATCAAAATAATCACCAAGTCTTCCTACGTCAGAGGTATTTTCATGACCTTCAACCTATTCACGACCAGGGTGGCTCTGTTTTGTACTCTGGTCACCATGGCTTTGACTGATCAACCAATCACAGCGGCTAAGGTACGTCTTCTAAGCATACCACGATAAGTTACTATAAGTATAGCTGGGCTAATCTAGCTAGAGACAGTGGATTAAAATGAAAGTAAATTAAGTATAAAAAGTTTATTAAGTAAACTTATTTTCCAGATTTTCGTGTTCATGTCTTATTACAACATCCTCGCTCAAACAATGTCTTCCATGTTCGTGAGAGGTATATCGGAAGTGGCGGAATTATTCGTCGCCATAAATAGATTGCAAGACTTCATGAGCAACGAAGAATTCCTCGCTCTAAAATCCTCCTCCAATAACAACGACTTCGACTCCAAAACGGCAATCAACATGAAGAACGCCACTGTAAAATGGAATGTCGACTCTACCGATCTAGCTTTGGACCAGGTGAATTTGAACCTGCCCAAAGGGGAACTCGTTGGAATTATTGGGTTAGTGGGTGCTGGAAAAAGCTCCCTGTTGCAAACGATCCTAGGGGAAATAGAAGTGGTGGATGGCTCACTAGATATCAACGGCACAATCTCATACGCGTCCCAGGAACCGTGGATTTTCGCAGCCACAGTTCGTCAAAACATAACATTTGGCGCGCCGTACGATAAGATAAAATACAACGAGGTTATCCACGTGTGTGCTTTGGAAAAAGACTTCAAGCAATTTCCGGAAGGTGATTTGACCATCGTAGGTGACAGAGGCGCCTCTCTATCAGGTGGTCAGAAAGCCAGGATAAATTTGGCACGTGCTGTCTACAGGGAAGCCGATATTTATTTGCTCGACGACCCTCTATCAGCTGTTGACGTCCATGTAGCTACACATTTATTCGACAAGTGTATTAATGGGTACCTGAAGGATAAAACAAGAATTTTGGTCACTCATCAGGTTTATCTCTTGAAGAATGTCGACAAGATCATAATCTTGAACAACGTAAGTTAGATCTAATTTGTTTAAGCCTGGCTTCCCAAAATTTGATTCTAAGAATCTTCTAAGAAGATATGACCCGGAATAATGGAATATTCTTAGAACCTTCCCTTATTGCCAAGAATGTTCTTAGGAAACATTCAATAGATACCCTTTTAATGATGCAATTAGATTCTTAAAAGCTTCTTAAAACCTTCCTAAAAAGCATCCTAAGAACATTTTAAGAATACGTTTTTGGAATGTTCTTAGGAGCTTCTAGGAAGCTTTTGAGAATATTTCCAAATATGTCAGATACCCACGTTCTAATATGTTGTATTCTACATTTGTAAAATTCTTCAGGAGACGACAAATACGCCTCACTGTCATAATATGACAGTGAAATGTATTTGTCGTCCCCTTAAAAAAAATTGCGACATATTATTATAAATTTATTTAAAAATATTACATCAACAATTTGACCTCTAAACCATAAGTTGTATGACATTTCATAAAAAGTAAAATTGAAAAATGTTGTGGGGTAAGTCAGATTAGATTAAAGTTAAAGGAAGATAGATTATTTATACATAAAAATGTTAATTCAGAAATAAAAAATCGGTATACAAATTAATAAATATTTATTTTTAACATAAAATAAAATACCTATAGTAAAAGTATTTTTGTTATAGAATATTGTTTAATTTGACAAATAACTATAAAAAAATATTTTGGATTGTGTTTTTTACTTAGTATTTAATACTAATTACTAATTAGGTACTTAAGTATGGGTATATACCTTTATACGTAGTTTATGGTATATTTTACTATAATATAGGTAACTGAACTAAATATGCTTAACATATTCCTAAATGAACTTTCTATAGCAATTACTTTCTCAACATTCTAAACATATGTTTAGAGTAGACTAATTTTTACCACTAAAACTTTGCACCTTCTAAGAACCTGCCTATAGGCCAGTAAGAATATTCTTAGGATCATGCTATATGGCTTTTAAGCATATTCTTTAGAAGAAATATAGCATGATCCTAAGAATATTCTCACTGGAAGATTTAAAAAACTTTCTTAGAATAAACCCATACAGATGTCCATTGGACGTCAAATGGACTTACATTGGACGTTTGGATGTACAATGGTCGTCCGCTGGACGTCCAATGGATATATGTGTTGTCTGGGAAGTGTGCTATCAGGGTTAATGTATTTTTTGTAGGGAAGGGTCGATATGGAAGGCTCTTTTGATGATCTCTCAAAGAGTGACAATCTTTACGGCCAACTCTGCAAAATGGAACCCGAACAAACGCAAGTAGTCGACGAAAAAGCGGAAAACATGAAAATGCCCAGAAAAATGTCAACAAGAGTAAGTTATTTCATTTTTTTTAACTATTATAACACTACTTATAACACTTTTCTTTAGAGTGCCAACATCTCTCTTAGCAGCGCTATAAGCGAGCTGAGCATCACAGATAGCATTCTAGCGGAAGAAAACGTCGAATCAGATGAAGAACACGAAATCAAATACAAGGATCTACAAGAAGAATCCTCCAAGGGAAAAGTAGAGGGCTCCCTCTTCATGCGTTACATGAGGGCAGGAAGCAACCTATGCTTGATCACATTTGTTTTCATACTATTCCTGATGGCCCAAGTCTTTGCCAGCGGTGTTGATTACTTCGTTAGTTTCTGGGTCAACATGGAAGAAGCCAAAAACAAAACCAGTTACAACAGTACCATGGACGATGACGTGACTTCAGAACCGTTGATATTGTGGACCAAAAACATCTGCATTTACTTCTACACAGGCCTGATCGTGGGGCTGTTTGTTATCGCTTTAACTCGATCTCTAATATTCTACAAACTAGCGATGAAGTCGTCCCAAAAGCTGCACGACCAAATGTTCACGAGCATCATAGGAGCCAAAATGCGTTTCTTCGACACCAACCCAAGTGGTAGGATTTTGAACCGGTTCTCCAAAGATATAGGAGGTATCGATGAGTTGTTACCGAAGACAATTTTGGATGCTGGACAAATCATGCTCACAATGGGCGGTTCTTTAGTCCTTGTCACAGTCGTCAACGCCTACTTTTTGATTCTTGTTTTGTTTGTTGGAATATTGTTTATGTTCCTAAGACATATATTTTTAAAATCGTCCAAGAGCATCAAACGTCTTGAAGGAATAAGTAAGTACTTACATATTTTGTAATTGTTTATAATTAATTAATTTAATTTTTCTCAGTGAAAGGTCCAGTTTTCACCCATCTTAACGCTACCCTTCAGGGTCTAACCACCATCAGGGCCTACAGGGCTGAAGCAATACTAAAGCAAGAATTCGATAAGCATCAAGATCTGCATTCTAGCGCTTGGTTCATGTATATCGCCCTTAGTTCTGCCTTTGGATTCTACTCAGATATTTTGTGTTTCTTCTTCGTGGCCTTTATCACCTTTAGCTTGCTTCTGTTTGGAGATGGTGAGTACATTTAACAAAACAAAACTGTTGGTGAGTAAACTGTTTGATTTTCAGCTCTTGGGCTGAAGGGCGGTGATGTGGGTCTAGCTATAACCCAGGCTACAGCCCTCACAGGTCTTCTGCAATGGGGCATGAGGCAGTCAGCCGAAGTTATCAACCAGTTGATGTCGGTTGAGAGGGTGTTGGAATACGAAGAGTTACCCAAAGAAGTGGAATCGGAATCACCAAGAAAACCGCCCGGCGATTGGCCCAACGATGGTCACATATACTTCGAGGATATGGGTTTGAAATACATCGATGATGGGGCTTTGGTTTTGCGGGATTTGAATATAGAGATTAAACCGAGGGAAAAGGTAGTTTTTTGGAAACATTTGTAAGGGTTTTAGTAACTTGGTTTGTTTGTTTTTAGGTTGGTATTGTTGGAAGAACTGGAGCTGGCAAATCGTCGTTGATATCTGCCCTGTTCAGACTAGCGACTGTAGAGGGAAAAATCGTCATTGATGACGTTGATACGAAAGAATTGTCACTGTTCGATTTGAGATCCAAGATTTCCATTATCCCCCAAGACCCAGTACTGTTCTCCGGAACCCTAAGGTACAATCTGGATCCTTTTGAGGAATACCCGGACGAAGTTCTATACAGGGCGATCAACGAAGTCGAGCTGAAAGATCCAGCGAACATCAATAATCGTCTGGAAAACCGCGTCATGGACAGGGGTAGCAACTACAGCGTGGGGCAAAGACAGTTGATCTGTCTTGCCAGAGCCATCATCAGGAACAACAAAATTCTCATGCTGGACGAAGCTACTGCCAATGTGGACCCACAGTAAGTATCTACAGTGTTGCCACGTTACACAGCTATCTCTTTTGCACCGTGTGACCTCATGTACGATTATTAAGTGTAGCAAATGTTACATATTTAAAGCAACAATTAATTTTCTACTCCTATTACTATCTTTCAATATATTTCTTTATTAATTGAATTAACTTACGCTAGATCGAATTTTTTAATGTGAAAGGTAACAAAATTATAAAAATTCATTTATACGCTAAAGAAGTATCGCTAGTGGCGCCACCACTTGGCTGTTATCATCGTAACAAAAGTACGACTTTTGATGGGTGTATTTCGAGAGGAAATCCTGGGTTGAGTTTTTACCGGTTTTCCAATAAACAGTGTTAATCTGAATGAAGAAATAAATTGCATACAGTCTCTGTAAATATAAATTGTACCTATTAGATACAATAAATACACATTTTAGCAGTGATTAACGTGAAAAGGGTAAACATTTCAATTCAGTAAAAATCGTCAAACAAATAAGTCGTCTAAATTTAAACAGCATTTAGCATTTTTAAAAGCGTTGATTAAGAAAGTTTCCACTCAACGGTAAAATACCATTATATTATGTATTATATGTAATTTTATGTTACCATGAATTCGTAGGTATATTTTGTTGTTTAAAATGCAGTTGTCGGCGTTTTTTAGATAACTCAAATATAAAAATGGTTGATTTTAAGGTTATGTTTGTGCAAAAATTATATTTTACTAATTTCTTAAAAATGTCCAAACTTAAATATAAATTATATTAGGTAAAGTTATCATTAGTTAATTCTGCACCAACAAATGTACTTACCGAATTGGATACTTTGGCAAAACATGAAAATGCAACGATTTAGTTCTTGAATTTTATTTACAATTAAAAACACAATATGATGCCTTAGATAAAATACACACACTAACGTAACGTAACTATATAAGCATTTAAGCGTTGAGTTTCTTAATCAATGATATAAAGAATAATCAATCGAAATCGAGTACTAAACCAGTTTTTTAGTTTTTTTCCTTGCAACGTAAAACACAAATAACGTGCGCGATTTAGCTGTGCAATTAAACAAAATTTGTCGAGTAAGACTTTTGGCGTTGCCATATGCAATGTTGCCACATTGATGACATTTTTTTTAGGACCGACGGGTTGATCCAAAAAACCATCCGCCAGAAGTTCGCGGACTGTACCGTTTTGACGGTGGCGCACAGGTTGAACACCATCATGGATTCTGACAAGGTTTTGGTCATGGAGGGAGGTCATATGGTGGAATACGACCATCCGCATGCTTTGATGCAGAATGCGAACGGCGTTTTTAGCAGGATGGTCGCAGAAACGGGTAAGACGACGTGCGAGCAACTGAAGAAAGTTGCGTATAAAAGTTACCAGAGGCAAATATCCGTCCCGGAAGTTGAAAGAGATTAGTAAGTGTTCTTAGTGCAAACAAGACTTATTTTTTTTACCTACTTAGAACTGTAAATAGTATTTTTATTATGTAAATAGTGATAATAGGATTGTTCCTACTGAACATTTGGACTGTCAGAATGCTTGGTAGGAACAACTTAATATATTTTATAATAAGTATATTTACAAAAAAAAGCGATCTATCATCTATTTTAGTACTTATTTATTATCATTGTTCCTTAATTTAAACCTACTTAAATTATATGTTACTTAAATAACAATGTTATAAAATATAATATAATAATGACTGAACAAATACAATGCAGCTTTTGCTGAAGTCAATTTTGTCATTGACATTGATATTATAGGTGCTAAATCCCCAAATTTTATTATATTTATAAATATATATCTAAAGAAAAAATTATTTTTAAGAAACTATTGTTTTTATTTACCCCACCTTAATTAAATTATGCTGAAACAACATTGTATGTGGCAGAAAAAAAAGTAAGTACAGTAACATTACATTAAAGCCCAAAAACTTTTATAGGACTGCAGTTAATATGGGTGAATATATTGAGATAAGTGAAAATGATTATTTTCTATTTTTGGTTGTTTCACTGTTAGTCTAGAATGGGGTTTTTGGGAAGCCACCAGGTCTAGTAATAACATAACATAAGTGGTTCTGCACTTATGCAAGAATTTTAAGAAATCATACATTTTGAATATTAGAGCTTCACGGAGGTTAGGATTTCGTATGTTTATTTTAAAACATCCCTATGTTTATTTGAAATAAGTTATTGTATCTTTTGACACCTTAATATTTTTTAAAAATACATACATAAAATATTTATAAAAAAAATCTACTTACTGAGATATTACACTACACGGTGGATAGGTTTTTAAATAGCAAATTAATGAACTTAAAACAGCAACACTCTCATCTGCATATAAATTCTTACTGACCTTCAGGAATCACATGCATCTATAATGTCGCAAACAGAGGTTTTTGCTTATTTAAAATGATTAAAGCGCCATCCGTTGCATAAAATTTAAAGCAAAAACAGATTCACGGAGGATAGAATCAATTTTTGTAACACCTACATAAATGGTTATAAAAATTATTTCTTTTAATTTTTAATAATATATTATATTTGATTCGATTGCTTTCGATGTGTTTAATTTACTTAGTGAACTGATATTTTTAGTATGCTTTTACTACCTCAGATATTTGAAAACATATAGGTTAACCTAGAAAGAGTAACATGTTAACAGTCACTTGTAGCAACTTTCGGTCATGCATTAAAAAAATATTCACTGCATCTTAACCATGATGTAAGGACGTGTTCCTTACATGATGATCTTAACATTAATTTGTTTACAACAAACAAAATAAATGAAAAGCAGGCGCAAATCATATGGATCGATAATTCGCAACGTTGCCAAGATCTACAAATTTAACTCATAATCAGGCACTATTAAATTACTAATGCTAACTACTAATATTTTTTTATTATTATACGTCTCTTTATAACCTACAATATTAAATATTTTTAAAATAAAGATTGTAGTTTTGGCAACGGCGCTATCTACAGCCACTTCGTTAAATTGAAAATAGATGGAGAGCTAATCAAAACATAACCAAATTGTTTTCATTGTAATTTTCGCAATATTAATTAAATTACAGTTTGTTTTATGATTACAGTGTTTTAGCTTACAATTGTCTGAATTTACGATTACGCGTATTTGTTTTATTATGTAACAGTAAAATATTTGTTTAATGGTTTTTATTTTAAGGTAAATATTCACTAATTTGTTATATCTATGTATGTGAATTATTTAATTATTATTTTTTAGTAAATTAAGATAATTTTTTATAATAGAATTTTGTTTAATTATTTAGGAACTTGGTTTTTATTTATTATATTGTTAAGTCTTAATACTAAACCCGGCGCATCCACCATTCTTGAAATTATCCCAGAACATTCGCCATTTTTTATACAAAATGTTAAAATACGGAAATACTGAATTATGGTTTAAAATAGTAAATATTTACAGTAAAATATTTTTGCCAATTTAAAACAAACAATTAATTTAAAAGTTATACAAATATTAAATCTTTACTTTTACCATTAATATTATAAAAGAAATGTTGAGAGAAGAATGAAAACTTTTAAAATATACAGGGTGGTCCAAAAGAAACCTTTAATAATTTAAGAAACAATAAAAAACGTTCTTTTTTTTAAATAAACTTACCTTGAAAACTCAAGTATCAAAAATACACCTTTTTGCTTGTAGTATGAAAACAAATTTATTGCCCAACCATGGTATCCAAATAAAAAAAACAATACCCGCCAAATTTATATAAAATTTGTTTTATTGTTTAGAAGAAATTATTTTTTTTTAATATAGGTACAACTTTGACGACTTTTCCTTATAGGTAACTTGTTTCTATAAAATAATAATTTTCTCATGAAGCATTTTAATTTTTTTTAATTTCCAAGCACCCTGTATATTTAATTTAATTTTTTCTAAAGAAAATCTCATTTTTTAAACTAGCTGGAGTTTTTACATAAATAAACTTCTATCGTAAAACCCATAGTAAAAAAGTGTTTCTTATTGGTAACCCGATCCGTGGACACACTGTATGTATGTACCAGTATATACAGGGTGTCCCAAAAACAGTGTGCAATACTAATATTAGTATTTCCGAAACGGTTTGAGATAAAATAATAAAATTTTAAATGCTTACCTAACTTTTTATACCGAATTTAAAAATGAAAACAAAGTTTTAATTTTTTATTAAAAAGTTTATTAAACACTAGGGTATTTTTAGCCCCAACTTTTTTTGGCCGTAGAATATGTACAAAAGGTACCCTCGTTAAACATCGATAAAATGCACGGTTTTCGAATAAAAATAAAATAACAAATTAAAAAAAAAATCAATTTTTTATACATATTTAACCAGAATAACTAAATGTCATTGTCATAACCTCAAAGCGACAAGTTTGTTTTGTCTGTTTTTGTTAAAATACAATGGTGGTTTGTTTTGCGTTTGGTTGTAGAAGTTATAATGACAAAAATAAATAACCTTTCACAGGTAACATAACCTTATTGATAATAACTCAAAATTTGCTTTCTAATTTCAAATTTAAAATGAATCGTATATGTATGTATACTCGTACATCACAAAAACAATCGCAATATATAGTCTGCTGATACATTTTAAACATATCATAATATTATGTTATCACTTTTCAGTATTAAATATTGCATATAAAATTAACTATGGATGGTACAAAAGAAAAAATAGGTAATAAAAATCCTAGAGATACTGCTAATTCTTTATCAGTATTATTTTTTACGTGAGTATACATTAATTTTGTGTTTTAATATTTGTATATGTGTTATTTTAGTTATACATTTAAATTTTTTAAAAGAGGCTATGGTAAAACGATTTTTGCTGATGATATCTTCAGTCCTATAACATGTGATAAAAGTCAGGAATTGGGGGATAGACTGGAAAAGTTGGTATTTGTTTAACTAAAATAATAAATTGATTGGGATAATTTCAGAAAATGGATAACTCATATAACACAAGCAAAAAAACTAAACAAAACGCCAAAATTCTCAAAAACCCTTATAGCAACATTTTGGATGGAATTGCTATCCATCTCCCTGGTTCTATTTATACAAGAGGTTGTGTTTAAAATCAGCCAGGCTGTGATGTTGGGAAATTTGCTGGATTTTTTCCAACCTCAAAGTACAATGAGCAAAAATGAAGCACTTTTGTATGCCACTGCGATGGTTATACTGAATTTAGCAATGGTGTTTGCTAATAATCAGTATTTGATGAACAGTTTTCATTACGGTGCTAGACTCAGAGCTGCCATTTGTGCCTTGGTTTACAGAAAAGTACGTGTTGATTAACTAAAAAATAAAGTTGTTACACATATATTTTAGGCTTTAAGACTGAGCAAGACTGCGCTGGGCGATACAGCATCAGGAAAAATAGTAAATTTAATTTCCAGCGATGTAAGCAGATTTGAGTACGTCACTGTTTTGATTCATCAAATGTGGGTTGCGCCCACTTCGGCTGCCATTGGGCTCTACATTATGTACTCAAAATGTGGCTACCCAATTTTTATTGGGATTATACCTTTTTTTCTTATTCTCGTATTGCAAAGTAAGAAAATATATTTGTTTGATCGATTCACTAAGTCTACGAAACCAGAATATATTGTCCGAATTCTATCCCACAGTGAAAGTTATGTTACAGTACAACGCGGTTTTTTCAAATTTGAGGTCAAAATTTCTCAAAAATCTGAAGGTTAAATTTTGTAGACCTGTGATATCACAAAAATAAACTTTTTCTATTTGATCCCAAAATTACCTAACTAGTGTGGAAAGTAACACTTTTAGCACGCATATTAGGGTGGTCCACATGAAGGAGGTCGAGACGGGACCTTTAGGGGTTTAGGGGACAATTACGCCGACTCAAATCTGGGTCGTTAGTATTACTACTATTAGTACTGACTTCAAAGAAGAGTCATTATTTTACTATGCTGAAAATAGGAAACACCTAATCAAAATTTATTTGCCCCACAGTGCGAAAACTTTAACTTGTCTTTAGTACCGAAGTATTACCATCCACATCCGGTTATTTATAATATGCAGCTTCAACGATTCAGATTCAACTATATTTAGCTAGTTATTATTTAAATAAGCTGAAAATATATTACAAAGATATACACAAATTATTTTACCTCACTGTGCGTAGTCCATTGATTTGTCATCAGTATTGCCCTTTATACTTTTCTGTGTTTATGTCTTAATTCATTGCCTGTTCGTGCAATGTCTTTAAGTGTATATTTTTGTCTCGTTTAGTTTTATACACTATTTATTGAACTGGACTCTTAAGTTTATGGGTTTTGGGCCATTCTCACTTGATTGTTGGTTTATTCATACTGCTCTGCTATTACAGTAAATTACCGCCATATGAATTGTTTATGTATTTTACATTGTTTTGTTACAATTATCTTGGTACTAAGTTTACTATTGCTCGTTGTATTTGTTTTTATCCAGTGGTTGTGTTTACGCCCTTATGGTAGTATTGGTGGTTTGTTGCAAATTTGCGTATTAGTTCATGTAGTTAATTATGAGTACTTATCGGTTTTTGCAGATGGTGGCCCTTTCCGCTCTTGGTTAGCCTCGTTTGTTCTCCAAGTAAGGTGGTTAGTCCGCCAGGTATGCAGTCACTTCTCACTTAATCACTTCTGTGTACGTAAGGTGATATTTATTTCACTTCATAAACTATGCATTATAATTTATTTGCACTGTATATAAGTATATTATTTTGTGGGTTGTGTAGTTGCGTTTGTTTTAAGAGAAGTCTCGGAACGTCTGTAGTCATCAAGAGTTTAAAAGTGACTGAGTAACCAAAAGTCTTTTTGGTCTAATATTTACTACAAAATTTTGGAATAGATACAGTTTATTCTTTGCCTGGTCTTAAATTACCTGAAACAGTTTCCTGTGCCATCAAAGCATCTCTTAGGTCGTAGTTTTTGATTTTAGCGTCTCATTGTTAACTTCCCTAATATATAGGTTTAATAATGGGTGAGCTCTAACTACTCATTTAGATGTCAAAAAATAAAAAAAAATTGGACTACCCTAACGCATATGAATCCGGAAATTAGTCACTTTCTGCAAGCTAGTGAAAAAACACTTGTTTTCTTTCCAAGGTTACATCGGCAGGCTGTCCGCAAAATTCCGCAAACAAACTGCCACGAAAATCGACGAGCGCCTGCGCCTCATGAACGAAATAGTTTCCGGCGTCCAGGTAATCAAAATGTACGCTTGGGAAAGACCATTCTCCAAACTCATAAATTTCGCGCGAAGAGCGGAACTAAAAAAAGTAACGAAATCGTCTTACGTGCGAGCGATTTACATGGCATTTGGTCTTTTTACCACAAGGGTGGCTCTGTTCGGTACCTTGGTTACCATGGCCATAGTTGATGAGAGTATAACGCCAGGAAAGGTATTTTCTTAATCGCCATAACTACCAAAACATATTATGTAAGTGGTTTCTTTTTAGATTTTTGTAGTGGTGGCCCTATTAAACAACATAAATTTTTCTATGTGCAATATGTTTGTCAGGGGTGTATCCGAAGTATCTGAAGCTTTAGTGAGCCTTAAAAGAATCCAGGGTTTTTTGTTGAAAGAAGAATGTAACATTCACAAAAATACCCCACAGCAAAATGTTGTTGGTGACAAAAACGATATTGTTAAACTTATAAAAGCGACTGTGAAATGGGAAGCGAATGAGGTAGCTTTGGATAACTTGGATTTAACTGTCAAAAAAGGATCACTAGTGGGTATTATAGGTCCAGTTGGTAGTGGAAAAAGTACTCTACTACAAACTCTATTAGGTAATGTATAAGGATATATTAATACCAAAAAACCCAATACAACCCTAAAATTTTATGTAGGCGAACTTGAACTATCCCAAGGAAGCATTTCAGTCAACGGCACAATATCCTATGCCTCACAAGAAGCCTGGATCTTCGGAGCATCTCTTCGCCAAAATATTCTATTCGGGAACCCTTACGACCGTCAAAAATACAACCAAGTGGTACGAGCCTGCGCCTTGGAGGAGGACTTCAAACAATTTGAAGATGGCGACCTAAGCTTGGTTGGTGACCGGGGTTCATCCTTATCAGGCGGCCAAAAGGCAAGAATCAGTTTGGCGAGGTGTGTCTATAGAGATGCCGATGTCTATCTACTTGACGATCCACTATCTGCCGTTGATGTGCAGGTTGCAAAACACTTGTACAAAAAATGTATTAACGGGTTATTGAAGGATAAAACTAGGGTTTTGGTGACGCACCAAGTGCACCATTTGAAGAATTGCGAGCATATTTTGATTTTTAACGAGGTATGTTTAATATGGTGTTTTGGTGTTACTTGACATGTTTTTGAAGGGTAAAATTGTGGAAGAAGGTTCATACTCCGTCCTATCAAATAGTGGGAATATATACGCTAAATTGCTCAATTCTGACCCCGATAAAGATGAAGAATCCCACGGAAGAAATCCCAAAAGGCTTTCTAGGGTAATTTAAACACTTTTGTTGTTAAAATTCTCCATAATAAAAATCTATTCTAGCTGTCGTCCATATCAAGCGTAGCAAGTGAAGACCTTGGAGAAAAATGTATGGTAGATTTTCATGATGAAATCAAAACGGAACGTAAACATAAAGATTTACAAGAGGAAACTTCCAAGGGTAAAGTCAAGGGGTAAGGGAAAATGTTACCACAGAAGATTTTCCTTAAAACAAATTTTAGTTCTCTACTATGGAAGTATCTCAGTTATGGGGGAGGAATTTTCTACACCACCATAGTATTAGCCTTATTTTTAACGTCCCAAACACTAGCAAGCTCCGTGGACTACTTTGTAAATTTCTGGGTTAACCTTGAAGAAAACAGGAACAAAACAATCCAAGATGGTGTATCAATAGAGCCTACTTTATGGTCCAAAATTTATTGCATCGAAATATACACTATTCTAATCATATCTCTATTTATTATGGCTTTCGTTAGATCTTTTGTATTTTATAATTTGGCTATGAAAAGTTCAAAGAATCTGCATACATCTTTGTTCAACAATGTCATAACCGCCACTATGAGGTTTTTCGATACGAATGCAAGTGGGAGGATACTGAACAGGTTTTCCAAGGATCTCTGCTCCATTGACGAGTTTTTACCCAAGAATATTTTAGATGCAGCCCAAGTAGGTCTTAATACACTTGATCTTATTCTTCAGTTTTTGAATCGAATCTGGATGCTTCTTACGATGTTAATCCTTCCATCGAAAGATGATTCAACAACTCAAGCTTTTCTAAAAGAATCTTTTTAAATAATTTGTTTTTTCTCTTTGTAGATCTTATTGCAAATGGTAGGAACTTTTGTATTGGTCACCATCGTAAACCAATATTTCTTTATTATGATATTCATAATATCCATACTCCTGCTAATAATGAGGTACCACTTCCTAAAATCATCAAAAAACATTAAAAGACTTGAAGGCATAAGTACGTCACAAAAACATAAAAAACTTTGTAAAAATAAACATTTTTAGTGAAAAGTCCCATATTTACACACCTAAACACTACCTTACAAGGTTTGACAACCATAAGGGCTTTTAACGCGGAAAATATACTTAAATCAGAATTCGACAAACACCAAGACTACCACACTGGTGCCTATTTCATGTACTTATCCTGCACTGCAGCCTTTGGATTTTATTTGGACATCATGTGCTACTTTTTGGTCGTCATTGTTACCTACAGTTTTTTAACGTTCGGGGAAGGTAACTTTCTCTTGTTTAACGAGTTGCCTGATACCTGTAAAGAGTTATATTTGCAGATTTTGGCATGACAGGTGCGAAAGTAGGTCTGGCTATAACGCAGGCTATGTCCTTGACGCACAACGTCCAATGGGGTACGAGACAATCAGCTGAAGTAGCTAACATGTTGGTTTCAGTTGAAAGAATAGTAGAATATGATGTTATACCTAAAGAACCGCAACCTGTGGTACCAAAAAAACTCGATAAAACATGGCCTAATGAAGGTCATATTGTTTTTAAGGATGTGAGGTTAAAGTATGATGATGAAGGTGATTGGGTTTTGAAGGGGTTAAACTTTGAGATCAAACCTAAGGAAAAGGTATGATTTTACCATATTTTTGGTGTTCTTTTGGTGATTTTTTGTTTTTAGGTCGGTATTGTTGGTAGAACAGGTGCTGGTAAATCATCCTTAATATCTGCTTTATTTAGAATGGCCAACGTTGATGGAGAAATAATTATAGATGAAGTTGATACTAAAACTATAAATCTGCAAGATTTGCGGTCCAAAATATCAATAATTCCTCAAGGTTTTTACATATTAAATCTATTCTATTCTCTTAACACATACATCCATTTTTAGACCCTGTTCTATTTTCTGGTACACTAAGATACAACCTAGACCCTTTTGAAGAATATCCAGATGACCTCCTGTATAAAGCAATAAACGAAGTAGAACTTAAAGACCCTGATAACATAATAAACAGACTGGAAAATAATGTACAAGATGGTGGTGCCAACTACAGCGTAGGACAAAGACAGTTAATATGTTTAGCAAGAGCTATTGTACGAAATAACAAGATTTTAATGTTGGACGAAGCTACCGCAAATGTTGACCCACAGTAAGATAAATATCTTATGAAGAAGAAACCCCAAAAACTAATACTCTTTTTTCAGAACTGACTCTTTGATACAAAAAACGATACGTAAGAAGTTCGCAGATTGTACCGTTGTGACTGTAGCGCATAGGCTAAACACTATAATGGACTCGGACAAAGTTTTAGTGATGGAGTTTGGTTCTTTGGCTGAGTTTGATCACCCACATGTTCTTCTGCAAAATCAAGGGGGCATTTTTAACAAAATGGTGTCGGAGATGGGTGAAACGATGTCGGATCATCTAAGAAAAATCGCGTACACAAGTTATCAGAAGCACAGCTCTTCTTGAGAATTTAATTTTCGCAATTTTTGTAATGCCTAAATAAATTTTTTTAATAATAATTTTACAGTTTGTTTGTTACCCACTATAATAAAAAGAATATGTTATTTTTATTGGAATTTTCTGCACCACTACAACTCCTGCTCCAGAGAAGGTTCTTCAGGCATCTTCAGTCGTCATTAAAAACAGATACCTAATAGATGCTTGCTTTCCGACACTTCTTTAATTAAAATATAGATACACAATTATCTTTAAGCGTTCCATAATTTAAGCTTTATTGTTGTTAAAGCTTAATACAAAAGTACTCAATTATCTCCTAGGCTATTAAAATAATTTTGACCAATTAGGTGAAGTTTTTTACATACAAGTACTAACTTATTAGCCCTAATTATAACATAAATAAATATTTTTATTTAAAAATTTTAATTGTGTTTAACAAATTTAAAAAGTAATAAGGTCTGATGTTGTGGAAAAATGGCAATTTCCATAGAAAAGAATGTTTTTAAATTAAGATATAAAAATTCAAACCTTAAATAATAATGATTTGGTTAAATAATATTTTAAAAACCCTATTTTACATAGGTCATTAATTTTTAAAGGTTTATTTTTTTATCTATGATTAAAAAAATAAAATAGTTTTTGAAATAAGTGCACCGCCTAGCAGCGTACTAACCAACCAAGCCCCATCCATAAATCCCAATTGAATGGGGGTATTACTAAATCCGGATTGTACTTAGTTTTGGGTCAGTCTAATGTCCCCCAAAAACCAAAATGTTTTGCCTCCTTGTCCCGCACTCCACTAGCCTAAATCGGGCGTATGGCCCGGCCCGGCATCAAAATTCAGGCATACCTTCTTATACTCTTATGGTCTCTTATTATATTAATATTTATCTTATAGTTTAAATAAAATAAAAATTTATCTAGATTATAGAAAAAATTAAGAAAAATCTTCAAAATAACTAAATTTAGAGGCCTCTATCAATCAATATTTTGCAATAAAAAACCTGTTCGTTTGAGATGTGTTCTTTTTCACCCTTTTTCACATTTTATATGTTTTTTTTTTCAAACTTTCTTTTATTAATCTAATTAATGGTTTTGACTCTGTTTTCGCAAAGAGAACTCATAATAAGATTTGGAAAAATTAATAGATTAAATAAAACTAATTTTTGCTAAAATTTGAAATTTTTATGACCTTAAATACATATTAATTTTAGACTTTCTTTGCAGTAGACTAAATTTCCTACAAAACATGTTATTAATCGTTTACAGGTTAACAGCAAAAATCGTCAATTTTATAGAAATTCAAACTTTAAACCAATAAGATACTATAATGTTTCCAATGAACCGGAACAAGGTTCTTAAAATTAATGTTAAACTTATAGGATTGAACTTCGATAGTGTTAGGTAACATTGCATATATTTAAATGAATGCTATGATTGTTTTTAATCCATAACATAAAAAAGTAGCCTTTCTGTATAGCGCGGTCAAAAGATAAAGAATAATTAACTTTTAATCGGGTTCAAATCATCTTGTAAAAACAATATTGATACGATATATATTACAATCAAGTATAGAATTAGGTGTGGAATCCATACTGTGGATATGAAATTATAGTGTTTAAAATGGATCCAGGGTTTAATTTAAAGTATGAGAATCCTGTAAGGAAAGCCAATTTTTTCTCAAAATCATTTTTTATGTAAGTACACAAAATATGCTACTTCTAATTCCAATCCAAAAGTAGAGTTAAATCACAAAATGGTTTTTTCCATAGAACTGCATTGTAATGTTTCTGATAGGCACAACTTAAAAAGCCATTTAACATTATATTTTATTTTCAGATGGATGATAAGATTATTTAGAAAAGGCTCAAGTAGAGGCCTTAAAGTGCAAGATTTATACAAAACATTACCAACAGATCAATCAGACCATCTTGGAGATGTTTTGGAGGGCAATTGGAACGAAGAAATAGCAAAGGCAAAGGCGAAAAACAAAAAACCTAGTCTTATTAAAGCACTGGCCAAAACATATCTAGGCAAATACATGTGTTGGGGTGTGGTTATGTTTATACAATATGCTATAATAAGGTAAAAACTGAATCTCAACATTTTTAATAAGTAAAAATATCTTCCTGTATTGTAGACCTGTACAGCCAATGATTTTGGCACAGTTATTGATGTTGTTCACGAGTTATGCACCCAAAGATGGTGGTGTTATTAGAGATATGTATCTCTATGGTAGCGGTGTTGTAGGTTTTTCCGTAATTCTTATATTTATGGTACATCACTCAAATTATGGTCAAACCAGAATTGGTATGAGGATAAGAGTTGGGGTTTCATCTTTGGTTTACAGAAAAGTAAGTTTAATCTATTTTATAACAAATTCAGCATCAACATTTTATAGTTAATGAAACTGAATAAATCAGCCCTTAAAAACACAGCTGCAGGTCAGGTTGTGAACCTTCTCTCCAACGATGTAAACAGATTTGATTTGGTGGTCCTACAAATGCACTTTTTGTGGATAATGCCTTTCCAGATAGGTCTTGTGACCTTCTTCATTTGGCAGAAAGTGGGCATATCAACGTTGGCTGGCGTAGTAAGCATGGTACTCTTCACCATACCTGGACAAGGTTATCTTGGTAAAGTAACATCAAATCTGCGAAGAAAAATCGCTTCGAAAACTGATAGAAGAGTTGTACTTATGAACGAAGTAATATCAGGTATACAAGTTATTAAAATGTATGTTTGGGAAAAACCGTTCGAAAAACTCATCCACTGGGCGAGAAACACCGAAATTAACAGTTTAACCAAGTCAGCATACCTACAAGGAATTTATTTGAGTTCTATGGTGTTCATAGAACGAGCCACGTTGTTTTTGACATGCGTTTGTTTCGTACTAACAGGGAATGTCTTAACGGCCGACATAGTTTTCCCAATGGCGCAATTCTTCAACATACTCCAGATGGCGATGGCTATGTTATACCCATCCGCTATAACCTACAGTGCTGAAAGTTTGGTAGCTATAAGACGTCTCGAGAAATTTTTATTCCTCGATGAAAAGCAGGAAGCCGATCTTAAACACACCAACGATGGTAGCTTGGTAGTGTCAAACGTGGATGCAGAGTGGGTGAAAGGAAACACCACGTTGGAAAATATTTCGTTTACTGTACCCAAAGGATCCTTATGTGCTATTATAGGTCCTGTAGGTTCCGGAAAGACTACATTGTTGCAGCTGTTTTTAGGAGAGTTGATACCAAAGACTGGCAAAATTAGCATTGGGGGTGAAATATCATACTCATCTCAAGAAGCCTGGCTTTTTTCATCTTCTGTAAGAAACAACATTCTATTTGGTTTGGAGTATAATTATCTACGATATAAACAAGTTATTAAGGTAAATATTAAAATATTTTATAAACATCAAACACCAACTCCTTTTTAAATAAAGGTTTGTGCCCTGGAAAAAGACTTCAAACAGTTCCCACAAGGCGATAAAACCGTCGTAGGAGAAAAAGGTGTCTCTCTAAGTGGTGGTCAAAGAGCTAGAATTAATCTAGCTCGTGCTATATACAGACAAGCCGATATATATTTACTTGATGATCCATTATCAGCGGTTGATACTCACGTTGGACGTCACCTATTCGACAAATGCATATCCAGACATTTAAAGGGCAAAACCAGGGTTTTAATAACTCACCAACTGCAGTATCTTAAATCGGCTGATCATATTATTGTTCTGGATGAGGTAAAATATATTTGTCGTTAAATGGAGTGGATAAAATGATCGCATAATTGTGTTTAGGGAAGGATCGCAGCTCAAGGAACATTCGAGGAATTATCAGACAGCAATTTGGACTTCACCAAGCTTCTAATAGCTTCAGATGAACAGCAAGATAAACCTGAAGAACCCGTGGTGGAAAAATCTTTGTCTAAAAGGAGGTCCAGTAAAAGTTCTGCCATATCAAGCTTGGTAATAATTTTGCTACTGTATATTAAACGTTACATTTTTAAAAATTTAAAATTTTTCCCAAGATAACCGACTCCATGGAAATGGAAGTACAGGGAAGCATAGATAATGAAATCCAAATATTCAGGGACTCATCTTGTAAAGATGAAAAGGTAGTAGTAACATAACTTAAATCTTGCACTGATTGTCTTTGTACATACACTGATATATATTTTTGCTTTTTATAGCATCCACTGATCAGTAAACTTAACATCTTTGGTTTTTAGAGCTATATCTCTGACAGTTTTGAAATGGAGCTAAAGGAATCCAACGTGGTGGAGGAGGAGGAAGTTATGGGCGATTTATCACCATTCAAAGAATACTTTAAAGCAGCTGGTAGCAAATGTGCATTAATATTACTTGTTATAACACTCATATTGGGTCAAATCGCTTCTTCTGGGGCTGATTACTGGGTAACCTACTGGTAAAAGTGATAACAAACCTTGTTAAACTAAAAAAATAACGTTTCTTATGCATCTAGGACCCAACAGGAAGCCATAAGGCACGCCAATGGGAGCATATTAAAGGTAGACGAACCCAGTATGGTTTTATACGACACATTTTTAAACGGCAACTTGACGGAAAGTACCTCAATGAAAACGAATGTAGCCATATACATTTACACCATCTTTATCATCGGTTCTATAGTTTTTACTTTGATGAGAGCTTTCTTGTTCTTTAGCTTGTGCATGAGGGCATCGAGGAATCTCCACAAAAAGATGTTCAATTGTTTGTTAAAGGCGCCGATGAGGTTTTTCGATACCAACCCCACTGGAAGAATTTTAAATAGGTTTTCTAAGGATATAGGGGCTATCGATGAGTTGTTACCCAGGGTTATGATCGTAGCTTTACAAGTAATTTTGATGAATTTTTTGTTATTCTTGATTGTTATAGTTTGTTTTTAGATTACATTGGTGATGATAGGTATTTTGGTTAACGTATCCATATCAAATCCGCATGTAATTATAGCTGTGATTGTATTGGGTATACTTTTTATTTTATTGATGAATTGTTACATTGCCACAACTAGGGCTATCAAACATATTGAAGGAATAAGTATGTGTAAAAAAATTATTTTTTGTTTTTTGAACTTTTTTTTATAGCTAAATCACCCATGTTTTCCCATGTTAACTCATCTTTAAACGGTTTAACCACCATAAGAGCTTCAAAGGCACAACAAACGCTTATAAATGAGTTTGATCATCACCAGGTACATTTTATATAAAATAAGGTGTCCCAATTTGCGATTCCCAAATAATCCCAAGTTATGTTTATCTTTTAGGATGTTCACACTTCTTCCTGGTTCCTGACAATATCCTGTGTGGTGTCTTTTGGCCTATGGTTGGACATCATATGCGTAATTTTTGTGGCCTGCGTTACCTACAGTTTTGTATTTTTGGCTTCAAGTAACTTTTTTTGATTCACAAGATTTTTATTTAACTGTATTCGTGGTTTTTAGCAACTGAAGTAAATGGCAGCTTGGTGGGTCTTGCCATATCCCAATCCTTAATCCTAACGGGCATGTTGCAAAACGGCATGCGACAAACTGCCGAAGTTATAAATCAGCTTACAAGCGTCGAGAGGGTGTTGCATTACACAAAAATAGATCAAGAAGGCCCCTTTGAAACTGATGAGCATACAAGACCGTCGAAATCCTGGCCCGATAAAGGCGATGTCAGGTTTATAAAGCTATATCTGAAGTATGTTGAAAGTGACCCCCCTGTTTTGAAGAACCTTAACATAGATATCCATCCAGGAGAAAAAGTGAGAAACAAGTAAAAAAAATGCAATTTAAACTTAATTTTTTTTAGATTGGTATAGTTGGCAGAACTGGAGCAGGTAAATCATCCCTTATAACAGCCCTGTTCAGACTGTCGCCAATAGAAGGAAACCTGATAATAGATGGGCTAAACACGAAAGAAATCGGTTTAAGCGACTTGCGTAAAAAAATATCCATCATCCCTCAAGAACCGGTTTTGTTTTCCGCCACGTTGAGATATAATTTGGACCCCTTACAAGAATATAAGGATGAACAGCTATGGAGAGCTTTAGAAGAGGTAAGATGGAGAAGAAGACGTAGATGTCGCCGCTTATAATTATAATATATTAAAGAAGGGTTTTTGTATTTTAGGTCGAATTAAAAGATGCAGCATCATCCCTGGACTTCCAGGTATCAGAGGGTGGTAGTAATTTCAGTTTAGGTCAGAGACAGTTAATTTGCCTAGCTAGAGCAATTCTACGTATGAATAAAGTTCTTGTTCTTGACGAAGCCACTGCAAATGTAGACCCACAGTAAGTTTTATCAATCTAAACATAATTTTCGAAAATTTGATAACTTTTTCTTCCTTAGGACGGATTATTTAATTCAAAAAACAATACGAACCAAATTTGCAAATTGTACAGTACTTACCATAGCCCACAGACTTAACACTATAATGGATTCCGATAAAGTCTTGGTTATGGAATCAGGCACAATGGTGGAATTCGACCATCCTCACTTGCTACTGCAAAATCCCGAAGGGTACTTCCACAAAATGGTTCTGGAAACTGGCCCCAGTATGACTTCACAACTCAAAGATGTAGCGCAAGAAGCTTACGAAAGTCGAAATTGCGCATATTCAAATCTTCTTGTTATCTTATGATTTCTTGTTAGTTTTTAAATATTTCATTTTGTAAATATTATTACAATAAAACTTTATATTACCTTTATAAATATATATAGGTGTATTTGTTATGACAGTGTCATTATGACACAGTGTGAAACGTCTTGAAATCAAGCTAAAAATGGAAATTCGTCTACAACAAAAAAATTAAAAATAAAGCTTACACACGAGCGGAATTGTTTAGTGTGTGGACAGCTTTATTACCTTTTTCTGCGTCCATGCCCCCCACGATTCTATTTTGGTGTAATCGGTCTTGAATTTAGCAGAATATTAACAAAGTTTAGTGTACAATCGTTAAGTGAAGAAGTACACCTTAATCAATGGTATGATATTTTACATTTATTGGGATTTATTTGGACATAAATTGTACTTTCTTCAAGTTTGACCAAAAATTGTCATATTTCATGCCAATCATTTTCCAACCCAATAGCACAAAAACTCCATGATAATAAATTAATATTAAATAATATATACCTACTTATATATACCTAACTATAGCTATTTTTGGACAACTTCGTTTGTAATAAAGTATGATCGAAAATTGGTAACGCGTTTGTAATGTTAATTGGTCGAACCTTCTTTATCTTTGACAATTATTTGAGGAGTGATTTTTCAAAAGGTCGTATTTCCATTTGCAACAATTTTTCAAAAAAATGACTATAACCTGTATAGGTTAGGGCAATATAGATTTTTTTTTTTAAATTCTGATATATATTTAATAATACTTCAGACCTGCTGTCATATATCGCCGTTAATATATGCCTTTTAACCATTCCTTTGGCATTTTGTCAAAAAATTACATTCAAGTAAAAATGGAAATAAGGCCTTTTGAAAAATCACTCCTCATTTGACAGTTAATTGATAAGTATGCTGATGCATTGAACAAGAATCAGTTTACTATGCGCAATAGCGAGTTGCATGGCATCGCAAAAGTAGAGACCTTTTTCTCTACAAAAATTCGTAAAAAATTGCTTGTGTCAAAGTTATAAAAAAATATTATAATACGTGCATTAACTAAACGTATGTTAAGTTTTAAGCAGCTTTAAGTTTTGAGTAGGTAATTAAGGTTATGTTAAGTGGTTAGTCCGCCAGGTATGCTGTCACTTATCAATTTCAAGCTTTTCAATTAAGAGATGCAGTTTTCTTGTTAAAATCCCATTTCGAATCCCTATTCGAATAACAGGGTACAATTTAAAACAAATGGCCGAATACGTCAGAGATTCAACAATTATGGCGGAAATTATGAAAATTGTACATCAAAGTGTTCAAGGATTTTATTGAGAAAAAACCGAATTTTTCAATGAATTTGTTGCGTACTTTTGCCGGTCACTGTATAGAAAGACTTCATATTAATATAGTTCAAAAGTTAAATTATTATAAACCTCCGTACAAAAATAAAGTTTAAATGTCAGTTGTGACCCAAAAGTCCCACCACGTGACTTTCAAACAAATAATTAAGGCCAATTTTCAGTCAGTTTCAAGCTAATTTCGTCCTATTTTCAGAAAATATAATATATTATTAATTGTATTATTTTTAGAAAATTAGACAAAATTACTTTGATACTTACAGGACTGACGGGACTTTTGGGTGTGGAGCATAGTACTATATTATCCACAAAAATCATTTATGTTTGAGGGTAAATGGTAGAAGATCTTTTCTCAAACCTGTTGCCATTTGGCATTAATCACTCGTGTTTATTGCTTGTAAACAGGTTTTTAACAATCTGTCAATTTATTTTCACTCTCGTAATATTACTACAAAACGTTTGCCATCATCATTTGCATAGCGCTTTTTTAGAGAACTTCAAAAAGGTTTTTTTGGATAATTCGAAAAAAAATATTCCTGCTTCACTTATTTTTTTTGTATTTTCAACTATGGTTCATTATCTGCAGACATGTCATTATATCCATTTTAATTTTTCAATTTTGTATAATATTGACCAATCAGTTGGGTAAAGTTTTTTACATCCTAGTCCGGTAAAACCCGTTGGGACCAAAAGCTATCTAACCTCACTTTATACCCTTATAATTGTTATATTATAGAAGTATCGGGTTTTCGCAACGCGCGCGCCATCTGGTGGACTTCAAAAGCATTGCGTGAATTTAAGAATTGTCAACAATACATTAATGTATTTAAATTTAAAGCACAGATTATACATCATTTTTAAATAAATAGGTAGTTTTTTCACAAAAAAAAGTATCTTACTCGACAAATTTTGTTCAATTGCACAGGTAAATCGCGCACGTTATTTGGGTTTTACGTTGCAAGGAAAAAACTAAAAAACTGGTTTAGTATACTCGATTTCTATTGATTATAATAATTATTCTTTATATCATTGATTAAGAAACTCAACGCTTAAATGCTTATATAGTTACGTTAGTGTGTGTAACACACAGTGTGTGTATTTTATCTATGGGATCATGGTGAATTATTGCGTTTTTAATTGTTAATAAAATTCTAAATCGTTGCATTTTCATGTTTTGTCAAAGGATCCAATTCGGTAAGTATATTTGTTGGTGCAGAATTAACTAATGATATTTTTACCTAATATAATTTTTGCACAAACATAACCTTAAAATCAATAATTTTTATATTTAAGTTCTCAAAAAACGCCGACAACTGCATTTTAAACAACAAAATATACCTACGAATTCATGAGAACATAATATTATATATAATGGTATTTTACCGTTGAGTGGAGACTTTAAAGAATTCTTAATCAAAGCTTTTAATAATGCTAAATGCTGTTTAAATTTAGACGACTTATTTGTTTGACAATTTTTACTGAATTGAAATGTTTACACTTTTCCCGTTAATCATTACTAAAATGTGTATTTATTGTATCTAATAGATAAAATTTATATTTACAGGGACTGTATGAAATTAATTTCTTCATTCGGATTAACACTGTTTATTGGAAAACCGGTAAAAACTCAACCCATTATTTCCTCTCGAAATACACTCAACAACACAACAAATCGTGCCACGGTTTTTTTTTCGATAGTTTTTACCATTTTCCGGCTTTATTCTCAAAAACACTCGTTTGTAACATAAGCGTTTAACAGCTAATTAAAAAAAAAAAACAAGTTGTACTTTTGTTACGATGTTGTTACGCTACTAGCGATACTTCTCAGCCCTAATTATGACATAAATAAATATTTTTAATTATAAATTTTAATTGTGTGTAACATATTTAAAAAGTTCTATGTTGTGGAAAAATGGCAATTTAAATAGATAAGGATTTTTTTAAATTAAGATATGGAAATTCATACCTTAAAAACTGTTAAAATGCATAGTGATGATAAGGTTATATTTTTAAAGGTTTATTTTTTGCCTGATTAGAAAAATAAAATAAATTTTGAAATTATAATTACTAAATACTATACTTACTATAGTACACTGAAAAACTATTTTCTATCAATTATATTAATATTTATTTAATTGTTAGAATTAATATTGTTTAGCCCTCAAATACCCGTGCTGGTTTTTATTAAATAAATAATTAATTTAAAAAAATCCCTTGGCCTGGAACAAATTGTTGCTTCAGAAACTTTTGGGACAAAACGCGCCAAACCATCTGCCTCGACATCAACAATTTTGACCAAATTTGTTTGGTTAACAGAAGAAATAAGCTAATTACTTAACCACTGTAAACCTTTACTGGCCTACTTAACGGTCTGTATATACGAAACGCGTCACTCAATTTAATAAATATTGGACAACTGTTCCAAGTTTGGTAATGTCGGGGCAGATAGGTGGCAGGTATGGCGCGTTTTGCTTTTTTTAAAAAAGACGTCTTTCGTTTGATAATAGACTTACTGGTCTCTTTGTATGTATCTTAGGTCTGTAGCTATTTATTAAAGTTGGATCCCCCTCTTATAAATAGGGCTAACTAAAGCCGTTTTTTATAGGTCAGGGAAAATGCCATACTTTAGTGTATTATCATAACATAACACACTTCATAATACAAATTTTTATATATGTTGGAATTCCATCTTCTCCACTACCTATTTGTTTTTCACAATATATACTTACATAATATGTATTATATATTATATTAATTTATCGTTAACAGGAGTATCACAGTGAATATTCTTTTTAATTTGGACCTCCTTTAATGTCTGTGTTCTTATCTACTGTTTTAGTATTTTTAATTTGTTTACATTATTCCATAATGTTTTAGACTTATTATCGAAGTTTTTTATCAACAGGTTATATTTAATTGCTCTACCAAACATTTTTTTCAAATTATTATATTTCATTGATTGATAAAATGATGATAAAACATAAAATACCTACTTATTTTTTTAAATTTACATTAGGGTAATTTATAAAAGTAGGAAAAATTTTAAAAGTTTAAAAAGAAGATATTCACTACAATTAAGATTTGATGAAATATTTAAAAATTAAAAAATTTAATTAGAAAATTTTGGAAATTTGTCTTACCATTTTTAAAACTTATCCCACTGTGCGATTTTTTCCCTTCATTTTTAAATTTATTGACCTGTGCGTGTTTCGTAGGTAATTTCTTCCACAGACAATTTAATGAGATTTACCATTATACAAATTTCTACCAAAAAAGTATTTGTAAAATTTTAATTTGCCTGAAAAAATAAAAACATTTCAAAAATCTTGCAATTATGATAAAAACGACAAAAATGAATATAATATTGAACATTGCATTTATTCAAATGAATGCTGTAGTTGTTTTTATTCCATAACATATAAAAAGTAGCCGTTCTAGATAAAGAATAATTAGCTTTTAATCGGGTTCAAATCGTCTTGTAAAAACAATATTGATACGATTTATATTACAATTAAGTATAGAATTAGGTGTGGAATCCATACTGTGGATATGATATTATAGTGTTTAAAATGGATCCAGGGTTTAATTTAAAGTATGAGAATCCTGTAAGGAAAGCCAATTTTTTCTCAAAATCATTGTTTATGTAAGTACACAAAATCTGCTACTTTTACAATATCTTTGCCCGGTTTTTTCAAAATTCTTATCCAAAAGTACAGTTAAATTACAAAATAGTTTTATTTATAGAACTGCATTGTGATGTTTCCGATATGCACAACTTAAAAAGCTATTTAACATTATATTTCATTTCCAGATGGATGATAAGATTATTCAGGAAAGGCTCAAGAAAAGTCCTTGAAGTGCAAGATTTGTACAAAACATTACCAGCAGATCAATCAGACCATCTTGGAGATGTTTTGGAGGGCAATTGGAACGAAGAAATAGCAAAGGCAAAGGCGAAAAACAAAAAACCTAGTCTTATCAGAGCACTGGCCAAAACATATCTGGGCAAATACATGTGTTGGGGTGTGGTTATATTTATACAATTTGCTATAATAAGGTAAAAACTGACTCTCAACATTTTTAATCAGTAAAAATATCTCCCTGTATTGTAGACCTGTTCAGCCAATGATTTTGGCAGAGTTATTGAAGTTGTTTACGAGTTATGCACCCAAAGATAGTGGTGTTATTAGAGATATGTATATCTATGGTAGTGGTGTTGTAGGTTTTTCTTTAATTCTTATCTTTATGGTACATCACTCAAATTATGGTCAATCCAGAATTGGTATGAGGATAAGAGTTGGGGTTTCATCTTTGGTTTACAGAAAAGTAAGTTTATTCCATTTTAAAACGAATTCACCATCAACATTTTGTAGTTACTGAAACTGAATAAATCAGCCCTTAAAAACACAGCTGCAGGCCAGGTTGTAAACCTTCTATCCAACGATGTAAACAGATTTGATTTGGTAGTCCTACAATTGCACTTTTTGTGGATAATGCCTTTTCAGATAGGTCTAGTGACTTTCTTCATGTGGCAGGAAGTGGGCATATCAACGTTGGCTGGCGTATTTAGCATGGTAATTTTCACTATACCTCTACAAGGTTATCTCGGTAAAGTAACATCAAATCTGCGAAGAAAAATCGCTTCGAAAACTGATCGAAGAGTTGTTCTTATGAACGAAGTTATATCAGGTATACAAGTTATTAAAATGTATGCTTGGGAGAAACCGTTCGAAAAACTCATCCACTGGGCGAGAAAAACTGAAATTCACAGTTTAACCAAGTCAGCATACCTACAAGGATTTTTTTTGAGTTCTCTGGTGTTCGTAGAACGAACCACGTTGTTTTTGACATGCGTTTGTTTCGTACTCACAGGGCATGTCTTAACGGCAGACATAGTTTTCCCAATAGCGCAATTCTTCAACATACTCCAGATGACGATGGCTATGTTATATCCAGCCGCTATAACCTACGGTGCTGAAAGTTTGGTGGCTATAAGACGTATCGAGAAATTTTTATTACTCGATGAAAAGCAGAAAGCCGATCTTAAACACACCAGCGATGGAAGCTTGCTTGTGTCAAACGTGGATGCAGAGTGGGTGGAAGGAAACACCGTGTTGGAGAATATTTCCTTCACTGTACCTAAAGGATCCTTATGTGCTATTATAGGTCCTGTAGGTTCCGGAAAAACTACAATTTTGCAGCTTTTTTTGGGAGAGTTGATACCAAAGACTGGCAAAATTAGCATTGGGGGTGAAATATCATACTCATCTCAAGAAGCCTGGCTTTTTTCATCTTCTGTAAGAAGCAACATTCTATTTGGTTTGGAGTATAATTATCTACGATATAATCAAGTTATTAAGGTAAATACTAAAATATATTATAAACATCACACACCAACTCCTTTTTAAATAAAGGTTTGTGCCCTGGAAAAAGACTTCAAACAGTTCCCACAAGGCGATAAAACCATCGTAGGAGAAAGAGGTGTCTCTCTAAGTGGTGGTCAAAGAGCTAGAATTAATCTAGCTCGTGCTATATACAGACAAGCCGATATATATTTACTTGATGATCCATTATCAGCGGTTGATACTCACGTTGGACGTCACCTATTCGACGAATGCATATCCAGACATTTAACGGGCAAAACCAGGGTTCTAATAACGCATCAACTGCAGTATCTCAAAATGGCTGACCATATTATTGTTCTTGATGAGGTAAATTATATTTGACGTTTTTGGAGTGGATAAAATGATCGCATAATTGTGTTTAGGGGAGAATCGCAGCACAAGGAACATTCGAGGAATTATCAGACAGCAATTTGGACTTCACCAAGCTTCTAATAGCTTCAGATGAACAGCAAGATAAACCTGAAGAACCCGTGGTAGAAAAATCTTTGTCTAGAAGGATGTCCAGAAAAAGTTCTGCCATATCATGCTTGGTAATAATTTTACTGCTTCATATAAAACGTTAAATTTTTAAAAATTTAAAATTCCTCCTAAGATAACCAACTCCATGGAAATGGAAGTACTGGGGAGCATAAATAACGAAATCCAAATATTCAGGGACTCATTTTGTAGAGATGAAAAGGTCGTAATAACTTAACCAAAATTTTGCACTGATATTCTTTGTACATGCACTTCTATATATGTTTGCTGCATCCACTGATCAGTCGACCTAACTTTTTTGGTTTTTAGAGCCACATCTCTGACAGCGTTGAAATGGAGCTACAGGAATCCAAAGTCGTAGAGGAGGAGGAAGTTATAGGCGATTTATCACCATTTAAAGAATACTTTAAAGCAGCTGGTAGCACATGTACAATAATATTACTTGTTATAACACTCATATTGGGTCAAATCGCTTCTTCTGGGGCTGATTACTGGGTAACCTACTGGTAATAGTGACAACAAACTTTGTTAAACCAACAAATACACGTTTTGTTATGCATCTAGGACTCAACAGGAAGCCATAAGGCACGCTAATGACAGCATATTAAAGGTAGACGAACCCAGTATGGTTCTACTAAACAACACTAGTAGCCCAACAAACATCAACTTTTTCTATCAGGCTACAGACACAGTTTCATCATTTTTCGACAACCTATACGACACATTTTTAAACGGCAACTTGATGGAAAATACCTCAATGAAAACGAATGTAGCCATATACATTTACACCATCTTTATCATCGGTTCTATAGTTTTTACTTTGATGAGAGCTTTCTTCTTCTTCAGCGTGTGCATGAGGGCGTCGAGGAATCTCCACAAAAAGATGTTCACTTGTTTGTTCAAGGCGCCGATGAGGTTTTTCGATACCAACCCCAGTGGAAGAGTTTTTAATAGGTTTTCTAAGGATATGGGTGCTATCGATGAGTTGTTACCCAGGGTTATGATCGTAGCTCTACAAGTATTTAAGATGATTTTGTTGTGATTTTTGAGTTATAGTTATAGTTTGCTTTTAGAATACATTGGTGATGATAGGTATTTTGGTTAACGTATCCATATCAAATCCGTATGTAATTATATCTGTGATTATATTGGGTATACTGTTTATTTTATTAATGAATTGGTACATTGCCACAACTAAGGCTCTCAAACATATTGAAGGAATAAGTACGTGTACACAAAAAAAAATTTCTATATTTTTGAACTTTTTTTTAGCTAAATCACCCATGTTTTCCCATGTTAACTCCTCTTTAAACGGTTTAACCACCATAAGAGCTTCAAAGGCACAACAAACGCTTATAAATGAGTTTGATCATCACCAGGTATTTTTTAATTAAAATAAGGTGTCCAAAATGATCTCATATTATGTTTTTTTACAGGATGTCCACACTTCTTCCTGGTTCCTGACAATAACCTCTGTGGTGTCTTTTGGCCTATGGTTGGACATCCTTTGCGTAATTTTTGTGGCCTGCGTTACCTACAGTTTTGTATTTTTAGCTTCAAGTAACTTTTCTTTATTCACAAGATATTTATTTAACTGTTTCGGTGGTTTTTAGTAACTGAAGTAAATGGCAGTTTGGTAGGTCTTGCCATATCCCAATCCATGATCCTAACGGGCATGTTGCAAAACGGTATGCGTCAAACTGCCGAAGTTATAAATCAGCTTATCAGTGTCGAGAGGGTGTTGCATTACACAAAAATAGAACAAGAAGGCCCCTTTGAAACTGATGAGCATAAAAGACCGTCGAAATCCTGGCCCGATAAAGGCGATGTCAGTTTTAAAAACCTGTATCTGAAGTATGTTGAAAGTGACCCCCCCGTTTTGAAGAACCTTAACATAGATATCCATCCGGGAGAAAAAGTGAGAAAAAAGTAAAAAAAAATACAATTTAAGCTTCTTTTTTTGTAGATTGGTATAGTTGGCAGAACTGGAGCAGGTAAATCATCCCTTATTACAGCCCTGTTCAGGCTGTCGCCAATAGAAGGAAACCTGATAATAGATGGGCTAGACACGAAAGAAATCGGTTTAAGCGACTTGCGTAAAAAAATATCCATCATCCCTCAAGAACCAGTCTTGTTTTCCGCCACGTTAAGATATAATTTAGACCCTTTCAAAGAATATGAGGATAATCAGCTATGGAGAGCTTTAGAAGAGGTAAGATGGAGAAAAAGACGTAGATGTCGCAGCTTATATATATATTATAATATATTAAAGAAGAGTTTTTGTATTTAGGTCGAATTAAAAGATGCAGCATCATCCCTGGACTTCCAGGTATCAGAGGGTGGTAGTAATTTCAGTTTAGGTCAGAGACAGTTAATTTGCCTTGCTAGAGCAATTCTACGTATGAATAAAGTTCTTGTTCTTGACGAAGCCACTGCAAATGTAGACCCACAGTAAGTTTTATCTATGTTAACATAATTTTCCAAAATTTGATAATGTTTTCTTCCTTAGAACGGATCATTTAATTCAAAAAACAATACGAACCAAATTTGCAAATTGTACAGTACTTACCATAGCCCACAGACTTAACACTATAATGGATTCAGATAAAGTCTTGGTTATGGAATCAGGCACAATGGTGGAATTCGACCATCCTCACTTGCTACTGCAAAATCCCGATGGGTACTTCCACAAAATGGTTCTGGAAACTGGCCCCAGTATGACTTTGCAACTCAAAGATGTTGCGCAAGAAGCATATGAAAGTAAAGTCTAAATTGCGCGTTAATTATTAGGTATCTTGTGAATCCTTGTTAGTTGTTAAATATTTTATTTTGTAAATATTACGTATTTTTATTTCTATACAACTAGTTTTATTTTACCTTTATCATTTTCGGCGTACAGTATGAATCCACGTTAAACACCAAAACAAACATGTTCTGTAAATTTTACACAGTGTATATACAGGGTGTTTTAAAAGTCAAGGACAGCAGAAAAGGGGTGGATAGAGGATGAGATTTGGGTTCAGGAGGAATGTTCATTTTTTGTGTGTTTTAACTTGCAAATGACGTTAAAATAACTAAATCTACCAAGATAAAGTTCAAATATCTTCATATTATATTGGCATAGTTGTAATCGTGTGATTTGCACCAGCAGGATATACTTCATAGTCCTATAACTTTTTGGTGTATCAATCTGGTATCTGAAATGTTATGACCACTTTTGACACCACCTTAAAGTTGCCTAAACTTTAAAGTGGATTATGAATTGTAACGGCAAGCAAACCACATCTCTTAAGTATTACTTTGAAGTGGTAGTAGTATTAAAGTGGGTATACCAGTTTTGGCAACGTTTTCCGAACTTTTCCCAAAAATTGAATGTGGCAGAACTTGATTATAAAATTGAGGTGGTTATTAATGACCACCTTAAGTGATTTCCATGTTTCACATATACTTTAAATGGTAACCCTATAGGGTTACCATTTAAAGTTCCCTTCTTTAAAAGCAGACATGTTTACAAATAGTCTATATTGTACTACCGCACCAAATTTAAGACGTTAATAGATAATTATTTAGGTGACCAGAAATTATTTCAGGCCTCTAGATGTCATGACACTGCAGTCAGAAAAAACAAAGATAATAAGATAAATAGTATGCTGGTCGCGACATTGAAAACACAGATCCTCAGTTTATACCCTTATAATTGTTATTATAATAAGTACGTACATATTTCTCAGCCCTAATTATGACAAAAATAAATATACTTATTTCATTATAAATTTTAATTGTGTGTACTTAACATATTCAAAAAGTAATAGGGTCTTATGTTCTGGAAAAAATGGCCATTTACGTAGATAAGAATTTTTTAAATTAAGATATGAAAATTCATACCTTATTATTAATAATAATATGGGTAAGACCTGTTAAAATTCTTAGTTATGATAAGGTTAAATGAAGTATTTTATCCGAAATCAGCAGTAAAGTAGAACTTTACTGCCAATTTAATACGAGTATTGTATGCAACCCATTATACATTTTAAGATGTGTCTACTGCTCCTCAGCAGCAACTAAATAATATTTAAAAAAAGTATTATTAAATGCGATTTTCGATAAAATTTAATATGGACCTCGGCATTTAAGTCATTTTTTTATCACGTGGTTAATTTCCACATTCGTGATAAAAAAATACGACTTTACTGCCTTAATACATAAATAACTATTAAAACCACTATTATTTATTTTACAAAAAATAATTTTTGCTAAAATGTTAAATTTTTAGGTACTTCAAATACATATTAATTTTAGACTTTCTTTGCAGAAGAAGTCTAGACTGAAGAAATGGTTTCGCACAGTGGGGCAAACAATTTTTCCAAAGACATGATCTACTCCACTATTTATCTTATTAATTTATTTTTTCACAATACATATAACTTTAGTTACATACATTGATTTATCGTTAACGGAGTATCACAGTGAAAGTCTATATTTTTTAAGTTTGATAATAAATCAGGTACTATTTTGATCATATTATTAAACTTATTAAAATAAAAACAAATATGGGCAGGATATTCTATAATTTCTGTGTCCTTTTTACTGTTTTAGTATTTTTAATTTGTTTACAATATTCCATAATGTTTTAGACTGTTACATTTAATTGTTTGACTAAACATTATTTCCATATTATTATATTCCATTTTATAAATACTATCTACTGCAGTAGCATCATGATGATAAAACATAAAATACGTACCTAGTTAATTTTTTTGTTTTACATTAGGGTTAATTATAAAAGTAGAAAAAATAATAAAAGTTTGAAAGGTATCTATTAACTACAATTAATAAAGGTTTGATAAAATTTTAAAATTTTGAAAATTTTAGAACATTAGAAAATTTTGAAAATTATTTATAAAATGTATCCCACTGTGCTAATTTTTCCCATCATTTTTTTAATTTATTTACCTGTGCGAATGTTTGGGTAATTTTTCCCATGGGACAATTGCAAAGACAATTTAATGAGATTTACCATTGAATACAGGTCCAGCAAAAAAGCCATTTTAAAATTTTAATTTGCCAGAAAAATGAAAAGCATTTCAAAAATCTATATAATGATAATAATGATATAGTTATACAGGGTGTTATGTAATTAATGTTATATATTAAAATACTGAATACCTTTTGACATAAGGAATAAAGGAAAAATATTTAAAAAAACATTTTTCCAAAGATAAAGAAAAATTATGCATTAGAAGTTTTTTATATTTTTTGTGATACGCCACTGGTTACACACTTGTTTATCTCTGCACACCTGTATTTTGTGAGTACATAGATACCAACCAACAAAGTAGCTATGCGTTGCCAGATGTAAAAAAATGTTACTAAAAATTTGTCTTGCAAAAAATAAATAAAAACTCAATAAATACAAAAGTTTTATGCCCTTAAAGCTCTAATACCCTTCTGTATTTATTTACTGATCCAGATATTAGCTTAAGCAATGATTAGAAAATTTAGTACCTTTGAAATTTGAAATCCATAACCACAAAATTAATTTTTTCATCAGTTTTTTTCTCTGTTTACTCAGATGAAATTGGGACCAGTTCACAGGTTAAACTTTAAACATTTAATTTGTGTAAATAAATCCAAAAGCACTTCCCTTAGTTAAGATATTTACAATTTGAAAACATAACCTAAAATTTAAAAGAAATGCACTAGATTCTGTCATAAAAGTTGGCAGATTTTGTTTGAATTTACCTTCAGTACAAAAATGAAACAACCAACAATTAATAAAAACGCCAAATTGACAATTTGCATTGTTAATTTTGTCATTTTTGTAATTAAGCTAAATTTAAACAATGTTTGTCAACTTTTTTAAGAGATTTTGGAAACACTGTTGTTACCAACCATAACATAATAAATCCACCAGATTAACCTAGTCGATCAGTGGCGTACTTTTTGGTATTTATAAAAAAAAAGTTTCAGGTGCTTCTTTATGGACCCTAAGGAACAACACATTTTAATAAATTATATTAATTACATAACACCCTGTATAATAGAGAGGGTAGAAAGATAAAGAATAAATAGGTTTTAATGGGGTTCAAGCAATATTAACTCGAGTAAAGAATTGTATGTGGGATATAAAATTATAGAGTTTAAAATGGATCCAGGGTTTAATTTAAAGTATGAAAATCCTGTAAGGAAAGCCAATTTTTTCTCAAAATCATTGTTTATGTAAGTACACAAAATCTGCTACTTTTACAATATCTCTGCCAGGTTTTTCCGAAATTCTAATCCAAAAGTGGAGTTAAATCACAACATAGTTTTTCTCCACATAACTGCATTGTAGTACTGCTGATATACACAACTTAAAAAGCTATTTAACATTATATTTTATTTCCAGATGGATGATAAGATTATACAGAAAAGGCTTAAGTAAAGTGCAAGATTTGTACAAAACATTACTAACAGATCAATCAGACCACCTTGGAGATGTTTTGGAGAGCAAATGGAACGAAGAAATAGCAAAGGCAAAGGCGAACAACAAAAAACCTAGTCTTATCAGGGCACTGGCCAAAACATATCTAGGCAAATACATGTGTTGGGGTGTGGTTATGTTTATACAATATGCTATAATAAGGTAAAAACTGACTCCCAACATTTTTAATGATAAAAATATCTCCATGTAATGTAGACCTATTCAGCCAATGATTTTGGCACAGTTATTAAAGTTGTTCACGAGTTATGCACCCAAAGATAGTGGTGTTATTAGAGATATGTATCTCTATGGTAGTGGTGTTGTAGTTTTTTCCGTAATTTTTATCTTTATGATACATAACTCAAAGTATGGTCAATCCAGAATTGGTATGAGGATAAGAGTTGGGGTTTCATCTTTGGTTTACAGAAAAGTAGGTTTATTCCATTTTAAAACGAATTCACCATCAACATTTTGTAGTTACTGAAACTGAATAAATCAGCCCTTAAAAACACAGCTGCAGGTCAGGTTGTAAACCTTCTATCCAACGATGTAAACAGATTTGGTTTGGCGGTCCTACAAATGCACTTTTTGTGGATAATGCCTTTCCAAATAGGTCTTGTGACCTTCTTCATTTGGCAGAAAGTGGGCATATCAACGTTGGCTGGCGTAGTAAGCATGGCACTCTTCACCATACCTGGACAAGGTTATCTTGGCAAAGTAACATCAAATCTGCAAAGAAAAATCGCTTCGAAAACTGATCGAAGAGTTGTACTTATGAACGAAGTTATATCAGGTATACAAGTTATTAAAATGTATGCTTGGGAAAAACCGTTCGAAAAGCTCATCCACTGGGCGAGAATAACTGAAATTCACAGTTTAACCAAGTCAGCATACCTACAAGGAATTTTTTTGAGTTCTATGGTGTTCATAGAACGAACCACGTTGTTTTTGACATGCGTTTGTTTCGTACTCACAGGGCATGTCTTAACGGCAGACATAGTTTTCCCAATAGCCCAATTCTTCAACATACTCCAGATGACGATGGCTATGTTATACCCAGCCGCTATAACCTACGGCGCTGAAAGTTTGGTGGCTATAAGACGTCTCGAGATTTTTTTATTTCTCGATGAAAAGCAGGAAGCCGATCTTAAACACACCAACGATGGAAGCTTGGTTGTGTCAAACGTGGATGCAGAGTGGGTGGAAGGAAACACCTTGTTAGAAAATATTTCTTTTACTGTACCTAAAGGATCGTTATGCGCTATTATAGGTCCTGTAGGTTCCGGAAAGACTACAATGTTGCAGCTGTTTTTGGGAGAGTTGATAGCAAAGACTGGCAAAATTAGCATTGGGGGTGAAATATCATACTCATCTCAAGAAGCCTGGCTTTTTTCATCTTCTGTAAGAAACAACATTCTATTTGGTTTGGAGTATAATTATCTACGATATAAACAAGTTATTAAGGTAAATACTAAAATATTTTATAAACATCATACACCAACTCCTTTTTAAATAAAGGTTTGTGCTCTTGAAAAAGACTTGAAACAGTTCCCACAAGGCGATAAAACCGTCATAGGAAAAATAGGTGTCTCTCTAAGTGGTGGTCAAGGAGCTAGAATTAATCTAGCTCGTGCTATATACAGACAAGCTGATATATATTTACTTGATGATCCATTATCAGCGGTTGATACTCACGTTGGACGTTACCTATTCGACGAACGCATATCCAGACATTTAATGGACAAAACCAGGGTTTTAATAACGCATCAACTACAGTATCTTAAAACGGCTGATCATATTATTGTTCTGGATGAGGTTAATTATATTTGTCGTTTTTGGAGTGGATAAAATGATCGCATAATTGTGTTTAGGGAAGGATTGCAGATCAAGGAACATTCGAGGAATTATCAAACAGCAATTTGGACTTCACCAAGCTTCTAATAGCTTTGGATGAACAGCAAGATAAACCTAAAGAACCCGTGGTAGAAAAATCTTTGTCTAGAAGGATGTCCAGAAAAAGTTTTGCCATATCATGCTTGGTAATGATTTTACTACTATATATTAAACGTTGCATTTTTAAAAATTTAAAATTCCTCCTAAGAAAACCGACTCCATGGAAATGGAAGTACTGGGAAGCATAAATAACGAAATCCAAATATTCAGGGACTCATTTTGTAGAGATGAAAAGGTCGTAATAACTAAATAAAAATCTTGCACTGATATTCTTTGTACATACACTTTTATATATTTTTGATTTTTATAACATCCACTGATCAGTCGACTTAACATCTTTGGTTTTTAGAGCTCCATCTCTGACAGCGTTAAAATGGAGCTACAGGAATCCAAAGTCGAGGAGGATAAGGAGGAAGTTGTAGGCGATTCATCACCATTTAAAGAATACTTTAAAGCAGCTGATAGCACATGTGCATTAATATTACTTGTTATAACAGTCATATTGGGCCAAATCGCTTCTTCTGGGGCTGATTACTGGGTAACCTACTGGTAATAGTGACAACAAACCTTATTAAACCAAAACATTAACCTTTCTTATGCATCTAGGACCCAACAGGAAGCCATAAGGCACGCTAATGACAGCATATTAAAGGTAGACGAACCCAGTATGGTTCTACTAAACAACACTAGTAACTCAACAACCAACAACTTCTTCTACCATGCTGCAAACACCGTTTCATCATTCTTCGACACAACTTTGAACGGCAATTTCACGGAAAATAACTTAATGAAAACGAATGTAGCCATATACATTTACACTATCTTCATCATAAGTTCTATAGTTTTTAATTGATGAGATCTTTCTTGTTCTATAGCGTGTGCATGAGGGCGTCAAGAAATCTCCACAAAAAGATGTTCAATTGTTTGTTGAAGGCGCCGATAAGGTTTTCGATACCAACCCCAGTGGAAGTGTTCTAAATAGGTTTTCTAAGGATATGGGAGCTATCGATGAATTGTTACCTAGGGTTATTATCGTAGCTCTACAAGTAATTTTGATGATTTTGTTGTGATATTTTAGAGTTATAGTTTGTTTTTAGGTTACATTGGTAATGATAGGTATTTTGGTTAACGTATTCATATCAAATCCGTATGTAATTATAGCTGTGATTGTATTGGGTATACTTTTTATTTTCTTGAGAAATTGGTACATTGTCACAACTAAGGCTCTCAAACATATTGAAGGAATAAGTACGTGTACAAAAAATGATTTTCTTTATTTTCTATTTTTGTTATAGCTAAGTCACCCATGTTTTCCCATGTTAACTCTTCTTTAAACGGATTAACCACCATAAGAGCTTTCAAGGCACAACCAACGCTTATACATGAGTTTGATCATCACCAGGTATTTTAATATAAAATACCCCTAAAATGATTCCATATTCATCTTTTAGGATGTCCACACTTCTTCCTGGTTCCTGATAATAACCTGTGTAGGGTCTTTTGGCCTATGGTTGGACATTATATGCGTAATTTTTGTGGCCTGCGTTACCTACAGTTTTGTATTTTTAGCTTCAAGTAACTTTTCTTAATTCACAAGATTTCCATTTTACTGTATTGGTGGTTTTTAGCTACTGAAGTAAATGGCAGTTTGGTAGGTCTTGCCATATCCCAATCCTTGATCCTAACGGGCATGTTGCAAGGCGGCATGTCTCATACTGCCGAAGTTATAAATCAGCTTATCAGTGTCGAGAGGGTGTTGCATTACACAAAAATAGAACAAGAAGGCCCGTTTGAAACTGATGAGCATAAAAGACCGTCGAAATCCTGGCCCGATAAAGGCGATGTCAGATTTAAAAATCTGTATTTGAAGTATGTTGAAAGTGACCCCCCCGTTTTGAAGAACCTTAACATAGATATTCATCCAGGAGAAAAAGTAAGAAACAAGTAAAAAAAATGTAATTTAAACTTTTTTTTGTAGATTGGTGTAGTTGGCAGGACTGGAGCGGGTAAATCCTCTCTTATAACGGCCCTGTTTAGACTGTCGCCAATAGAAGGAAACCTGATAATAGATGGGCTAGACACGAAATCGGTTTAAGCGACTTGCGTAAAAAAATATCCATCATCCCTCAAGAACCGGTTTTGTTTTCCGCCACGTTGAGATTTAATTTGGACCCCTTCCAAGAATATGAGGATGATCAACTATGGAGAGCTTTAGAAGAGGTAAGATGGAGGAAAAGACGTATGTAGATGTCGCAGCTATATAAATTATAATATATTAAAGAAGAGTTTTTGTATTTTAGGTCGAATTAAAAGATGCAGCATCATCCCTTGACTTCCAGGTATCAGAGGGTGGTAGTAATTTCAGTTTAGGTCTGAGACAGTTAATTTGCCTAGCTAGAGCAATTTTACGTAATAATAAAGTTCTTGTTCTTGACGAAGCCACTGCAAATGTAGACCCACAGTAAGTTTTATCTATGTTAACATAATTTTCCAAAATTTGATATTGTGTTCTCTCTTAGGACGGATTATTTAATTCAAAAAACAATACGAACCAATTTTGCAAATTGTACAGTACTTACCATAGCACACAGACTTAACACTATAATGGATTCAGATAAAGTCTTGGTTATAGAATCAGGCACAATGGTGGAATTCGACCATCCTCACTTGTTACTGCAAAATCTCGATGGGTACTTCCACAAAATGGTTCTGGAAACTGGCCCCAGTATGACTTTACAACTCAAAGATGTAGCGCAAGAAGCATACGAAAGTAAATCGAAATTGCGCGTTTTTAAATCTTATTAATCACTAGCAAAACAAACATGTTCTGTGAATTTCACACAGTGCATATATATTTGTTTTAGGACAGTGTCATAATGACAGTGTAAAAACAAAGTCAGCTGTGAAACGTCAGAAAAAGAAATTTAAAATTTCAAATAACACATTTTTCGTGAAAGCTAAAAATAATTAGTATAATGATGTATATGTTGCGCCTTTTGCCCCTGAAACATCTAAAACATGTATTTCGGGTAAAATTACCCCTAAAAAACAAATATTACAATAAACATAACCTCACTTATGGTAGAAATCGTAAGACAAAGCTCCTTCGATGACAAGTTGAGCCCACGTATAAAATTTCGCGAAAAACTTAAAACGAAAACCTCTATAGGCAAACTAGATGAATTAGAGGGCTCGATAATATAAACCCTAATACAGTAGAAGTGGGGGCCCTAAAGTTGCAGAACCTACTAGATATTGTGAGCGTAAGGAACGCGTTATTGATTTTTAGGTTATTATTTAGATATATATATATATATCTTAATAATCCCAATCGCCATATCTACTAGGTTCTGGACGTTGGAGACGTCTATAGACTAAGTCAAATTTTTGTTATTAGACTTAGTTGTTTTGATGTTTAATAAATAAATTCCATATTTTTTGCATATTGTTTTATTTATACCAAATATTAATATTAATTTGTGTCTATAATTTGCTTTATCCAAGGCACATGGCATAAAGTCTACAACTTTTAGGTCATGCGATTAATAAGTACTTATCAGATTTTTGCAGATGATGGCCCCTTCCACTCTTGGTTAGATTCGTTTGTTCTTTACATATATGTATATAAGGTGATTTATATTGGCCTGGGGTTAGATCTCCAGGTATGCTGTTACTTATCACTAAATTACTTTCGTGTTCGTATGGTCTTTAGCACTTGTTGAGGGTTGCTTTTTAATGCACTAATTTAATGTTTCTATTAAGACTTTACACCAATTTCCCACAGTTTTTTCCTTAAACTACACTGTATAAGCGCGATTTTTATTTAGGACTTATTATAGTCTAAGAGCTAGCAACGTTTTCGAGAGAGAATTTTAAGAAAGCTGATTCTTTAATATATATTTCCCTATGCTCTCTCGAACAGCGTGCGGGCTACCTGGCTGCCGGTAAACGTTGCGTTTATTACTGCGCATCACACCTTTACAGGTAAAAATATTAAATTTTAAATAATTTTAAGACATTTTTTTTCTTTTTCACTAACTTTTAAACACTATTAGAAACATGAATTTCTTAGTGCCAGACATTTTTGTTATTGACAATAATGTACCAGATGCTATTTTTATAAACAAAAAAAAATTAATTTCAAACCATTTTAGTATGTCTGTAATTTTAATATTATTTTATTTATATATAAATATGTATAAAATTAATTTGCCAGACATTAATTTGGTTGCGTACTCAATAACCAGACCGATTTATTGCTGTAAAAATAATATGTATGAATTATGAATTAGTTAAAAATAACTAATTATAAGTCATATTTGACTAACTGTCATAGCGAAAAAGCAGTAACTAATAATTAGTCAAATTCCACTGAATTAAATAGTCAAATTAGTAAATTAAAATTTAAACAAAGTTTTGACCCAGCCTGGGATTGAACTCACTGTCACTTGACAAGTTTTCAAGCTAGCCTCTTAACGCATTCGGCTGTCAGCCGCTCTTATAAAAATCAATTTTATTTGTCAATAAATATTGTTCATAATATTTTAAAGTTTAATATATTATTTGTGTTGCTTTTTTGAGCTAAACTTTTTGCATCTTTATTTGTTTTATGGGTCATTTAACCATGGAGAGGTATATGCATTTAATTCAAATCAGGGCCATATTACCCATTAGGCAGGCAAGGCAATTGCCTTAGGCGCCACGTAGAAATAGGCGCCTTGTCCCCAAGCAACTTAAAAAAAATAAAAATTGCTACCAAAATGTTTATTTTTTCCAAAAATTGTAATAACAGAATATTTTTTACTGTTTTTATTATTTTATAAAAATTTAGCTTCCTTTCTAATAACGAGGTGTAAAGCCGACAAAAATCGTGCCGCAAATTCACTTCTGTATAAACATATCTTTAGCACTCTTTAAACTATTTCAAAACCCCCGTATGCTCCAAGCACACGGATTCCTCTTGCATCGGGTACCCGCTGTGATGTGCTGCTCACCCCAGCGGGTACGCGATACTAGAGGAAACTGCTGCCGGAAGGACTTGGGTGTTTTCGCGTTTATTCAAGAGTGGCACTTCTATGTGTTGTGTGTTTGGTGATAGCAGTCTGTGTTCGATAGTTAAGGTTGATTTAGCCTGCCTTTTAAATTAAATTACGTTACGTTAGATTACGTTACACAAAATGCTGGCTAAATACACATTTAGATAGTGTTAATTTTTCTGTTTGTTTTAAGGTATTTCTGAAATTTTAATATTAAACTAATTACAATAAACCAGCAGTACATCTAACATACAAATACAGAAAATTAAAGTTGATTTAATTTTTTTAAAATACTTACTAATGAAACGCAGTTATAAGTCCTAACACTTTTTATTTACATTATATTTGTTATGTTTGTATGTTATTTATGTTTTTTATGTATTTTTTTAATGATAAAAAGTATTCTAATTCATAGGGAATAATTGGGTTATAATTCTCGGGCGCCCTTAAGCTAACAGTTTGGGGTGGCTCTAATAAGCTTTTTTAAAATTTGCCCAGGGCCCCGTAATTATAGTATCTAGTTAGAGGAGCCAAATTTTTAAATGCCTAAGGCGCTCAATTGCCTTAAGCCGGCTCTGATTCAAATAATACTTTGTTGTTGGCCGTAAACGATTAAAGAAATTAGTTACTTTTAACTGTCAGAAGAGTTTAGTTTAGGTGGCTGTGTGAGACAATTGCCGCGGCGCATGTTTTCAAGACGGCGTCAGATTTAAGTCATATGTTTACGTTTGTTGTAGTTTTTTAATGTTTACCGTGAAATTTCAATATAATAATGGCTTGCAAAATGAAATGTGTCTTTTGTAATGAAAATAATGATAAAATATTAAATTTTGTGGAAGAAAAATTGGAAAAATGTAAAGAAGTTTTGAGCGTACGTGTTAAATTTAACTTAAAATATAATAACATAAAGTTACCGGAGCAAATTAATACTTCTGATGGATACCACAGAAAATGTTATAGTTCTTTTACAGCCTTAATGGCTAAGTATCGTAATATATCTGACAATAATTCTATTTCATCAACAAATCTTCCTAGTAGATCTAGTTCTACGCCGTTATTGCCGAATACTCCAATAGATGTGAGTGAGACAGTGTTACGTAGTGATGGGGCTTCCAATTTATCAACGACAGATCTACCTAGTGCGACGTTATTACCGGATCTTCCTAGCACATCAAATTATAGTGCTTTATTACCGAATACTCCAGTAAGTGAGAGTGAGGCAGTGTCATATGATGCTTGTTCAAATCGATGTCCTGATTCAAACATCCAAGAAACCAACTCTTGTCCTGAAATCCCGCTGACCGTGGATCATGAATCAACTGACACAAGTCTTAGTAATAAAAGAGTTTGTTTTTTCTGTGGAAAATATCGAAAACAATTTAAAGGCAAGCAACAAAGTTTACATTCCTCCAATGATGTCAAAACGTATGAGAAAATAACAGAGTGGGTGACAAAATTCCAAAATCAAGTATTGTTAAAAAAAATTAATGATCTTAAAACCTCAAATGATACAATTTTGTATCACCATTCGTGTGAATTGGGATATTTAAATGACTACAAGAGAATAATTGCTGATACTGAACGCACCTCCTGGCATAGTGTAAGAGATATTCATAAGAATATTTTTGATAAAATTGTGTCAGTAATTGAAGAAGATATAATTAAAAAAAAAGTTATTTGTTATTAGCTTCTCTTTGTGACACGTATAATAACAAATTACAACAAGAGTTAATACTTCAACCCGAAGCAGATGTAAATTTAATGACGAATCATTATCTTGCGGAAAAAATACTAAAACAATTCAAACAAATTGAGATTGTAACAAAAAAGAAACAAAAAATTATTATGCATAAAGATTGTAACTTATTGGAAGATGAAGATCTTATGATACTTGAAGAGAATGATCTCATTGATAAAGTTGCATTAATTCTACGAAATACTATTTTAAAAATGGATAAAACAAAATTACCTGCAGTAATGAAGACTGAGGATTTGATTAATGGTGAGTGTACGATTCCTGAAAAATTAGATCGCTTTTTTAAAGCATTAATTGGAGGTAAAGATATTCGTCGCAGAGATGGAGTTAATTGTCATAGATTAAGCAAATCATTGGCTTCTGATGCTATTTTTTGTGTAAGTAATGGTACTGTTAAACCATCGAAGCATATAACTCTAGGTATGACCGTGAAAAGTCTTACAAGTAGTCGAAAAATGATAAATATTTTGAATAGACTTGGACATTGTTGTAACTACAATACGCTGGAAGAATTAGAAACTGAAGCTACGATCTCATCTGTAAACCGTTCAGAAATTTGTCCTCCTGACATCATTCGAAGTCCGTCATTATGCACAGGTGTAGCATTCGATAATTTCGATAGATACGTCGATACTTTAAATGGAAAAGATACTTTGCATGACACCGTAGGAATCATCTACCAAATTGTAAGTGATGAATACGATGTAGAATTGAATTTTAGCAATATTATAGAAAATCTTGACTTGCCGCCACCACCACCAGCAAAAAGAAGACGGACCTTTATCGAAGAAATTCCTGAAATACAATCATTTGGTAATCGATTGCAGATGATAGAAAACTTAACACCGGTTGAAGACAATGAACCAACTCTGCCAGAAAACTTACCTTTGCTAGAAACAATAGATCTGTTATATTTACTCTCACACGTCTTTCATGTGCCAAATACTCCAATGTGGACAGGTTTTAATTCTAAAATCATTGAAGATACTAGCCCCAAACAAAAAGTTTCTTATCTTACACCTATTAATTTTTCACCAACAAATGCAGCAGTGGTAAAACATACAATGGAACAGGCCCAAATTATTGGTAAAGAATGTAATCAAAGATACGTGCAAGTTACTTATGATCTGGCAATAGCTAAAATAGCATATAAAATCCAATCAACATCAAAGCCACAATTTAATAATCTCTTCATCCATCTTGGTTCATTCCATTTAATGATGGCTTTCTTTAAAGCCATAGGAGTTTTTAATAATGAGTGTGGTCTATCTCATATGATGATTCAGAGCAATATTATAGCTCCTGGCTCAGTGAACGGGATAATTGAAGGTAAACATTTTAATCGATGCAAACGTCTGCATCCATTGATGGCTCTTGGCTTGCAAATGTTACATTTTGATGAATTCTTAAAAATGAAAAAAATTGAATACAATTTTCTAAAAGAACAAGTTTTTGACGATCTCTTACATTACCAGGAAGTTAAAGTTTCCCATTCATCTACGACAATAGAATTACCCAATCATCTATTATCGAGACTATTATCTTCATATAAAAGATTTGTAGCAAAAACAAGACAAGGTGAACATGGGAAAACAGCTCAATTCTATATGATTTACATCCAGCTTGTAAATTATTATATTACCCTATCAAGAAGCATACGCATGGGTGATTTCGAAATGTTCAAGTATATAATTCCAAAAATAACAAATTTGTTCTTCATAGTAAATCCACCAAATTATGCTCGATGGTGTGTTAAATATTTGGACAATTTGAATAACGTACATGAAACACATCCAGGACTCAAAGATGATTTCATGAACGGATGTTTTGGAATAAAAAGAACCGAAAAACCATTCTCGAGGATTCCAATTGACCTTACACTGGAGCAGACTATCAATGCCGAAGCGGCTAGACGCCTCAGTGGTATTGCACATTTTACCAATTCCATAGCCGCGCGTCAACGCTGGACAAAAAGTCACAGTATTAGAGCTGCTTTAATCTCTCACGTTCTCGATGTTTGTGGATTAAGGCAATTACAAGACGTGACTGCGGATTTACAACCAAATCGAATAAAAATTTATGGCAAACAAATCGCTGATTTCATAGAAATATTTGAGAAAAATACCAATCCATTTGATCAAAACTTATACAAAGATAATTTATACAATATTGCTACTGCCAAACCTGTACCTGACAATATAGCTGACTTTTTGCTGAATATTGAAAAAAATGGTGACGATTTACGAAAACAGTTTATAAATGAATGCGCCGAGGACCAGGATAGATTTGACAAACCAATAAAAAAAAATCAAGTGCTTAACTTTGCTGTTGCTCCAAAAAAGAAAAAAATAACTCTTGGTAACAAAGTTGTTGAACTAAGAATGCAAAGAGATCTATTCGGTCGACTGTTGGGGATATCTATGACCAACAAGGTTGATATTGAAAAAGTACTGGGATTTCCACTAACGCCGGTACCAACATCGATGTGTCATGCAGATGGTAGTATTTGTAAAACAGATAAAGCACATTTAGTCAAACTATTCGAGAAGAAAGTTAGCAGTGTCAATCAGCAATCGTTATGTTTTGATATCAGTATTATAGACGGTTTCTTTATGTTACACCTTATGAAAGAAATACCGCAAACTTTCGATGGTATATCGAAGAAATTTCTCAAAATAATTTCACAATTTAAATCATCTCGCATTGACATTGTGTTTGATCAGTACTTCACACCTTCCATTAAAGATTGTGAGCGTTCACGTCGCAATGAATCAAGCAGTAGAGTTTCCATCACACCTAATCAAATTCGGCCTCATAATTTTGCTGGTGAACTCAAAAATACACAGTTTAAGGAATCCCTCGTTAAATTTTTTATTGATCATTGGGCTAATGATAACATGTCTCCTTTTATTGGGAATAAAACTATTTATCTGAGTTTTGATAAGTGTTACTCGTATCATGTTAAAAATAACCAAGTTATTCAAATTATTAAAGAATCATTATCATGTGAAGAACATGAAGAAGCTGATACTCGAATCATATATCATATTTGCCAGATAAATTTTGATGCTCAAGTTGTTGTACGCTGCTCAGACTCCGATATTCTGATTATACTTCTTGGCAATATGGATCACCTGAATGCATCTTTAAAGCTTTGGATTCAGTGGGGTATAGGAAACCATGAACGTCTAATAAACGTCAATGAATTATACCAAGTTCTTGGTATTTCTTTATCGAAAGCTCTACCATGTTTCCACGCAATAACAGGGTGCGATTACACCCCAGCTTTTTTCCGGAAAGGTAAACTAAGGCCTTTCAAGTTGCTCGAGAAATCTGTTGAGTACCAGTTGGCATGTCAAGAGATTACAACAGACGATAAAAATGTACTCGAACGTACATTTGCCAAGTTAAAAAAATTTATATGTCACATGTATGGGGTGCCTAACTCTTCAAATGTCAACGATGTTCGCTTCTATCTATTTTCAAAAACTTATCAATCGAAAAAATCTGATGATAGTTTTGAAAAAAAATTTCGAAATTTCGATTCATCGAGCTTACCACCATCTAAATCTGAATTATATCAGCATTTATTGCGAGTGCGGTACGTGGCAAAGTTTTGGAGTAACGCTCATTTGAAAAATCCTACATCTTTATCGCCGTTAGCTTCTGGTTGGGTTATCAATGATGACAAATACGATTTTGTCTGGTTTGTTGGAGAGCAGTTTCCATCATCAGTTGCTGACATTATTATAAAAAGTAAAGTATTATTTAGAAAATGAGAAATAAAAAGAGTAACCTAATAATGAAATTTTTTATTTTGTTACAGAACCTACACTACTAAACAACGAAAACACTACGAATGATGATGATGCTGATGATAATAATTATAATGATGAGAGCAGTGACGATGATGACGACTATGGAGATGCATCAACTTTTGCGATTTGAAAATAGATTGTAATTATTTAAATATAATATTTATAAAGAAAAACGAGATTTTTGATACTAGATGAATGTCATTTTTCCTTTCTCTTTCATAAAATTATTTAATATAGTTACAATTCGATTTTTTTTTATTTAAATATGATCTACACTGCGCGGTAAAATTAACGCATAATAAGTAAAAAAATTCTAACTCTAAAACGCCTTTACCAATCTTGTATATATTTTGTATAAAAAATCTTCAACTTATATCTCAGTTTACGTGTTCGAGGGTTTTTTGAGAAAATATTTAAAAAAAAAACTTAATAATATGCTGTTAAAGACCGTATTTTTGTTAGTATACTCTGAAAATTTTGTACAAATTAAACGAACAGTAATGAAGACACAGCGCTTCAAAGTCGCTAAAAATGACTCCTTTTTGATTATTTTGCTGAAAAGTGGTCATTTTTGACGACTTTGGGGCGCTATATTTTCGTTACTGTTCGTTTGATTTGTACAACATTTTTAGGGTATACTAACAAAAATACGGTCTTTTACAGCATATTTTTTATTAACTTCAAAAAAAATTTCCCTGTTAAGTTTTTTTTTCGAGCGTTTTTCATTATTAAATAAAAGGGCTTTAAAAATATTTTCTCGAAAAACCTTTGAACACGTAAACTGAGATATAAGTTGAAGAATTTTCATAAAGATTGGTAAAGGCGTTTTAGAGTTAATGCGTTAATTTTGATATCAAAATAACGTAATTTTTCCCTGTCTTTTGCAAATAATTTATTAAGCTATTTTTTATTATTTTGATAATAATATTTTATTATTTATATAATCGAAGAATTATAAATAAAAAATTACTTTGAATACTTTTAACAGCGTGATGTATTCCTGTCTCTCTTCCGCCTATCTACTTTGCCGCTGTCTCTCTTTAACAACTGACATAATGCAGCGGTACTCTACAGCAATAAATCGGTCTGGTTATTGAGTACGCAACCAAATTAATGTCTGGCAAATTAATTTTATACTTATTTATATATAAATAAAATAATATTAAAATTACAGACATACTAAAATGGTTTGAAATTAATTTTTTTTTGTTTCTAAAAATAGCATCTGGTACATTATTGTCAATAACAAAAATGTCTGGCAATAAGAAATTCATGTTTCTAATAGTGTTTAAAAGTTAGTGAAAAAGAAAAAAAATGTCTTAAAATTATTTAAAATTCAATATTTTTACCTGTAAAGGTGTGATGCGCAGTAATAAACGCAACGTTTATCGGCAGCCAGGTAGCCCGCACAATGTTCGAGAGAGCATAGGAAAAGATATATTAAAGAATCAGCTTTCTTAAAATTCTTGGTTTTCCGACGTTGCTAGCTCTCGTACTATTATTATTAGATAGAGCGATCGAATTTGATCGACTGCCCGACTGTAACGTTAAAGGCTATTTTAAGGTAAGAATTTATCAAAAACCTGATGGGATATAGAAAAGTTAAATTTTGTTTTGTTAATAAAATAAAATAAAAAAATAATAAAAATAATATGCAGCTGACTTTAAGGAAGATTCAACCATATTTAGCCAGTTCTTATTTAACTAAGCTAAAAATATACAACTTGGAGAATATCCAGATGACCTCCTCTATAAAGCTATAGACGAAGTAGAACTCAAAGACCCCGATAACCTAATAAACAGACTGGAAAACAATGTACAAGATGGTGGTGCCAATTACAGCGTAGGACAAAGACAATATGTTTAGCAAGCTATTGTACGAAATAACAAGATTTTAATGTTGGACGAAGCTACCGCAAATGTTGACCCACAGTAAGATAAATATCTTCTGCAAAATCAAAAGGGCAATTTTAACAAAATCGCATCAAGTTATCAGAAGCACACCTTTCCTTGAGAATCTAATTTACCTAATTTTGGTAATGCCTGAACAAACTTATTTTGAAGATATCGTTACATTTTATGTTTGTTAAATTTAACCACTATAATAAAAAGGATTAATAAGTAAGTGTCTTATCATTGCTTAAATTAGTTTTTAAATGTTTAACATTTGGCGACAGGTTGATTTAGAGTACACATTTTGACATGATACGGTATCGGATGTGAGTTTAAATACTTTAAGGTAAGTACTTCATTTATTAATATTGTTTGTTGAGTTCTATGTAAACTTTCTTTAAACTTTTTTAATATTTTCTGCGCTACTACACATTCTGCTCCGTCAATTATCTACTAGATTGTACAAAATAATTTGGACAAATCAGATGAAGTTTTTTACATCCTAGTTTGTAAAAACTGCTGACAGCTCTGAGGTATCTAACCTCACTTTATACTCGCTCAGCACAAAAAGACTTACTTCTCAGCATTATAACATACAAATTTTAAATTATAAATTTTAATTGTGTGTAATAAGGTCATTTAGATAGATAAGATTTTTTTTAAATTAAGATGTAAAAATTCTTACCTTAAATATTAATATGGAAAGAAAATAAATTAAAATTTAATGAAGCTAAATATTCAACGCCACTTAACTGTAAAAATTCATAGTTATGATAAGGTTAAATAAAGTTTTTTACACCATTTTTATCTATTTTACCTAGATAATTAATTGTATGTTTTTAAAGGTTTATTTTTTGTCTGGGATTAAAAAAATAAAATTGTTTTTAAAATTAGTACACTGAAAAACAATTTTACTATCTATCATATTAATATTTATCTAAATAGTACAAAAGAAATAAAACACTAAATTTAGAGGCCTTTTTTAATCAATATTTTACAATAAAAAAACTTATAGGGTAAACTGTCCAACAGTGAACCGCAAATGTTTAAAACTAAAATATTTAGCAAAAAAACATACAAAATTCTGCACAATTTTGGGGTACATAGTACATAAAACTATGAAGTAAAATATAAGCAAAAACTTGTAACCTTTGAAAAAAAGTATAAAAAATTTAGTTTTACACAAAAAATGTCGTATCTGAGTGAATCTCACAAAATGTCCCCGATGGTGTTACTCCTTGATATTTAATAAAATAAATGAGTTTGACCTACACTTTCATTGTGTTTTGATTTTTCATAATTAAGTAGATATTACAGCCAGATTTTTAACCGCAATTAATTATTTTTTACAATGTTTTAAAATTCTAAAACCTATCCTCCGTGATTGTTACTCTTTCTAGGTTAACCTATATGTTTTCAAATATCTGAGGTAGTAAAAGCATACTATAGTATGCTTATAAAAATATCAGTTCACTAAGTAATTTAAACACATCCAAAGCAATGGAATGAAATATAAAATATTATTAAAAATTAAAAGAAATGATTTTAATAACCATTTATGTAGGTGTTACAAAAATTGATTCTATCCTCCGTGAATCTGTTTTTGCTTTAAGTTTTATGCAACGGATGCGCTTTAATCATTTTAAATAAGCAAAAACCTCTGCTTACGACATTATAGATGCATGTTTTTTTTTTGTATGTGATTCCTCAAGGTCAGTTCGAATTTATATGCAGATGAGAGTGTTGCTGTTTTATAATTCAAAAGTTTAAGTTCATTAATTTGCTATTTAAAAACCTATCCACTGTAAAGTGTAATATCTCAGTAAGTAGATTTTTTTATAAATATTTTATGTATGTACAATTGTATTTAAAAAAAATATTAAGGTGTCAAAAGATACAATAACTTATTTCAAATATAGAAAGGGATGTTTAAAAAAAACATACGAAATCCTAACCTCCGTGAAGCTATCTTCCGTGAAGGTCTAATCATCAAAATGTATGATTTCTTAAAATTCTTGCATTAGTTATTACTAGACCTGGTGGCTTCCCAAAAACCCCATTCTAGACTAACAGTGAAACAACCAAAAATAAAAAATAATCATTTTCACTCAATATATTCACCCATCTCTAAAATTAATATTAAAATAAAGAGATATACAAAATTTAAAATTTTAGCAAAATATCAAGATTAATAGTTTACAATAATTATTATAATTATTAAATAATATTTATATTAATAGGGTTTTCTTCTATAATATGTATTTCAATGTTTATGATATTTATTGACAAAATATACGTTAATGTGAATTATTGTAGCGGTTAAAAAAAAAACGAAAAAAACGGTAATTTTTTTTTGTTCATTTACATATGTATAGTACGTGTACTTATTTATGTAGGCGCGTTAGAAGTTAACAATACTTATTATGCGTAACTAAAAAATTTTTTTACAGATAATTTATAAAAGTAGGAAAAATAATAAAAGTTTGGAAGAAATATATTAAAAACAATTAATAAAGGTTTGATTAAAAATTATGGAAGTTTTTGCAAATTTCCAGTCATTTGAAATTTTTGGGTATTTTTCAAAATCTGAGAATTAAAAAAAATGGAAATTTTTTTACCACCTATTTTTTTAATTTATCACACTGTGCGAATTTATTCCACATTTTTTTAAATTTAACCCACAGTACGAATTTGTCCTACCATTTTTAAAATGTAGGCATGTGAGCACACGCACATCTACAGCTAAAGCCGTAGCATTTGAATATTTATTACCATATTTTTGGCAATTTGTTTCAAGGACGAGACGATATGTAGGTACCTATCAAATTGCAAAATTATTCGAAGAGATACATATGTTATTTTACAAATTTGTTGGGTAATTTCTTTTACAGACAATTGATTGAGATTTACCATTGAATACATTTCTAGCAAAAAATTATTAAAATATTAATTTAACACAACTTCTTGGAAAATAAAAATATTTCAAAAACCTTGCAATAATGATAAAAACGACAAAAATAAATATAATATATGCTATTTTATCAGGAACTTTGCATATATTCAAATTAATGCAATAGTTGTTTTTTAATCCATGAAACATAAAAACTGTTCGAGTTTAAACGTAATAAGTACCCGTCCTGTATAGCGTTGTCGAAAGATAATGTAAAGAATAAATAGCTTTTAATCGGGTCTAAGCAAATCGTCGTGTAAAAACAATATTGACACGATTTGCATTACAATCAATTAAATAATTGTGTGTGGAATCCACACTGTGGATATGAAATTATAAAGTAAGATTGGAATATATGAAAGCTGTTTTTCAGGACTTAAGTGTTAAAAATGGATCCAGGGTTTAATTTAAAGTATGAGAATCCTGTTAGGAAAGCCAATTTCTTCTCAAAATCATTGTTCATGTAAGTAAATATCTCTGTCCGGTTTTTCCAAAATTCTAATCCAAAAGTACAGTTAAATTACAAAAAAAGTTTTTTCTATAGAACTGCATTGTGATGTTTCTGATATGCACAACCTAAAAAGCTATTTAACATTATATTTAATTTCCAGATGGATGATAAGATTGTTCAGAAAAGGCTCAAGTAAAGGCCTTGAAGTGCAAGATTTGTACAAAACATTACCAACAGATCAATCAGACCATCTTGGAGATGTTTTGGAGGGCAATTGGAACAAAGAATTAGCAAAGGCAAAGGCAAAAAACAAAAAACCTAGTCTTATAAGAGCACTGGCCAAAACATATCTAGGCAACTACATGTGGTGGGGTGTGGTTATGTTTCTACAATATGCTATAATAAGGTAAAAACTGACTCTCAACATTTTTAATCGGTAAAAATATCTCCCTGTGTTGTAGACCTATTCAGCCAATGATTTTGGCACAGTTATTGAGGTTGTTCACGAGTTATGCACCCAAAGATAGTGGTGTTATTAGAGATATGTATCTCTATGGTAGTGGTGTAGTAGGTTTTTCCGTGGTTCTTATCTTTATGCTACATCACTCAAATTATGGTCAAACCAGAATTGGTATGAGGATAAGAGTTGGGGTTTCATCTTTGGTTTACAGAAAAGTAAGTTTGAATCGATTTTAAAACAAATTCACCATCAAAATTTTGTAGTTAATGAAACTGAACAAATCAGCCCTTAAAAACACAGCTGCAGGTCAGGTTGTGAACCTCCTCTCCAACGATGTAAACAGATTTGATTTGGTGGTCCTACAAATGCACTTTTTGTGGATAATGCCTTTCCAGATAGGTCTTGTGACCTTCTTTATGTGGCAGGAAGTGGGCATATCAACGTTGGCTGGCGTAGTAAGCATGGCACTCTTTACCATACCTGGACAAGGTTATCTCGGTAAAGTAACATCAAATCTGCGAAGAAAAATCGCTTCGAAAACTGATAGAAGAGTTGTACTTATGAATGAAGTTATATCAGGTATACAAGTTATTAAAATGTATGCTTGGGAAAAACCGTTCGAAAAGCTCATCCACTGGGCGAGAAACACCGAAATTAACACTTTAACCAAGTCGGCATACCTACAAGGAATCTATATGAGTTGCATGGTGTTCATAGAACGCACCACGTTGTTTTTGACATGCGTTTGTTTCGTACTCACAGGAAATGTCTTAACGGCAGACGTAGTTTTCTCAATGGCGCAATTCTTCAACATACTTCAGATGGCGATGGCTATATTTTACCCAGCCGCTATAACCTACGGTGCTGAAAGTTTGGTGGCTATAAGACGTCTCGAGAAATTTTTATCCCTAGATGAAAAGCAGGAAGCCGATCTTAAACACACCAACGATGGAAGCTTGGTTGTGTCAAACGTGGATGCAGAGTGGGTGGAAGGAAACACCTCGTTAGAAAATATTTCCTTTACTGTACCTAAAGGATCGTTATGCGCTATTATAGGTCCTGTAGGTTCCGGAAAGACTACAATGTTGCAGCTGTTTTTGGGAGAGTTGATAGCAAAGACTGGCAAAATTAGCATTGGTGGTGAAATATCATACTCATCTCAAGAAGCCTGGCTTTTTGCATCTTCTGTAAGAAACAACATTCTATTTGGTTTGGAGTATAATCATCTACGATATAGACAAGTTATTAAGGTAAATACTAAAATATTTTATAAACATCATACACCAACTCCTTTTTAAATAAAGGTTTGTGCCCTGGAAAAAGACTTCAAACAGTTCCCACAAGGCGATAAAACCATCGTAGGAGAAAGAGGTGTCTCTCTAAGTGGTGGTCAAAGAGCTAGAATTAATCTAGCTCGTGCTATATACAGACAAGCCGATATATATTTACTTGATGATCCATTATCAGCGGTTGATACTCACGTTGGACGTCACCTATTCGACGAATGTATATCCAGACATTTAACGGGCAAAACCAGGGTTTTAATAACGCATCAACTGCAGTACCTCAAAACGGCTGATCATATTCTTGTTCTGGATGAGGTAAATTATATTTGTCGTTTTTGGAGTGGATAAAATGATCGCATAATTGTGTTTAGGGAAGGATCGCAGCTCAAGGAACGTTCGAGGAATTATCAGACAGCAATTTGGACTTCACTAAGCTTCTAATAGCTTCAGATGAACAGCAAGATAAACCTGAAGAACCCGTGGAAGAAAAATCTTTGTCTAGAAGGATGTCCAGAAGAAGTTCTGCCATATCATGCTTGGTAATGATTTTACTACTGTATATTAAACGTTATATTTTTAAAAATTTAAAATTCCCCCCAAGATATCCGACTCCATAGAAATTGAAGTACTGGGAAGCATAGATAACGATATCCAAATATTTAGGGACTTATCTTATAGGGATGACAAGGTCGTAGTAACATAATCAAAATCTCGCACTGATTTTCTTTGTACATACACTTCTATATATTTTTGCCTTTTATATTATCCACTGACTTAACATTTTTTGTTTTTAGAGCTACATCTCTGACAGCGTGGAAATGGAGCTACAGGAATCCAAAGCCGTGGAGGAGGAGGAAGTTATAGGCGATTTATCACCATTCAAAGAATACTTCAAAGCAGCTGGTAGCACATGTGCATTAATATTACTTGTTATAATACTCATATTGGGTCAAACCGCGTCTTCTGGGGCTGATTACTGGGTAACCTACTGGTAATAGTGACAACAAACCTTGTTAAACCAAAACATTAACCTTTCTTATGCATCTAGGACCCAACAGGAAACCATAAGGCACGCCAATGGCAGCATATTAAAGGTAGACGAACCCAGTATGGTTCTACTAAACAACACTAGTAACTCAACAACCAACAACTTTTTCTACCAGGCTGCAGACACAGTTTCATCATTTTTCGACAGCCTATACGACACATTTTTAAACGGAAACTTCATGGAAGTTACCTCAATGAAAACGAATGTAGCCATATACATTTACACCATCTTTATCATCGGTTCTATAGTTTTTACTTTGATGAGATCTTTCTTGTTCTTTAGCGTGTGCATGAGGGCGTCGAGGAATCTTCACAAAAAGATGTTCAATTGTTTGTTGAAGGCGCCGATGAGGTTTTTCGATACCAACCCCAGTGGAAGGGTTTTAAATAGGTTTTCTAAGGATATGGGGGCTATCGATGAGTTGCTACCCAGGGTTATGATTGAAGCTCTACAAGTAATTTTGATAATTTTTTTGTTATTCTTGATAGTTATAGTTTGTTTTTAGATTACATTGGTGATGATAGGTATTTTGGTCAACGTAACCATATCAAATCCGTATGTTATTATAGCTATGATCGTATTGGGTATACTTTTTATTTTCTTGAGGAATTGGTACATTGCCACAGCTAAGGCTATCAAACATATTGAAGGAATAAGTATGTGTAGAAAAAATACATTTTCTAGTTTTTTGAACTTTTTTTTTATAGCTAAATCACCCATGTTTTCCCATGTTAACTCATCTTTGAACGGTTTAACCACCATAAGAGCTTCACAGGCACAACAAGCGCTTATAAATGAGTTTGATCATCACCAGGTATATTTAATATAAAAGAAGGTGTGCAAAATGATACCATATTATGTTTTTTTCAGGATGTCCACACTTCTTCCTGGTTCCTGACAATAACCTGTGTGGTGTCTTTTGGCCTATGGTTGGACATCATATGCGTAATTTTTGTGGCCTGCGTTACCTACAGTTTTGTATTTTTAGCTTCAAGTAACTTTTCTTAATTCGCAAGATTTCCATTTTACTGTATTGGTGGTTTTTAGCTACTGAAGTAAATGGCAGTTTGGTAGGTCTTGCCATATCCCAATCCTTGATCCTAACGGGCATGTTGCAACACGGCATGCGTCAAACTGCCGAAGTTGTTAATCAGCTTACAAGTGTCGAAAGGGTGTTGCATTACACAAAAATAGATCAAGAAGGCCCCTTTGAAACTGATGAGCATAAAAGACCGTCCAAATCCTGGCCCGATAAAGGCGATGTCAGGTTTAAAAAGCTGTATCTGAAGTATGTTGAAAGTGACCCCCCCGTTTTGAAGAACCTTAACATAGATATCCAACCGGGAGAAAAAGTAAGAAACAAGTAAAAAAAAATTGCAATTTAAACTTTTGTTTTGTAGATTGGTATCGTTGGCAGGACTGGAGCAGGTAAATCATCCCTTATTACGGCCCTGTTCAGACTGTCGCCAATAGAAGGAAATCTGATAATAGATGGACTAGACACGAAAGAAATCGGATTAAGCGACTTGCGTAAAAAAATATCCATCATCCCTCAAGAACCAGTTTTGTTTTCCGCCACGTTAAGATATAATTTGGACCCCTTCCAAGAATATGAGGATGATCAGCTATGGAGAGCTTTAGAAGAGGTAAGATGGAGAAAAAGACGTAGATGTCGCAGCTTTATATATATTATAATATATTAAAGAAGAGTTTTTGTATTTTAGGTCGAATTAAAAGATGCAGCATCATCCCTTGACTTTCAGGTATCAGAGGGTGGTAGTAATTTCAGTTTAGGTCAGAGACAGTTAATTTGCCTAGCTAGAGCAATTCTACGTAATAATAAGGTTCTTGTTCTTGACGAAGCCACTGCAAATGTAGACCCACAGTAAGTTTTATCAATACAAACATAATTTTCCAAATTTTGATAATTTTTTTCCCACTTAGGACGGATCATTTAATTCAAAAAACAATACGAACCAAATTTGCAAATTGTACAGTACTTACCATAGCCCACAGACTTAACACTATAATGGATTCCGATAAAGTCTTGGTTATGGAATCAGGCACAATGGTGGAATTCGACCATCCTCATTTGCTACTGCAAAATCCCGAAGGGTACTTCCACAAAATGGTTCTGGAAACTGGCCCCAGTATGACTTTACAGCTTAAAGATGTCGCGCAAGAAGCATACGAAAATAAATTCGAAATTGCGCATTTTTAAATCTACTTGTAATCTTATGAATCCTTGTTAGTTGTTAAATATTTTATTTTGTAAATATTACGTGTTTTTATTACAATAAAATCCTTTTTATCTTATCTTTATTATTTTTGGCCTAATGTAAATCCACCTTAACCATTGTGAATTTTACACTGAAAACAAAGTCAGCTGTGAAACGTCATAAATAAACATAAAAATTTCAAATGATCAAATCAAGCTAAAAATAATCATTTAAAAATGAGTATAATGATGTATATGTTGCGCCATATGAAGCAATCACCTTTTGCACCAGCAACACCGTACCTTTCAGGTAAAACAACACAAAAAAACGCGAAATCACAATTAACATAACCTCACTTATTGTAGAAATCGTAAGACAAAGCTCCTCGGACGACAAGTTGAGCCCACGTATGAAGGAATTTCGCGAAAAACTCAAAACGAAAACCCCTATAGGCAAACTAGATGAATTAGAGGGTAAACACCCTTACGAAGAGAAAGAACCTTTACCAGCTTGGCCCGATAATACAAACCCTAATACAGGAGAAGTGGGGGGCCCAAAGGGTCCAGAACCTACCAGATATGGCGATTGGGAGCGTAAAGGACGCGTTACTGATTTTTAGGTTATTATTTGAGTAAAATTTTTGTTATTAGGCATAGTTGTTTTGGTGTTTATTAAATAAATTGCATATTTATTACATATTGTTTTATTTATACTAAATAAGAATATTAATTTGTGTCTATAATTTGCTTTATCCAAGGCACATGGCAGGAAATCTACAAAAATGAATAAAAATATTTTTATAAGGTTTTAGGCATATACCTATAACAAAGTCTTTTTTTTGGTTTTAGGTAAGTACTAGAAACCACTTACCAGTGTGTACACTCCTGGGTGGTTATTCCTAGCACAACCTATGCCCCAACTGACAATTCCGCATAAATAAAATTTATCTCCAGAACCTTTACAAATCAGGGGACCGCCTGAATCACCCTAAAAAAAACATTAATAAGAACAAATGTTATTATTTTATCAACAAAGCATGCGTTGAAATGGTATTTATTTATCACGTGACCTGATTTGAATCGTTGCTAAGCAACCGCAGACAGTCGCGAGCGGATCAACAAGTTTAGTTTTTTATCTCGCGTGTTTTCTTTGATTTTTCATCTGTAAAAAGTGTATTTAATTAGTGTGCAAGTGTAGTTTTACGTTGGTTTCGTGTTTTTTGACGTTTTTGTGATTAAAAAGTGAGTTTTTAATGGTAAATATTAAAAAGAAATTTCAAAATACTATCGTTGATATTGGTTGTTTTTAGAACATAAATAATTTTGTATTTTTGTTGTTTAGACATTAGAAACGCTACAAGAACATCTAGGTACATAAGGCCTTACCGGTAAGTGGACGTTTTATACTAAATTGCTAAAATCTTCGAGTTTTTTTTACAAAACATTTCAAAAATGACAATTTAACAAGTTTTTTCAATTGTTTTGTGCTTACAAAGCCAACTCATGTAAACGTTTTGTGTGTTTACATTTTAAAACTATCCTACAAAAAGTTATATTTACTTGGCAAGCATCCTTGGTTCCTTCAGGATATTCAGTACACATTTGGCACTCGTTAAAATACCTTGAAAAGCCTAATATACTGTATTTTTTCTCGCATGAATCTCTGTTTATAATCGGAAGATCAACTTTTTGTAATATTGAAGCTAAATGACCAGATTCAAAGACTCTTCCCCAACCAGTTACCGTGGCTAAACCTAAAAGTAGGATTATTAAAAAAATGTTTTTATAGAGTTTTTTGCGGATTTGCCTGTAAATTTTTGGTTTTTATCTGGTAGACAAATTGGTTTAACGTTTTTTTCACTAAAATCAAATGGAGGGTATACTTTAACCAATGTTATGTCATTGTAGAACGTAGGGAGATCAAAATTGTTTGAAACTATCCTGGATATGTTTCTGTGTTGCTCATTATCTAAAAAATAAAATATTTAGAAAAAAATATAAAACTAAAAATATACTTACCTTTTGCTTTCCAAAAATTATGGGCCCCAGCCAAAACTGTAACCAAATCAAGGGGCATATTTTCAAAACAATGGGCAGCAGTTACAAACCATTCCTCATTTAATATGGCACCACCGCAAAAATGATGCAAATCATTATGTTTGTAATACTGTAAGGAAATTTGCCATGGAAATTCGTCTACAACAAAAAAAAGTAAACACACGAGCAAAATTTTTTAGTGTGTGGACAGCTTTATTACTTTTTTCTGCGTCCATGCCCCCCACAATTCTATTTTGGTATGCTCCACCCCTGATGCCACATTTTTCTGTAGTTATAACTGCAAAGTAGATTTTAGTTAAACCTATGGTAAAAAAATGTTTGTTACTTACCTTTTAAAGGTTTTCTGGGTAAATTTTCATTATACGGTATGTTTTCTGTAAAATAATAATATATAGAAAGTATGAATTATTTATTTTGTTTAAACAATTAATTAATTAATTACCTTCTATTAAGCATGATATTAGTTTAAAACTACTTAAAATCACTGCTAAACGAAAAAATAAACAAAAATGCATTTTGCTATTATTGAAGAATAAATAACAAAAACAATAAGAACAATACAAAATCAAAAACTAGTTTTTAAGATAAAACTGGTGTCACACCTATTAAAATTCAATTAACATTTGATGGTGGGAAATATATTTTATTAAAAAACATTTTTTAATTAATAAAATACTCATTTATTTAATCACTTAATAATAAGTACTTTTGAAATACTGGAATCGTATAAAAAAATTAAACTAAACTAATAACATTAAAGTTGCCCCCTATTATAAGGATCGTAGTTGGTGAGGTACTTGTCAGTCAAAAGTCTACCCCCTTCGATTACCGCTAGATGGCGCGTATTATCACTCGGCAACAATCGGGTGTTATCGTTGACGTTCAACATCCTGTTGTCGTTCGTTATGTTGGCAACCACGCAGCGCGTGTTATCGTTGACCAATAGGCGCGTCGCCTCGGCCACGTTGACCAGCAATCGAGTGCCGTCATTGGCTATGACGGTTTGCGTTTGATCCAGCATTGGTAGGTGGGAGGCGTCGGTTATTATTCGACTGCCGTCATTCGAAATCATGCGCGTTTGGTCTTGCAGCAAATTGGACTGCTGTTGTAGTGTTTGCACGTGGATTGGAGGTTGGTATTTTTGCTCCATGTCGACGCGCTGTCGGTTCTGTTGCTCGTTGGAGGGGAATTTCGACGGCGCGGTGGAGTGCACGCGCATGTGCGTGTTGAGGGTGCTGGACTGCGAGAAGGCCTTGCCGCAGATCACGCAGACGTACGGGCGTTCGCCCGAATGCACGCGCATGTGCCGTAGCAAGATGGTGTTGACTGTGAACCCCCGACCGCATATGTTGCACACGTAAGGCCGTTCCCCCGTGTGATTCCTCATGTGGTATTTCAGTTTCATTACTGTTGTGAATCTGGAAATAAGAAATCATTTTTTTTGAGGTTTTGATTCATTTTTGGAATCTACGCATACTTGTTTATAAATATTTTTTTTCTACGTTTCTCAAACAATTTTTGAGAACGCTACAGCGTTATAAAAAACGCAAGATTAAAACGACGACCTTGGAGAGAGATCGTGACGTCACGATAATAGTAACAGTTGTGTCAAGACTTAAGAATTATGCAACAGTTGTGACAAGACAAGTTTCGGAAAAAACCGGAAAAATGGGTCTTTTTTCGTTTTATTTCCCAGGCCTAGGAAAAATTGGCTTTCTTGGGAAAAATTGATTTTTTTCTAAAAATATACGAAGTACGTAATCAACAACTTAACATTATTGTAATTTCAAAAAATATCCTTAAGGATAAAAAATTTAATACAGAAAAAAAATAAAACTAAACATTGAATTGAATTGATTCAAAATTATAATAATTATTGTATTATTTGTTATTTGTTTTTTGCGACCTGGTAGGAGATTTTAACTGAATTATACGAGGAATTATATTAAAAGGAATAATAATTATGATGTATTAGGTATATTAGACTGGGCCAAAAAAATCGACTATTTTTTTTTTGGAAAATATTGTTTGGGGTGACAAAAAAAATTATGGTGAAAGTTTTAATCCATAATATCAATACTAAGAGGTCTATCATCGCAATTTTAGATTTTTTTTCCTGAACGAGTTTTTGTCTCAGAACTCCCAAATCATTGAGTTTAACAAAATTGGCTTAAGAATATTTTTTGAAGAAAAGTGAATGCTCTACAAAAAAGTTTTGATTCGAATTTTCCGTCAGATGAACCCTTTTCTTACAATCATGCCTTAAAAATTGGTATAGTTTTACAATTTGATCTTTTAACTTAGAAATTTTGTGATTCAAGTAAAAATCAGTACCCTGAAAAAAAAACGATAAATATTCTTAGGTGAAATCAAATGCTCTACAAAAAAAGTCTTTTATCATTTTTGGCTAAATTCACCTCATCAAAAGTTATTCAAGGTTAAATTTGAAGTCAAAACGAAATTTTAACCTTGAATAACTTTGGATTGAGTGAATTTAGCCAAAAATGTTAAGAGGCTTTTTTTGTAAAGCATTTTCCCATAAGAATATTTATCGGTTTTTTATGGGAACTAATTTTTACATGAATTACAAAATTCCAATTTAAAAGATCAAAATGTAAAACTATACCAATTTTTAAGGCCTGATTTTAAGGAAACGGTTCATCTGACGGAAAATTTCACTGTAACCTTTTTTGTAGAGCATTTAATTTTCTTAAAAAAAAAATTTTAAGTCAATTTTGTTAAACTCAATGGTTTGGGAGTTCTTAGCCTAGAACTTGCTGAGGAAAAAAAAATTAAAATCGCGATGATAGACCTCTTAATAATAATATTATGGACTCAAACTTTCACAATATTTTTTTTGTCACCCCAAACCATATTTTCGATATACTTTTAAAAAAAAATAGTTGATTTTTTTTGGCCCAGTATATGATTATAATCAGAGTCGAAAATTCACATTTTCTTGATATCAGTGTTACAGTGTACACAAACATTTTTTTGTTCATATTAGCCTTTGAATAAAATTATAAAATGCAAAAGTCAAGTTTTCTGAAAATTTCCCAATTTTTCCGTTTTCGCTGAAAAAGTAGGAAAATCTTGAAAATTTCTAAAAATCAACTTTTACCTTGAGTACCTTTTAAAAGAGTTAATTTATCATAAAATTCAACTCTCGAAAAAAATTTGTTCCAGTTTTATCGGTCCACTAATACGTTGACGAGTTACACAATTTCAAAGTATTTTAAAAAATCTCATCTTATTTTAATGGGAAATAGAAATTCCCAATAAAGGACCTGTAAATTTAAAATTAAGAGCTTACATTTTAACAGGACCATTTTTTTTTAGATATGTATATTCATAGGTACGTTAATTTTTTTATTATAATTATATAAAACGGTTTTTGATAAATCCTAGTATATTTAATTTAAAAATTTACTAAAAATAAAAATTCTAAATAATTTTTTTAAATTTTATTACATAAATAATTATAAGGAAATATATAATATATATTTTATAGTTCTATATCTTTGTATGTTTATATGTTTTATAGTTTTATATGTATGTTAACTTTTTTATTATAATTATATTAAACGTTTTTTGATAAAAAATTTAATTTAAAAGTTTACCAAATATAAAAATTCTAAATAAATTTTTTTAATTTTAACACATAAACGTGCAACAAGTAATAAAATGTGTTTTTTCTTCCTATGATGTAGAATAGTGTATTCAATCATTGCTAGTTCTTAAAATGTGAAGTAAGTTTTAAAAAACTACTACCCTAAAAAGGGCCAAAATTTTTTGTTAATAGGGGTTTTAAAGAGTTTAGAATCATATCTATAAATAAGTCCTATAATGCCAATTACAAAAGACCAAACTTACCTGCATTTTCATTTTTTACCAGCATTCAAATTTAATTTGTATAGGAATTAAACATTTCTTATTTTATTAAATAAATAATTTATTAAAAATAACTTAAAGAAGTACATATTTGCTTACTTGCTATATTATTTGTACAAAATGTAACCGTTATAATACTAAATTAACAATTAAATATAATAATGCTAATATTAACATACAGTACAATTTTAATCTTCCAACTTAACAGAATGTGAAGTTTCATCAAAACAATTTTCCATAAAAGTTGAGGTGGACGGTTCGGAGTCCCAATTGTTGCCTTCCAATTTAACAGGATTCGACAATTGCACAAAATAATTTTCCTCATAATCCGAAGTGGTAGATTTTGGACTCCAAGCATCGTATTCGACTTTAACAGGGAGTGATACGTGTTCCAAAGGTCCAAAGTCCTCGGTGGATCTTTTCCCTTTATTTTTCTTCCCCATGGACATAAAATCTATGCTCTTTGTCAGTGTGTTCTTCGAAGTCCTTCTCAGAGTATGCGCGGTGTAGAGGTGCAAATTGTCCAACTTCAAATACTTGGCCACCTCTCTCGGTACGGCATTGATCGCATCGCGCCCGATATTTTGCTTGGTGGGTTTCAAATTTCGCAGCCCGATGAATAGTTTCTCCATGTTCGGAGTGGGGCGAATGGATGCGTATTTCGTTACAACTTTCACCCACAGCGGATCGACAATAACGAACTTTCTCGTCGAGCCCTTTTTGCCTTTCAAGGGAATATTGACAATTATTATATCGTCACGGACATCCAAGTCGTCGAATTTCAAATTTATGAGTTCGTCTCTTCTGCAAGCGCCCGCGATTCCAATCACAAGCACAGCCTAAAAAAAGTTTAGAGTCTATACCAAGGCTGATATCTGATAAATATCATGATATTTATCCTGATATATTTCAATATATTTTTTTTCTAAAATTCTATTCATCAGTAAGTATAAATGTATGGAAAACTAGAATTATTTTTTAAATATTTGCGCAACAAAAACATTTAGAAAATCCCTCTACAACTGAAAATGAAGATTCAGATTCGGATCTGGATATACCATTAGCCAGACTAATTTCATCCTAAACTAACTTGTTTCTAGCCAGCCTTTTTTACTCCTTTTATTGTTTTTTATTTTTTATTATAAATATTATTTTAGTTGTTGTTTTCTATTGGCTGTTGTAGTTTTTCAATTTTTTGTTATTTAGTTGCAAAAGTAAAAATATATGATTTGTTTATTAGACTGGGCCAAAAAAATCAACTATTTTTTTTTTGAAAAGTATATCGAAAATATGGTTTGGGGTGACAAAAAAAAATTATTGTAAAAGTTTGAGTCCATAATATTAATATTAACATCGCAATTTTATTTTTTTTTCCTCAGCAAGTTTTTGTCTCAGAACTCCCAAACCATTGAGTTTAACAAAATTGACTTAAAAATATTTTTTTAAGAAAATTAAATGCTCTACAAAAAAGGTTAAAGTGAAATTTTCCGTCAGATGAACCGTTTCCTTAAAATCATGCCTTAAAAATTGGTATAGTTTTACATTTTGATCTTTTAAATTGGAATTTTGTAATTCATGTAAAAATCAGTACCCATAAAAAACCGAATATTCTTATGGGAAATCAAATGCTTTTCAAAAAAAGCCTCTCAACATTTTTGGCTAAATTCACTCAATCAAAAGTTTTGACTTCAAATTTAACCTTGAATAACTTTTGATGGAGTGAAATTAGCCAAAAATGATAAAAGATTTTTTTGTAGAGCATTTGATTTCCCATAAGAATATTTATAGTTTTTTTTCAGGGTACTGATTTTTACATGAATTACAAAATTACAAAGTTAAAAGATCAAACTGTAAAACTATACCAATTTTAAGGCATGATTGTAAGAAATCTGACGGGAAATTCCAAGAGAGTTCAATTTTCTTCAAAAAATATTCTTAAGTCAATTTTGTTAAACTCATTGATTTGGTAGTTCTGAGACAAAAACTCGCTCAGGAAAAAAAAATCTAAAATTGCGATGAAAGACCACTTAATATTAATATTATGGACTCAAACTTTCACCATAATTTTTTTTTGTCACCCCAAACAATATTTTCGATATACTTTACAAAAAAAATAGTCGATTTTTTTGGCCCAGTCTAGTGTTTATATTCAAAAACTTGTATTTTTTACCTACATTTTACATTTCTATACTTACTAGTACTAAAAAAACTTGTTATTGTGGTAGCAACTTTCATTGAATAGAATAGAAATACAAATTTACATGTTTATAAAATTTTAAAATTATATTAAATTAAGTAATTTTAAATTTTAAACATATCTTTAATTCCCTAAGCAGAAAATAGAAAAAGAAATAAATATCCAAATTTTGATATATATAGGATATATATAAAAATATATCAGATATTTGGATATTTATATAAATATCATGATATTTTTCAGCCCTGCAAAAAACAATAATCAACAACAAATGTAAATTTTTAATGAATGTAGATTATATTTTGCGTCATAAGTCAGAAACAACCAGTGGCGTCCCAAAATTTCTACTTTACTTAAAAAAAAAAAAAAAATTAATGATTTTTATATTACAAAAAAATGGCACTATTGCAAAAATGATGGAGGAAAAACTTTCAGATATGGCATTTTTTTAAATGGCAAAATAAAGTTATGGTCATATCTTTGAAATAATACCTGCTAGACAATGGAAAAACAACCAAAATGGGACACAGTTAAGTGTTAAAAAAATGAATACCTTTTTGGATAAATATACAGCATCTGGTGCTTCCAAAATGAACCTGGTTATTTCTTCCTGCGAGAAAACTGCCGCCTTTTTTGGCTCGTAGGTGCCATTTCGCCCCCTTAAAAATGCCGTCAACTTGGAGAATTGACCGATGTCGATATTTTCTCTCATGTTTGTCATCGCTTTAATCATGGAAAATCTGGCCCATAAAGTTGACGCCTTACTTTTGGCGGCCGCTTTTCCAAAATAGTCTAGGAGAACCTCTTCCGTGGTGTGAGTGTAATTTTTTTCCGCACACCAATTTTTGTAGACTGCGTAGGTTCTTTCATAGAGCGCTTTGGATTTTTCCGTGATAGTGCCTTTTTCCGATGTAAATGTTGACACGTCAGGATCAGGAGGATCAGGGCATTCACTTATATCACTTTCACTATCACTAAATAATAAAAAATATATTAATATCATATTTTTTTTAGATTTTTATACTTAATTTTTGAAGGTTTAATATTTTTATGAATGCTTATGATTTTCTAGTACTTTTTAAAGCTTTTTAAAATTGATTTCTTTATGGCACGCACTGAGAAAAAACAATGGTTATCTTAATCAAATATATAGTAACTTTTACTAAATATTCTGATTAGTATAGGCACAGCCATATTTACTGTTATGTTAACCATGTTTATATTGTAACAGTTTTATTGTCACTTTAACTATATTTTTGTTGTTGCACAAAACAATAATTTATTTAATTATAATAATCATATGCAAATACCTTATAACCCTCTATATGGTTAAATATACTATACGTATGATTTGTATAAACTTTCTGTATAGTAAAAACTACAACGACATATTGTTAATAATGTGTGACAACATTATATTGTTATTGTAACCAGATAATCTTATAATTTTAACCATCTAGTGTAGTACTAACAGTTTAGCCGTACATGATGGTTGTAATAGCCTAATCAAATATCTAACTTTACTAAATTTTTATAACAAAATGATTAGAGTACATATAACAAAACTAATTTTACGTATATTGTTATTACAACCATCAGTTATAATTAAATGAACCATAATTTGCATAACAAATCTATATTGTTAGGGATTACAATATATTTTCTTAGAGTGCGCCGTTTTAACATTTATGAAATATTTTTTTAATTTATATTTTTATTGGTTTAAAATTTTCCCAGCTAAATTTTTTATAAATTTAAAATATGTTTTACTACCTATAATGTATTGAAAGAAGAAATTTACTAACAGGTATTTTCAATCAATTTTTCCAAAAATTTAATTTTTTTATTTTAATAAAAATAATTTCCCAATTTGTTAATCTTAAATAAACATTTTGTGAAATTACTTAGAGATGGTAAAGTTAAATTATTTGGTATTTAAAAATAGTATTGAGACATTTAAAATAAAAACATATATAAAACATTTTCTACCAAAATTTTTTTAAACTCAAAACAATTGATAATCAAAAAATATTGATTTTTAAAATTTGTACTTTTAATATTTTATTCTACAAAGTTATCATTTTAAATTTGTAAAGAGCCATTTAAATGTTAGTTTTAAATTTTAATCGACTTACATTTAAATGTCTGTGATATGTATGTCAAATAATTAGATTTTAAGTAATAGACCAAACAGTTTTCACTGCGTTAATTATCTGTGATATATGTTAATAATAAGATTTTAGGCTAACTTTTTTTTTATGTTAATAATTATTATAATTATTATTATTATAATCAACTATAAAAAACTGTAAGGGGATGTACCTCCATAGATTTTCTTTGTAATGTCTCATTGGTTCAATAAATCTATCTATTCTATCTATTCGTAAAGTTATTTTGTGTTAAAAATAAAAAAAATTAAATGATTTAATTCCAAAAATTACTACTTTAAAATTTAAAACTTAAATTTAAATGTTGTGAGAATTTTTGTTATAAAAATATATCGACTCTTTACAAATTTAAACTGATAATTTTGTAGACTAAAATATTAGAAATATAATTTTTTAAATCAATATTTTAAAACTCAAAGTTTTACAGTTGCCTTTTATATTTAAAATATTTTTTGACTATCAATTAATTTAAATTTAAAAAACTTTAACTTTCTGTTAAAAAAAGTGCTAAACTTTAATAAATGCCAAATTTCTCTTATTTTCATGTGTACAATTTATAAAAAACAATTTTCTAAAATAACAAATGATTTTTTGACGCCGACTTCTAGATGTGGAAAATGTATTAGGGTTTTAAAAAAATCAATTTTAATTTTGTACTTTTTGCCCAAATTGACAGTTTAAAACAAAAATTAAATATAAACCTCAAAAGACTGGATTAATGTTAACATACAGTAAAATTTTATTCTTACACTTGTACAGAATGCGAAATTTCGTCGGAACAATTTTCCATGAAAGTCGAGGTGGAAGGTTCAGGGTCCCACATGTTGCCTTTCACTTCTGCAGGATTTGACAGTTGTTCAAAATGATCTGAACTGATGGATTTTGGACTCCAACTACTGTAATCCAGTGAAACTTGTCCAAAGTCCTCTTCATAATCTTTATTATCCACATTTTTCGTCAAGGTGCTTTTCGAAGTTCTTCTTAGAGTGTGTCCAGTGTAGAGGTGCAAGTTTTCCAAATTCAAAAACTTGGCCACCTCTCTTGGCACGCCACTGATCGTGTTGTGCCCGATATTTTGCTTGGTGGGCTTGAAATTTCGCAGCCCGATAAACAGTTTCTCCATGTTTGGAGTGGGGCGGATGGACGTGTATTTCGTTACAGTTTCCACCCATAGGGGATCGGCAATGACGAACTTTCTCGTCGCGCCATGTTTGCCCTTCAAAGAGATATTGACAATTATTATGTCGTCGCGATTATCTAAGTCATCGAATTTTAAATGTATCAGTTCCTCGGTACTGCAGGCGCCCGCAATTCCAATCACAAGAACAGCCTAAAAGGTAATATAGTTATAATTCAATATACACGGTGAGTCATTTAACTTGAAATATCTCAGTTAGTATGCATTTTAAGAAAAAATGTTTAAAATAAAAATTAATTGATTCGAGGGGGGAAATCAATCAGTACTAAAATTGGTCCTCATACTCTCCTTCTTGTAGGGGGAACAGGGGGTAACTTTAAAATTGCCAATGGAACACCCTATTTTTTATTGCAGATTCGGATCATTCGACTAAAAATAGGTAGATTGTGTCTAAAACATTTTTTCATATTTGTAATAGATGGCGCTGTAATATAAAAATCAATTTTGTTCGATTTTTCTTCTGTATACGATTCTGCAATAATTTTTCTATAAAAATATCATATTAAATTAAATCTGATTTTTTAAGTACCCACGATTTTTTAACTAATATTTAAGTTTCCTTTGGTTTAAGTTTTATACATTATTTCATTCGGTGATAATTATCAATTGCGCACCATGGTCACTTTTTACCTGCCAGCATTAAATCCTTTAATTTAAAGGATTATTGTACTATTTTTAATAAAAATACCTCATTTAAGGTGAAAAAAAAACATTATTTTGTCAATTAATTAATTTAATCCTAATTGAGGTATAAAAAATGGTATTTAGTAATAAATGATAATTATTATTGAGGTATAAAGAAACTATTTATAGTTTAGCATTATTGAATCAATTTAGTTCGAAGATTATTTGCAAACAAAAAGACCTACTTCCGTTAAGCAGTTATTCATTATGGATTTTTTAACAGTGGGAAAAAAATAGAAATGATTTTGATTTATGGAGAAGCAGGCAGGAATCTTGATGATGCTGTTAATATCTACGCTCAGCGTTTTCCGGATGAAATTCGATCACGTACTTCATTTCACCGTACAGTCAAGCAGTTTACTACAAACGGGAGTGTTCAACCGAAAAAAAGAGTTCTTCGAGCAAATATTTAATATTGTTATTTTGAGCGCTTACTTTAATTAAAATTTAAAAAATAAATAAATAAATTTAAAAAGTAAAACCAAGTATTTTATTCAAAAATTATTGGAGAATCTTATACAGAAGAAAAATCGAACAAAATGGATTTTTTTTCATTACAGCGCCATCTATTACAAATATGAAAAAATGTTTTAGATACAATCTACCTATTTTTAGTCGAATGATCCGAATTTGCAGAAATAGGGTGTTCCATTGGAAATTTTAAAGTTACTCCCTGTTCCCCCTATAATGAGCAGACCAATTTTAATAATGATCATTTAATTTTTATTTTAAACATTTTTTCGTAAAATGCATACTAACTGAGATATTTCAAATTTTCAAGTTTAATGACTTACCCTGTATACACTATTTGGTTGCTGCATGGGTATCTACATGTCTAGGAGGTATCATTTTAATGATCGTTTTTTTAATGTCATATCTTGAAAATGATACCTTCTAGACCAGAGATACCCTGCAGTCAAAACCAAAATATATATATAACACATACCTTTTTGGATAAATATATATCATCCGGTGCTTCCAAAATAAATCTGGTTATTTCCTTCTGCGTAAAAACTGCCGCCTTTTTTCGCTCGTAAGTGCCATTTTGACCCCGTAAAAAGGCTATTAACTTGGAGTATTTTCCGATGTCAATATTTTCCTTCAAGTTTGTCACCGCTTTAATCATGGAATATCTGGTCCACAAAGTTGACGCCTTACTGTTGGCGGCCGATTCTTCGAAATAGTCCAGAAGAACCTCTTCGGTGGTTTCGGTGTAATTTTTTTCGTAACACCAGTTTTTGTAGACTGTATAGACCTTTTCGTAGACCGCTTTAGATTTTTCCGTGATCGATCCGAGTTTATCCGATGTGGATGTCGATTCTCCAGCATCAGGAGGATCGGGACAATCACTAAGTGATACTTCGACTTTTTCCGATGTAGATGTCGACCCTTCCGGATCAGGAGGATCAGGGCATTCACTAATATCACTTTCACTATCACTAAATAATAAAAAATATATTACTATCATAGACTTTTACCAGTACTATTTTTTTAGTGTTTTGTACTATGCTTAATATTGTCTTAAGATATCTAAAGATGCTTAAGATAGTCTAGCTTCCTAGATTTGTTAAGAATTTTTTTATAAATTTTAAAGGTTTAACCATATACGGCCATTCCAAGCCCATGGACAGGACACATCAGAAACATGTTTAAATATATTCTTGTTACTTCCTTAAGTTTACTTATTTTTTCTACGAGTATTTATGAGAAGTATTAGCCAAATTTGGCTAATACTTCTCATAAATACTCGTTGAAAAAATAAGTAAACTTAAGGAAGTAACAAGAATATATTTAGACATGTTTCTGATGTGTCCTGTCCATGGGCTTGGAATGGCCGTATATCTATAACTCCGGAGTTATACCTATGATTTTTTGATACAAACTTTTAGATGTGGAATATTTTAGCTTTTTTCTCATAAATTAAAAAATCCACATCTAATAATGGTTGTTATGGAAACAACTCAAAGGCAGCGCAGGATATTAAAAAAATCAATTAATTTTGTACTTTTTTGCCCAAATTTTAAGGTTTTAATTTTTGTATTTTATACAAGATTTTTTTTATTTTGTAATATTTGTAAAACTATAGATAGTTTTAATTTTTTCACGAGTATTTATTAAAAAAGGGTTTAAAATCATACACGGAGAAAAAAATATAATAAATGAAGAAATATAATACTATTTATTATATATTTTACTATATATTTTGTTATATATTTTAAATATAGTGACAGCTAAGTCCATTTTCAAAGAATTTGATAAAAACACTTAAACATTTCTATTTATTGTAACTAAATTGTTTTTTTGCGTCATTCTTTTAAAAATTGTAAGGTTTTACAAGAATGACGCAAAAAACAATTTAGTTACAATAAATAGAAATGTTTATTGTATTTTTCTCCAATTCTTTGAAAATGGACTTAGGATAGTCTTGCACCAAACCAGCGAGCTAAATCTTATGATACGTTTTAAATATAATAATATTTTATATTAAACCGCTTTAAAATATTCCTTAATTTGTATAAAATATTAAGTTAAAAGTGTAAAATTAATACATGATATAATACCATTCAATCACAGTATCTTAAGGAGATTATAATATTTTTATTAAAGGTACTGATTAACATCCAGTATTTTAATTTAAATAATAATTTAATTTACTTTGTATTATACAGGGTGGAACAAAAGTACCAAATAATGACTTTAACTTTGTTATTATCAAGGTTGAAAAGAAAAGTTCAATAAAAAAGTTATTTGGTTTATTACCAAGCATGTTTTGAGTATTTTAGTTTGTTGATATATTTTTTATTTTGTTTCTAGGGCAACCAATTTTTTAAATGGCACATACTTTTTTGTTAATTTTGAGAAAAGCATATTTTTCTCTTTTCACGGAATTACAAAACTGTTTTTATAAAAAAAATTGTAGATAATTTATAATAAAATATTTTGGCATCAAAATTGTCAAAAATATTCTTCTTTTATTAGGATATACCTTAGGCTGGGCCAAAAAAATCAACTATTTTTTTTTTGAAAAGTATATCGAAAAATGGTTTGGGGTGACAAAAAAAAATTATTGTGAAAGTTTGATGGCAATTTTAATTTTTTTTCCTCAGCAAGTTTTTGTCTCAGAACTCCCAAACCATTGGGACCACTCAATCAAAAGTTATTCAAGGTTAAAATTTCGTTTTGACTTCAAATTTAACCTTGAATAACTTTTGATGGAGTGAATTTAGCCAAAAATGATAAAAGACTTTTTTTGTAGAGCATTTGATTTTCCATAAGAATATTTATCGTTTTTTAGGGTACTGATTTTTACATTAATTACAAAATTCCAAAGTTAAAAGATCAAATTGTAAAATTACACCAATTTTTAAGGCATGATTGTAAGAAAACGGTTCATCTGACGGGAAATTCCAATTAAACTTTTTTTGTAAAACATTCAATTTTCTTCAAAAAATATTCTTAAGTCAATGATTTGGGAGTTCTGAGACAAAAACTCGCTCAGGAAAAAAAAATCTAAAATTGCGATGATAGAACTCTTAATATTAATAATATGGACTCAAACTTTCACAATAATTTTTTTTGTCACCCCAAACCATATTTTCGATATACTTTTCAAAAAAAAATAGTTGATTTTTTTGGCCCAGTCTACCACACATTAAATAAAAAAAACGCAAGAAATATTTTATAAAAGTAGAGATAATTTTAATAATTGAAAGGTGTGGATGGGACAAAAAAAAGATTTATCCTCGGATTTATCTTGCCCCGTCCACACCTGTCAATTTTTAAAATTATCTATGCTTTTATAAAATATTTCTTGCGTTTTTTTATTTAATGTATAGCCTAATAAAAGAAGAACATTTTTTACAATTTTGATGACAAAATATTATATAATAAATTACCTACAATTTTTTTTATAAAAACATTTTTGTCATAAAATTGAGCAACTTTTGAAAACGACTCAATCACAAATAATTGATTAATTTCACAGCACTAAAATTTAGATAAAATTAAGTATTTAAAGAGCTAAATACAACAAATGTTGTCACTTTTGAAATACTTAATTGCATCTAAGTTATGCCATTATTTGATACTTTTGTTCCACCCGGTATACGTTTTTTAACATTTTTCTCCGTGCATGGAAAAGTCCGATAATGCTAATTCCCAAAAACTAAACTTGCAACTCACCTCTTGAGACATTGAGTACACTCGATGGGCTTCTCTGTCCCGTGCAGTCTTCTATGGCTCGTCAGGTCCCCAGATTGTCTAAAGGCCTTTCCGCACGTGTCGCACACGAACGGCCTTTCGTTCGTGTGCGTTCTCATGTGGATTTTCAGGCTCGCTTTCGACACGTAACCGTTTTTGCATATCTCGCATTGGAAGGGTCTTTCGCCTGAAAAAGAATTCGTTGAAATAATGTGTTCATCATAATCCAGACATGTTATACCTGTGTGCGTTCTTAAATGTAGGTCCAAATTGAACCGCTGAGGGAAGCACTTGCCGCAAGTGGTGCACACAAACGGCCTATCTCCAGTGTGCTGTTTAATATGGACCGACAAGCTTTGGGCGTCCAGAAATTCGGTCCTGCAATAATCGCAGATATGTTTCAGCAAAGCCGGGTCCCCTTCTTTTTTTTCATGGATTTTCATGTGCTTTAGAAGACTGTTTTCAGCGTAACAACCTAAAAAAACTCTGTTAGTTTTTGTTTTTGAGTTCTTGCCTTCATTTGGGGGGAACAAGAAAGTTTTTCCTTTATCATTTTTCCATTAGAGCCAATGTTGTTTAATAAAAAAGATATGAACATTTTTTGACAAAACCAGGGAGCCACTGGATGTCACTGACCTATCCTACACCACAATCCACACAACAAGGTCTGTTTCCATCTCATGCTAAAAATACTAAAAATCACTGCAACACTGCACGGAGTTTAATTCTTGTGCTTTGGGTTTGTGCTATTTATTAATTGTTTTAAACGTTGGGTTTCTTACAGAGGCACTTGTACGCCTCAAATAAGGCCTTTAAGTGCTAAGGACAACCATTTTACTCCTCTTTTATAATAAATATACCTTATTCTATCAGGGCTGTCAAATGACAATTTGAAGGTTAATTTGTGGGTTATAATTTAACCTTAAAATTGACATTTGACAGTTTTATGACAGCCCTGATAGAATAAAGTTTATTTTTTTACAATAGAGGAGTAAAATGGTTGTTCTTAGCACTTTAAGGACTCTTTTAAGGCTTACTATGAGAAACAAAACGTTTAAAACGATTATTAATCTGTATAAACAGAGCACAAACCCAAAGCACAAAAATTTTAAACAACAAAAATGCCGCCGTTAAACTGTGCAGTGTTGCAGTGATTTTTTATATTTTTAGTACGAGATAAGAACATACCTTGTTGTGTGGATTGTGTCCTATACAGGGTTCTGATTTTGTCCACTTTTTTTTATTTCGTCCATGACGTGGTCAAAATTGGACAAAAATTCTATTTTAATAAATTTGTTGGTTTATTTTGTATTACCTACTACTATTATAATTATAGTATAACAAATAGTACCACAAAATTTGATTTTTTTCCCTCCCATGAAAAATTCCTATAGATTTTGAAAATAGACTTAAAAAAATGATACCCGTGTCTCGGCGTTTTTTCAGATCACGTCATTTATTTTTTTAAGTGCGATTCAATAAAATGTTATCCTCGGTATTTGGCACATAATAAACATTTATTCACTGAATAAATGGACAACCATTAAAACTATTTATTTATTTTAAAATTATTTTAATTATATACAAAGATGTCGATTTGAAATTTTTAAAGCGTTTATTATTCAATTAAGCCTATGTACATCAAGTGGTGTTTTTTAGGTTATGATACCACTATAGATTCTAAAGCAATGTATAATCGTCAAACTAAAAGATCAAGATTTGTTTTCAACATATATTTAATATAAGATAAATACAAATATTTTCTTTAAGTATTATGTAAAAACAAAGTTTAATGGTCGTTTGTCGGATCGTAAATGTGTTAATTTCGGTGTGCCTCAAGGAACAGTGTTGGGTCCCACTTTGTTTTTACTTTATGTTAATGATATTGTTCATGTGGTGAGGAATTGTAAAATTGTGTTTTTTGTTGATGACACCATGTTATATGTAATTTGTAAAGACCTTAAAGAAATTATCAAAACTATAGTTATAATAATGAGTTGCAAAGTCCTTTTGAATATATGTGTGATAATAATATGTATATTAATGATAAGAAATCTAAATATTGTGTGTTCAGTAAGAAGTCCAGACTGTGTGATGTTGACAAAATAAATATTGTTATAAATAATAAAAAAAATTCCCAAGCCAATTAGGTATGTGATGAGAAAATATTCTCAAAAAGTTTTCATTATGTAAAAAAAATTTGTTATACAATTCAATTTTGGCGCCACATTTACAAACTTATCGCTAAAACAATTAAATGAACAAATTTGTGGTTATGTTTTTTCATTTTATTTGAAGCGCAGCTACGAACGCCATCTATATTCAAATTAATCCAAAGTTGTATGAATTTAGATTTTTTCTATTGTCCGGCTGTTCCTTTCAGTTTTTTCTAATGTATTTTTATTAATTATGTAAGGCCCACTACCGGACCAGGCTGAATAGTTTGTTAAATAGAAGTTGTTAGATAGAAGAGCCATTCCATGCCAAATCAACACACTTTAAAAAGAAATTTTTCCTCACCATTTCAGATTTTCCTAAAATTTGGTATACTTATACTATGTACTAAGACTAAGAAAAATACCAATTTTTAAATTTTTATCTCACACCGTTTCCGATATATGGCTATGTAAAGTTTTTAAAAACTCGCGAAAAAAGTGTGAACGTTTATTTTTTAAATTAAGCTGGAAGCTGTCCTAATTTAGTTAGAAAGCTGGGAGAGGTGTCATTTTGCAGCATTTTAAATGCTCTTTCAAATGACATACGACTGCCAAGGGTATTAATGAAAAGATTTTGTTCAAAATCCATATATATATTTTGATTAAAATTTTTTTTTAAAAGTACATAATTTAAAATTCTCAAAATATTTGTATAAATACTTGGTAGTGTTCTGAATCATATAATAAAATATTAATGTGGGGTCTTAATGGGTTCATTGTTAAAAAAAATATTTCTGATGCTGGTTTTTCACTTTTAACTAATTTTGACATTATTCAACGTTTATCAGGCCTAAGCCTGACAATTGTATTTTTTTTATAATATCGGCTGTCATCATTCCCGACTTGTGTAATTTAATTACTGTGATACGCTTGTTTTGGCGATTCATATTGAACTAAATTTTAAACAAAACAACATAAAATGAATATTTTCAAAAATATAAGGGCCATTCCAGGCGTAACGGATAGGACAGTTGCCGTGTAAAAACTAATAATTTAAAGCGTAACGGACGGGACTTTGTAATAGTCCCGCCCGTTACGCTCTAAATTATTAATTTTTAAGGAATTAAACAGTCAATCACGATACCTAATTTTGCCAAATAAAAACCTTGTTAAACAGCTTTTGTTTAGAACTATTTATAAAAATTTGACATTGGTAATATAATAGAACAATATTATTTTGTAAATAAAAACTCGGCAACTGTCCTATCCGTTATAGTCTAAGATCCCAAGTAAGGTCGACCTTCACCCATCTGCTTACCAGATGAAAATTATATTTTATCAAATAAAATATGTTTCTGAACATAAACCAATAGGGTTGCCATAAAAAATATGATCAAGGCTAGCTATAATAAATAAAAAATTAAAAAAAAATAATTAATTTTTTAAATTTCACCGACTTGCTTGCCAAATGAACGAAATTCCAATGGAAAGCATACAACATACAGAATATGTAACAGCTAGGTTGCCTACCTTTTTCTGGTCCCTATTCCTGGTTGCTTTGTACAGGGTGATCCCCTATAATGTCGCCCCCCTTTAACTTTTTTATTTTAAGTGTCCCAAAAAATTTAAAAGTGTGGTTATGTAGGAACTAAAAAATACTTTTTTTCTACGTATAAAGAAAATTGGAAAATTGATCAGTATGCAGGGAAAACAAAAAGTTTATTTTTTTCAATGGATCACCCTATATATGAATTTATTTTTCGATTCCTTGTAAAATTCTAAGCATATTTCATATATCATACCATATACCTAAATTCAACCGTTTCTGAAATATTTAAATTATTTTTAAGATAATAAGTTGAAATAGTTTGTTTTTCTCTGTCTGAGTACGCCATTTTTACTTATTTAACAACACTTATTGACATAATGTCACTATAGTAATTTATTTTCAATAAAAATTTTGGTATACTGAGGCTTCTTGATTTCTAACAGTTTAAAAAAACATTTAATGATGACATTTCGAATGCGAATATTTCAGAAACGGTTGAATTTAGGTATATGGTTTGTTATATAAATTATGCTCAGAACTTTACAAGGAATCGAAAAATAAATTCATATATAGGGTGATCCATTGAAAAAAAATAAACTTTTTGTTTTTCCCTGTATACTGATCAATTTTCCAATTGTCTTTATACGTAGAAAAAAAGTATTTTTTAGTACCTACATAACCACACTTTTAAATTTTTTGGGACACTTAAAATAAAAAAGTTAAAGGGGGGCGACATTATAGGGGATCACCCTGTACAAAGCAACCAGGTAATAGGGACCAGAAAAAGGTAGGCAACCTAGCTGTTACATATTCTGTATGTTGTATGCTTTCCATTGGAATTTCGTTCATTTGGCAAGCAAGTCGGTGAAATTTAAAAAATTAATTATTTTTTTTTAATTTTTTATTTATTATAGCTAGCCTTGATCATATTTTTTATGGCAACCCTATTGGTTTATGTTCAGAAACATATTTTATTTGATAAAATATAATTTTCATCTGGTAAGCAGATGGGTGAAGGTCGACCTTACTTGGGATCCTCTACTATTAAGCGTGGAAGGGTTCTAAGAACCCTAATAATATCGGCTGCCTACATTCCCGACTTTTTTAATTCAATTACTGTGATACGCTTTTTTTGGCGATTCATATTGAACTAAATTTTAAACAGAACAACATAAAATGAATATTTTCAGAAGTGAAAGGGTTCTAGGAACCTGCTCGAGCGAACAATTTCCGCGAAAACCTTATTGATAAATTTTAAACTCGCTTAAAAAAAAATTCAGGGAACTTTTATCGGACCCTGTATATATTCGTAGTTTATTTAAAAATAAAACTATAAATGAGGTGTGTTTAAAGTGATTTTGGTGTCAACATGGAGCCTACTATTGTAAGAGTGCAGTGTTATAATCCAATGAAAAAAACAAATCATTTTTTTTAACATGAACCCATTAAGACCCCACATTTATATTTTACTATATGGTTTAAAACAGTACTAAGTATTTATACAAATATTTTGAGAATTTTAAATTATGTACTTTTTGAAAAAAAATTGAATCAAAATATATATATGGATTTTGAACAAAATCTTTTCATTAATACCCTTGGCAGTCGTATGTCATTTGAAAGAGCATTTAAAATGCTGCAAAATGACACCTCTCCCAGCTTTCTAGCTGAATTAGGACAGCTTCCAGAGCAATTTAAAAAATACACGTTCACACTTTTTTCGCGAGTTTTTAAAAACTTTACATAGCCATATATCGGAAACGGTGTGAGATAAAAATTTAAAAATTGGTATTTTTCTTAGTCTTAGTACATAGTATAAGTATACCAAATTTTAAGAAAATCTGAGGTGGTGTGGTGAAATGGGTGTGTTGAGTTGACATGGACTGACTCAGAAGTTGAAAATAAAAAAATTTTAAAAACACGATTTGAACTTTAAAACTCAAAAATCTTGACTTAAAACGCTTCAAATATTTTTAATATATTTTTTTCGAAAAGTACATTTAAAAACGAAAATTTTATATAGAATTAACATTTTGATTTGGACCATTTTTTAAGAAGTTATGAGCGAAAAACAAAAAAAAACCCGTGATCAAAAAAATCTCAAAATTTACTGAGGAAGCCTTTCAAGGAGTACTAAAAAATATAAAAAAGTTGGAGAAATCAAAAAAAAAATTTTAAACCATCCGATTTGGCGTGGAATGCCCCATATACATAGATATATCTAAACTATAGTTTATATCAATTTCATTTATGTAAACCATGTAGCATTTGAATTTTATTTTTGTAAACCATGTAGCATTTTGCTAAATGAATGAATATTATTATTATTATCACTTATTTGGTGACGCCCTACATAAATCTTACCTTTGTTGCATATTTTACAGACAAACGGCTTCTCTCCGCTGTGCTTGAGCATGTGTTTGCTGAGCAAAGTCGGATGTATGAATCTTTTGTTGCAAGTCTTGCACTCGTGCGGTTTTTGTTCGTCCGGCACATGGGTCCTCATGTGGTTGTTGAGGTAGTTTTCCTCGGTGAATCCCCTCGGACACAGTTTGCACTTGAAGGGCCTGTCTTCTATGTGAGTCCTCAGGTGCTTCCTGAAGGACTTCATGTTGACGAACTGTTTTTTGCACACGTTGCACTGGTTGGTGTTGCGTTTCAACAGTTTCTTGGAGGACATTACTGAAAAATAATTTTGTTTTATGGTCGAAAGTCATTAATCGTAAATGGTGTAGTTAAATTTTTTCTGACCCATACTTTTTATGGTTTTATTCAAGGCGTTTTGTAATTTTAAACATTTCTGTGAAATCGGAATTTCAATTGAGTTTACCGTTTTCAAGATATTTACAAAAAAAAATCTCCTAATTACGTCACTAGGCTATTGACAACGTTGCCAGCTTTTCCTATGGTTGCCAATGTGTTTAGTTTAAGATTCTTACGATAGATGGCGCCACGTTAATATTTTAGTTTTAAAACCACTTGATCTATAATTTTAGTTGAGAAGAAGAAGAAGAATTGATTTTTAGACGTTTCTTTTTTTCGAGTTATGTTTTTTTAAATTTAGATTATTGAAAATCAATGTTATTGTTATGTTATTTGTAATTGATATTAGATAAGTGATTTATTAATAACGGACTCCAAAGCAGAGGAATCTTGTGGAATGGTTGGTTACATTGAACATTGGAGCTTTTAAACAAATAAAGTAAGTACCTATAATCATATAATCATATTTTGTCGTAAATGCATTTCATTAGTATAATGCCTAGTTCTTTATATTCTTTTAAATATATCTTGGACTCTAAAATATCAAACAGTAATATGATACCTACTGATACTTAATGAATTTGGTGACCATCTTTCACTCAACTGACAGTGACAGTATTTGTACATAACCTCTTCGGGTATTTTCTGACATAACCGAATGAAATCATTAACAAGACAACTTGACAACAGGGTAATTTTCAACCAATAGAAATCTTAGAATGTTGGTCACATGGCGAGGTTTGTGACGTCATAAAAATTTATATTTTTTGTAAATTTCTCGAAAACGGTAAACTCAATTGAAATTCCGATTTCACAGAAATGTTTAATATTACAAAACGCCTAGAATAAAACCATAAAAAGTATAGGTCAGAAAAAAATTTAACTACGCCATTCTTACACGCACCGTTTCCGTTGTTCTTCGACATCATTTTCCTTTTGCCCATCTTCCCTTTCTGCATTTTGGCGGCCTTCAGCAACTGCTTCTGCGCAATAGCTTTCTCGTCTGCGGGGTTGTCGGGCACAGTGGTGGGCATCAAGAAATAATCGTCGTCGTCGGAACTTTCGCTGGAGCTGGAGTCCATGCCGAAGCTGTCCAATAAGGAGTAGTCGTTTTGTTGCTGCTGCTGCTGAGGCGGCGGTGTAGGTTCCTCCTTCATTTGTTTGGTGATGAGCGGTTTGCCTAAGTATTGGCGCAGGTTGCAGTCCGACTGTTCGCATAATCGTTTGAATGTGTAGGAGCTGATTATTTGGTGGTAGCATTCTAAGCAGACTAGGGTTGGAAGACCGTCGTCGTTTGTTATCTAGAAAGATTTTGTAATGTAATTGTAATATTAATTAAACATGCAGATAATTGGAGAATTTTTAAAAATCTCGTATAATTTCCTAAATATATATTATAGTCGAGGGGTCACCCACACCTGGGAATCCCTGGACATTTTAGAGGGGGAATACCATAGGAATACAATGGAAATACATAGGAATACAATAAAATATAATGGGAATACATGGGAATCCCAGGACGTTTTCCCTTTGGGTGGTTGACCCCTCGATTATAGTATATAAAATCTATATTCTTAAATACAGTGACATAAAAGTTTTAATTTTTTAAATTATGTTTGACATTCTTTCCCTAATGATTTTAAGTGTTTTTGACATTCTAAATTGTGTTCTAATAGTATATTATGTATCAAGTTTGATAAACGCCATTTTAGACACGAATTTAATTTAGGCACGAGAGAGCTTGAGAGCGAGTGCTAATTAAATGAGTGCCTAGGAGCATTAAAAATTCTTACACGGGAAATGTTAAAGGTACAAAAAGTGACAGTTGTATTTATTGGAATTGCCGTTAGAATTTCCAACTTGAGAATCTACCGGCTTTAAAATGTCAGATTTTTCTGTGTAAATCAAAATTTATCCCTTGAAAGTAGACTAGCAATCGATATAAAAGCAGTTTTTCACAATAAAAGAGAAGATAATGTTTTATGGGCACTGTAAGCGAAATTTTTAACGCTTTATGAGTTAAATCTAGTTAACTACACTACTAAGGCGAAATTAAAATTATCATTTCGAATATTGGCGTCAAGGTACGAGTGGAAAAACATTTTTAAGGTAGTAGGTATATCTCTATTTAAAGAGTGTCCATAGAGTGTGTCAAAATGTAATATGATTTTCTAAGGCACAAATAATTTCAGATTTTTTTACAGCACAGATTTCAATAGTTAAATTTGTTTTCATACGCCTTTTCATTCTCCCGAGGTCGCTGATAAAATATTCCATAGAAAATAATAAATGTTGGGGTTTTGTAAATCATTTGATTGAATAATGCGCATTATCTCGAGTGTAATACTATGCTTTATCTACTCCAATTAATAACAAAATTTATTATGACCTCAGTTGAACCGATTATAAAGATAATAATTATTGTAATATTTTTAAAATTAAAAACGCCTGTATATAGAATAGGTAGGTACTTGTATATGGTAAAAATAAACATTCTGCTATTTTTTTTAGTTCCTTTCACCGCACCAAAACCGTGTTAAATATAAAAATTATAATATTCAGACGGAGGAAGAAAACAGTACAAAAAATTGTTTCAATCCAAGATTTTTCTTTTTAGCATAATTAACTTTTATAAAATAAAGTACCTAATTTAATTCTCAATTTTAAAAATATAAAAATATAAATATTTTCATATATCAGATTAAGCGGGGATCAGCCGATTTTTTTTTTGAAAATCAAAGTGTCAAATTTTAGAAGTTACTAATGTTCAAAATAAACATTTTGGTGACAATATTAATTTTTAAAATTGACAGGGGCCCCCATTTAGCGTGATTTTATTTTTGAAAATCGATTTGCCCAATTTTGGAAAAGTAAGTTATAGGTACTCTAAAAAAATCTTGTCTCAAAAAAAAAATTCTAACCGTTTTTTACCCCAGTCTGATTTTTATAATTTTTATATCTGGGGCGGTGGAAGGCATTAAAAATATATTTTTTTTACCAAAATATTTATTTTTATACACACAAGTTTTCAATTTAAAAAATATTCATATTTCTCTCCACCCTATTGTAGAAGGCGCTTGTATATAAAAAAATGACATTCGTTAACCTCACTTTTTCTCAATTTAAAACCCGATTGGTTCAAATAGCAGTGAATATTGAAATCGAGCAATCACTGATGCCTAACAACGTGAATAATGAGCTCATTATTCCCGTTGTTATTTGGGGCGATTATATTAATACATATAACCAATTGGTTTAACCGATTTGGTTCCCAGGAGTAAAAAAAGTACCTAAAGGTAGTTTGCAACTTATAAACTTCTCTAGATACTCGTTTTTATTAAACACTCGCTCGTGCCTAATAAAACTCTGGCGTTTATAAAGCTTGATTCATAAGTTATATATTATTTTCGAATAATATTAAGTTATAAAAACTCAAAAGAATAGAAAGAGAAAAAATTATTATTTTTCAAATAGGTAGGTACCTACATTTTTTTATTACTTTATGTTAGGTACTGTTCTATTTGTTTTAAGTAATTGACTTATTTTTTATTTTGTTTATATTTTTGGTTTAGAGATATCCTAGATAAAAAAAATAGATACCTATGCAGTAAAAAGAGAAAACCATACCGGACGCCTTACATTCTAAACCCATCAACATTTTAAAACACCTCAGCCAAAAATCCAACAGTCCCTCAATCTTCCTTATTTTTTTTTTTAACTCCTACCTGTAGAGTGGCCATCTGCATCAACATATCCGCCAAAGCCAAGCTGTGCCCGATGGAATCGTCCTGAAAAAACAGCGAACGCATTTCGTTCTTCTCGTTCAAGCAAGTCCTGCATATTTTGCTTGCGTCGAACACGGGGTCGAGCTTAACCTCCATCGGTGAGCCGCTCGCTCGGCCAAAAAACGTAAACACACACACAAATAAACAGAAGACGATATCGCGCACAGCAGCACTTCCACTGGACGATTGTCCCTTGTCCCTTGTTGTCGGACAGACAAACAGTAAAATGGCCGATCTCCGCTTTCCCTAAGCACCACTGACATAAGGATCAATTTTCCGCAGTATTTTATTGAACGCTTTGAAAGCTGTTTCCCGTCGGATAAAAATCCCATTTCGCATTATAACCAACGGAAAACATGATATCTCAAAGATCCAGTGATGCCAGATTGGGCGCTTATTCTATGTCAATTTTAAGGTTAATTTGTGGATTATGATAACTTCACGATAACCTTAAATTAAATTAAGTTACCAGATTCTGTCAAAAAATAGCGGGACATTTTGTGTGAATTAACCTTAATTATAAAAATGACACAATCAACGTCAAATTTACAATTTGCATTGTATCATTGTATCAATTTTGTAATTAAGGTAAATTTATACAAAATGTCCCTCTATTTTTTGACAGAATCTGGTCACTTAAGTAAGGCTTAATTAATTAATTGTATTCAAAGGTTAAGGTGGGACGTTTTGATGTGGAGCATGGTACATTTAATAGTATATTATGTATCAAGTTTAATAAACGCCATTTATGTATAGAAAAGTTTATAAACGAGGTGCATACTATACTTTTTCTACGACAAATACTTATTATTATCTTAAAATGATTTAAATCAAAAATATGTACTTATAGAGCGCAATCTATGAAACAATAGGGGAATCTGTGTGTCACCGTCAAATCGCGACCTGAGAATTGTTCTATCTCCCAAAATTTAAAGAGGAACAAATAGCAGTTTAAAGTTTAATTTATATACAAATGAAATTTTAAAAAGCTGTTTTTCCGTGTCAGATTTTTAAAAGATAGAATCTCTCAAAACCTAAACACGCAAAAACAGCTTTTTAAAATTTCATTTGTATATAAATTAAACTTTAAACTGCTATTTGTTCCTCTTTAAATTTTGGGAGATAGAACAATCTATAATTCTCAGGTCGCGAAATGTCAAATTTTTATATTTTATAAATACAATTATAAAGGTTATAAATCGAAATGTATTTCTTGAAAATTGACAGTTTTTCACAGTGAAAGTAAAGAAAATGTTTTATGAGCACTTTACAGTGGAGTTCGTGCCCGAATTTAAGTTATAGTTTACTTCCGGCGAAATTAAAAGGTCAGTACAATGTTCATATAAACTTTTCAAATATTGGTGTTGAGAAACTATTTAGTACTTTTGTATTTTTGTATCGAGATAATAAAATAATTTTCACATTTAGTACCTATTATTTTACAAGAAAGGCAATTTATTTTAACGATTGTAAGACATTTGACAACTGTCAACTAACTTAAAACTAACTTCAGCCCGTGACTAAAAACCTGTTGCTAACTTCAGCCCGTGACTAAAGCGCCATAAAGCAACAACTTGTCAATGTGTATTTAAAAGGTCATGAAAACATGTACGATAAAGGGCGTTTTAAAGGTGGGAGTAGAAAAAAATTAGGTATATAAATAAAAATGTCTTCCCAAGCTTTCAATTATCTGGCAACACTGGTTTAATCCGCTAATCTTGACGTTTACAGAGAGAGGTGCATAACCTCAATCAACAACTATGACATTCCGATATGCCATTTATTTTCTTATTCATTCGTGTTTTTTGTTATTGCTGGGTAGTGCAAATGACTCCTGTATTAAAAACGAGAAAAATAACTGTTCTGAAAAGACAGTTAACAAATATGCTAAAGGTTTTTATACAGAATACCGTAATTATGTGATTTTTAAATAGGTAGTTTTTAGATGTTAATATGAAGTTTAAGAAGTATTACAGCCTTATAGAGGAGGCTAAAGAGGGTTATAAACCTTGTAATGCAACTAAATGTGGTTGTTATACAAATGTAATAAAAAACGACTTGACTGTTTTTAAGAAGAATGGTATATCGGAGAGGGATATACAAAATATACAATCAAAGTAAGTTTTTATCTAAAGAGTCTAATTTTATGTGAAGAAATGTTTTGTAGGGGCACAAAATACCAAATAATTGACAATAAACTCTTCAGAGAAAAAAACTGTATGTTCCCTTCAAGATGTTCAGGTATAGAGCATTTTTTACTTGAGTTAATACCAACATTGCCCGACATGGATTTAATTATAAACACTAGAGATTGGCCTCAGGTTCCAAAACAATACGGCGTTTTCGGGCCGGTTTTTTCATTCTCAAAGACCTCCGATTATCATGACATCATGTACCCTGCATGGGCTTTTTGGGAGGGGGGTCCAGCTATAAGTTTGTATCCCAGGGGAATTGGTAGGTGGGATAGTCATAGAAAAATGTTGGGAAAGTTGGGGAATAGAACTGATTGGGATGATAAAGTTCCCAAAGGGTTTTTTAGAGGATCTAGAACTAGCTCTGAGAGAGATTCCTTGGTTTATTTATCTAGAGAAAAGCCAGATTTAGTGGATGCACAATACACCAAAAATCAAGCATGGAAGTCGGATGCAGTAATAAATGAAATAAAAATGTTAATTTTGTTTTTTAACGTATTTTTTATAGGACACCTTACACATGCCACCAGCTGCTGAGGTGTCTTTCGAAGACCATTGTAAGTACAAATACCTCTTCAATTTTAGAGGTGTGGCTGCTAGTTTTCGCCTAAAACACATCTTGCTGTGCAAATCGGTGGTTTTTCATGTTGGCAACGAATGGCAGGAATTTTTCTACGACTCTCTCAAACCCTGGATTCACTACGTCCCCATCGAAACGAACGCTTCTAAAGAGAAAATCAAAGAAATTCTTGAATTTATCATCGAAAATAACGATATCGCCAAAGAAATTGCCGAGAATGGGTATAATATGATATGGGATAATTTAAAGTTGGGTGATGTTAGCTGTTATTGGAGAAAACTGCTTAGAAGCTACGCAAAAGTTTTAACTTATAAACCAGAGCTGGATAAAAATCTAATTGAGATTAAAAAACGTTAAAACAATATGGTCAAAAGTTTAGTGTTGCATGATTGTATGTTGTATATTATTTATCAAAATTAAATTATTCCATATCCAATTATACATATACAAAATGGCGAAATACTTTAAGGGCCACAGGGGTTTATAAATATAAATTAGTATTACAAAGAAAAAGGAACAAATGAGTCTAATAATAATGACAATAATTAAATTAAGGACAATAATATTTATAAATGTAAGGAATATACAAAATATTTACCTACATTTAGTTTTTGTGATATTAGTTGCAACTTTTAGTAAAATTAAGGAAATCTCTTACAAATATTATACATTCCTACTGTAACAGAAAATATACATGCCTAATAATATTTACTGAATATATTAATAAATAAAAGTATTATAGCTTTAATATTTTTTTTAATGTAAAAAAATGGACATCAAATACGTATTCAAAAAGGTAGCTCACAAAATATTAAAAAATGGATTAGGGTGTAAAAAAATGTATGCTTTAAAACGTTAATAATTTATTATAAATATTTGCATTTTACTTAAAAATCTTACTGTTAAATTTATTTGTTACGTTAAGTTGTTTTTAATGCTTTTTATTCCATATAGGGCTTAATGTAATATTTTAATAAATGTTGTCACAGTAAACATTGTTTTTATTAAATTAAACAAACATAACTTTTATACTGCAAATCTCTTTATTGGTCAAATTTTAACAATAAAATACAATTATTTGGGTAAAATTACTCCATTGCTAAAATCCAAGCAGAACTGGTCTACAAATAAATAAAACTACGAAACGAATAAATAAATTACAAAAAATATGTTACTGTAACATACCGGTAAACCTAAAAAATTACAAAATCGACTCGATGTCGAAGTTGCTGTCGCTGGCGTACAAAAATTCGTACATCGACTGCGCCAAATCGTCGATCGCGTCCTCCTTGCCTGGCATCCTCGCCGATTTCCCCTGCCTCCTCAACTCCACATCTCCATCAAAGTCGTCGTCGGAAACGCCGTTGTATTTTTCCCTGACGTCCTTCATGATGCAGGCCTCCAATTTCTTGTGCTTGTAGCATTTGAAGAAGAACATGGGGCGGATCAGCTCGCGGGAGAGCGGGGATTTCTCTTTTTTCACCTCTGGCACGCATTGCTGAAATAAGTTTTTGAAATTCAAAATTTGAATGGTTAGTTCGGCCTGTAACACCAGGTGGCGCAGCTGATGTAACAGATGGCGCTTCTAAAACAACCTCTCTGTTGAATATAGAAAATCAAAATAATGTATCTTGTAAGACACCATTGAGTTTGACTTTAACTTTAGTTTAGATTTGAGGTTGGTAGATGAAGTATGATTTTGAATTAAACTGTCTTGGACTATCTTCATCTTTGATTCTTTTATAACACAACGTTTCAATCAACTATCTGTGATCGTTTTCAAGTGTAGAACGATAGTTTTACATTTTGAAATTTGATCATTCTACACTTGAAAACGATCACAGATAGTTGATTGAAACGTTGTTTTATAAAAGAATCAAAGATGAAGATAGTCCAAGACAGTTTAATTCTTTAACTATAGTCTTGCATAGGTATAGAGGCGAAAAATATGAAAACAAAGCACAATTCAATACAGTTCTGATAAAACAGGGAGTCAGCCTATACACTTCTATATTTTTTCTTTTGCTGTGTTCCTCTGTTTTAAAATTCTGTTAAAGTGTTATCTTTGATTTTTTGCTGTTGCAGTTCTAAAAACTATTTCTCACCGAAAACTGCTGACAGAAGGTGACGCCATCTTGCATGTCGCGCTTCAGTTCCTCGCTGACCGGCAAGTTGCCTATTCTCTCGCTAATTTTTTCGAAGTTTGGTTCCAGATTGTCGTCCAAGTATCCCAATTCTTGCATCACGCATGTCACGTTACGCACTCTGCCGCTCATACGCGACGTGAGGGCTTCCAGTTGGCCTTTAATGTCCATGTCCCTCTGCAAAAATAAAGATGTCAGAAAAATGTTTTTTCTTATAAATTTTAAGTCAACTTACCGACATTCTGTTGCCGAAATACTGTTGGCCAACCATGGGGAAACCGTATGGGTTGAATGGCATTTGTTGGTAAGCACCTGGATAGAACATCGGGTTAGGTTGGTACCCTTGGAAAGGATTGTTATAAAAACCGGGAACCCCTCCGTTATAGGGTCTCAATTGGGGATTTTGAGGAAGAGTTGCACCCTGAAACAAATAAGATTATGATCGATTTCTATACCAGCAAAATTTAATATTAATAGAATTTGTTGTGAAACTTGACTAAAGCGCCACAATTGTCGAAAAAACAAATATATTGTGGAGAAGTTACAAGATTGCAACAGATACACTATAAATAGTATTAATTTGCACAATAGAGTTGAAATCTGTTAAAATGTTAATCTTTTGTACAATTTTTTAATTAATTCGTATAAATATAGTATAACTTTGAGTTAAAATATAAATTTTACAATATTGTACAATTTGTTCGGGAGTGAAGCATCACACCACCTAAGATAACCAATGAAATGATTTCCCGCTTGAAATAGGACGCCGGTCGCTCAACTGCAATCTGCATCATTATTTTGCAGTTTTAGTTAGTGTTAGGAAGTGTATCATTGTGAGGTTAGTACCTACCACATTTATGGTGAGTAATTATTGAATATTATTTTTCGGAATAGGTAGGTAGGTATTTGCAAAATTGTTCAGAGACTGGGATAAATCAATAATTATGACATGGTGATCAAATGAGGATAAAAAGTGTTTCTATGTTCCTACTGTGCTACATTATTGATCAGCTTACTATTTACTTTAGTTTTTAATTTATGTTTATTTTATGTTTTCAGTTTATATTAACTTAATTTTATCCTTACAAAATTTTTGTGTTGGTCGGTGAATACATATTTAATCTATCGACATTTGTACTATTACTTATAAGTGAAGACGCACTTCATGTTGAATTATATCTCAATATTATTAGAATTAGCTATACGAATTTTATTTTTCAGTTTGTAGTTTATGTTTTGTTATGTTTAATTTATGTTGTCAGTGTTACTTTATTTTAAGTTTAGGTATTCTATTTTCCATATTTTTGTACAAGTCGCTGAATACATAGGTATATAAATTAATAATTTAGTTTCATTTGCCTTTTTACCACCCTCCCAAAAATTATTAAAATTTTTAAACAAATTGGAGAAATTATTGTCAAACAATGTTGTGTTATAATGTGCCACAATTTGTGCAATTTCAACACAAAATATTATATTAAAAAAGTCTAAAATACTCATTTACTTACACAAATTATGAGCCAATTAGATTTAAATATGTTCAAATGTCAAATAAATTATGTAAGTTTTTAATATAATAAGTTTACTACAATTGGACGGCTTTCTGCAGAATGGGACCAACCCACACCATGATGAAACTGAGAAAAAAGCTATCAAAGATTTTAATAATTTTAAAATTACCTGTTAATTTTATGCCGATTTTGGACTTACGGAGGTTTAAGGGATATAATTTAATAATTTTATCAGGTGGATTTTGTGATGTTATGTGTAAGGGTGACGAAAAAAATGGGCTTTTGTTGGTTGGTTCCTTTCTGCAATTTATGAAAACTACTATCTGATGTATGTATGTATTTAAAGAAAAGCGACATTTATTTATTTCCAAACAAAATACAACTGATATTACTATTATAATGGTAATATGAATTAATTTTGATTCTATTTGAAATTCGTCCACATCATCTTCCAACCCCACCTCATCTTGTAAGCTACCAAAAAATGCATCAAGACTTTATATTTTGCAGAAGCAGGAAATCTTTAAAGACTTGGTAGTGGGTCTACCAGCCTGCTTTTTTACAAAAAAGATCCAACCCACTTGCAGATATTCTACAGATTCTAATTCTGGATTAGTAATCCACACTATTATTGAATGTTGGTTGGTTCAATGATTAATAGATTTCACTACACTTGCATTTTGGCTATGACGTATTTTGCAGATAAATTATACATACTTAATTAGTTCATAGGCTAAATATCTCGATTTTTTTGGTTTTGTGGGTTGGTTCCTTTCTGCAGAAAGGCGTCCAATTATTTGCTACAATTTAGCACAAATAGTTCCTGTCACCTTTTAGCACCAATTTGTTGAACAAATTCATACAATTATGAAACCAAATCCAACATAATATTTGTCGTAGAAAAAGTATAGTATGCAACTCGTTTACAAACTAAAATGGCGATACTCGATACATAATATACTATAGTAAACAAATTATAGCATAATTGACAAAATATAAACTTACTGGTCTGTAGGCCAAAATGGCTTGATGTAATTTTTCCACATCGAAAGTTGGCGGTCCACCGTTGAATAACGACCCGTCTGGAAGGTTATTTTCCTCGGGTTGTTGCTGGTGCTGCTGTTGAGTTGGCGCAGGTGGCGCTGGTTGGGCGGTCGGCGCCACGGGCGCTTCGAATGCTGCGCACTTGGCGCAAGCCATCTTCATCTCCTTGCGAATCTGTTTCACCACTTCGGGGCCAAAGCAGCTCTCATAAATCTGAAAAAGAATAAAAATTTTAAGAATGTAGGGTAGAAATGTTTAAGAGTGCGCACCAAAGCATGCGCACTCTTAGGACGCGTTACCATATAAAAATACAAAAAAAGTATCTTACCTTCATCATGGCATATTTTTTGATGAATCGGTCCTCGCTGCCCCCAAAGGCGTTGACGCTGGCGATCACAATACCCAATATTAAAACGGCGGACTTCATTTTTTTGGAATATCTGCAATAGTAGGAAAAAAATGTGGGTTAATGGGTGGACCGGTGACCGAATACTTTTGGCACACTTGATTGAAACCAATTTATCAATGAATCGTTTAATTTGTTGTCAAAACATTTTTAACGTGTTTATAAATAGAAATTCGATCCTATTTACGTGTATAAACTTTTAAATTCATTAAGCAGTTTTAAATGAATAAAATTAAAGAAATATTTTTGGCAAACATACATTTTTATGCTGTTTTCATTCACCCTGTGTATAATTTATATTATTTATATGATTTTTAACAGGATATTGAGATTCCCACGATTCTTTATTTAATAGGTGCACTGAAAGAAATTTGTTGCTAAAAGTAAATACAAATTTATACTAAAAATTTTATACTAGTGCTTTACACATTTATACTACTGTTTATTATGAATGTATGGTAAATTTTGTAATACATTTATTGTAAAGAAGATATGTTAGATCTAAATAAAAATAAACTTACCCTTACTATAAAATGTAAACTATAAGTGAATTACAGCAAAAAAATATTGCTAGAAACACCATTTATATTGCTAGGGCAGCAATAGGCTGCTAACCAAACGAATATATTTGTTTTAGCAATGTATGTGGTAGTCTATATATGAAACATAAAATATATTTGCCCTAATTATTTTTTTATTTAACTTTAGTATATATTTCTTTCAGTGTGTTATCTTATTTAATTGCTACCAAAAATATGATGTAAATGGTATAAAACGACTTATAATAAAATATATAATTACATTTTATTCAAGTTTTTATACTTTCTTCTTATCTATCAACTAACTATTAAGGATGTCAATTTACTTGTTTTCTGTATAAAATAATAATAATAATAATAGCAATAGCCACTGTGGTAGCTCAGTGGGCAAATAAAATCAAATTTATTTTAAAATTAATAGGGTAAATAACATAAAAAACACTATACATAGAGCCGAAATGTGGTGATGTAGTTGGCTGTAAAAAGGCGCGTGGATATCCCATTTAAGTTTAAATAACTACAAATTAACTACTAAGTCAACTTTAAAGTATTTTTTACGGTTAACCAAAACGGTTTTATAACGGTATAGATACGAAAAATTTACAAATTTGGGGAATGGTTTATTTCGTTATTTTACCGACATAATAACATTTTTGATCTACTAAGAGAATAACGTAATAAAAACAATATAAATACCACAAATTTACGTAAAAATAACTGTTTGCTCTCTCTGTCTAAAACATTGACATTCGTAATTTCTTTGTTCTTTTAATTTATATTTTACAAAATGGTACTTACAAAGTAATAAAGGCCATCCAAAAGTAAAATTAAAAAATATAACTTAAATTGTCAAAACTAATAATATTTTGCATTAAAACTCAAACGCACATTATTTTATTGATAAAAACAGGCAAGATACATCTCAAAAATTATATGCCCTCTAAATATTTTACGGTTTTAAGAAAAATTATTGCTTGGGTAAAAATTCAACAAAACTTAAAACCTACAAAATTTTATAAAATCTTTTAAAAATCATTTTTTAAATCTACTAAAACTTTCCTTATTATATTTTAGAAATATATTTATGAAAAAATATTATATAAATGTTTAGATAAGTAATGGATGCCATCTTAAAAAACTCATTATGGCGACCTGAAGAAAAATTTCCCTTAAAGTTTTATTTTTCACTTTAAGCATATTTTTCCTTGTTTAGTCAATATTAATAGTATTTATTACCACTAATAACCCTCAAAATACCGCGATTAGGAATTATTTATGGTTATTTATTTATCGTTAAAATTATCGTTAAATTTTCCTTTAGGTGAAATACACTTATAAGTAATTTTCTTTCGTAAAAATTACGACCCTCATAATACTTTAAAGTGTTGAAACTTAAGGGTTATTAAAATAGTTAAAAATAACATAAATAAAACTTATTAAATAACTTTTACTTCAAAGTAAATTTTTAAGGTTAATTTAACAAAATGTTTACTTAAATTAAGTATCTATCGATAATTTTTTTAATCTCATTCTCACAGCACAGCACATTCAATATTCGATATTCAATGTGTAGTAAAGAATGATCTCATTAAAAAATATAAACTTATTATAAAACCTATTGTTTTTCTTGTAACTAATTAAGTATTATATTGGTTCGACATAGTTTAAACATGGATATTTTTTTAAACTACTTTTATGTAATAATCTTGACAACATTAGTATTCTTAAAACTGCCATGTAAAAAATCACTATATATATATAAAATAAAAACTAATACCAAAACATATTTACGACAATCGAAAAATTAATAAACAAATAAATAAAAGCAAAACGATAATTAATAATATTTAATTGCCGTTTCCTGTCTTCTCCATAACTGTTATTACTTAATTAATAATATTTATTCGCTCATTGGCTGGTTGCGTTATACCAACATTTAAACGTTTTAAAATAACAAATCCGTTGCGTGATGAGCAAATAATTTTTTAATGGGTCGATTTTCACACGAAACCACCGTGAACGTGATTGTATGGGAATAGATGTTTTTTTGTCAAAAATAAAAAAATATAAACTGCATATTTTGTCTCGTATTAAATATTGCATGTGTGGGATTCAATTTATCTTACTAACCGCTAGACATAAAAATGGGAATGTATAAAGAAATAAAATAAGAGTTTAAGTACCTACTTATAAATTGCAATAATCATATAATAATAATATTATTACTTATTACTATTTAGTAATTTCTTTATTGCCCAGCAGAAAAAGTTTACAAAAAAATATATTTTAGTACCTACATAATAAAAAATTAAAAAAAATATTTCAATTAAAAATTTATATCATTAGATGGAAGTACATTTTTATTTCCTAAACTATACAGTGTGTTTCATTTTGATTGGCAACATTTATTTAAAAAATATTTTGTAATGCTCGAAAACCTCTATATTTTGAAGAAAAAAATGTCATATGTCATTTCCATGGCCCTCTATGATTAATAGAACGTCTCCAAAAACTTCAAAAAATATTAAACATTTTTTATATTTAACAGACTGAATTTGGCATACCCAACAAATCCTATAACGATAATTTTGTTATAAAATTTAATACAGGTTGTTCAAAAAGTAAGGTCAAACTTGGACAAAAATCAATTTTTTAAACAGTCTGTATAAATTCTAGAAAAGATTTTTCAAACACATTCTGTCATTTCTCAAGGTACCTATTACACGAACTACACATTCGCTTACTTTTGTTACTCTAGCTTATACAGAGTGTTCACAAATTAAGGTCAAATATTATATAAAAATAATGGTATTTCAAATAGTAATATTAATGAACAAACTATTTATCTACCCCTATATTGACGAGCTGTGACTTTATGGCATTTTAGTCACGGGCTGAAGTTAACAACAGTGGATTTTGGGCATTTTAGTCACGGGTTGAAGTTAGCTTTATTGTAAATTGCGAAAAAGTGGGGTTAAATTTAAATTTGTCAAATGTCAAATATTAATGAATTAAAATTGGCTTTAAATTCTTGTTTCTGTTTTTCGTAGATAATTGTATATTAAAGAACTAATACTAACTAACTAAATATTCTATAAAAAAAATAATTTTATACCTTAAATTTAATTTGGTCAAATTTTACTTTAGATAGTTGGTATCACAGTCATTGGTTTGACAGTTAATGTCAAAATCGATTCGCCATACCGTCCTTAATTTACTTATTTACAATAAGCGGCTGTTAATGTTAAAGAAGAAAAAAAGGATTTTCTTTGGTGTTAAACAAATTTTTCGCCAGAAAAGTCTCGTAAGTACTAGAAAAATCATAAAAATATTATAGGTAACCAATATGCAAAATATTATGCTGTTTAAAGTATAGCCAACCTATAAAATCAAAATTTTGGGTGAGATAAAGTATCTCATTACAGCACCGAAAGCGGTGTTATAATTAAGTCATTATGAACGCAAAAAAGATAAAGTATAGCATGCAACTCGTTTTATAAACTTCTCTGGACACTCGTTTTTATTAAACACTCACTCGCCAGCTTCGCTCGTGCCTAATACATAATCCTGTATAAAATTTTATTACAAAATGATCGTTTTAGGGGTTTTTGAGTATTCTAAATTCAGAAACGCTATTCGCTTGTAAGTATATTTAAAAAATGCCTAGTAACTTTTGAAGTTTTTAGTAGTTCTTCTATTAATCATATGATGAAAATTTTGTTTTCAAGCACTACTAACTAAAAAATTTTGAATCGTATTTTTTAAAACAATTTCGAATTGTCGCCAATCAAAATAAAACACACTGTATGTCGCTTGTTGGTTAACGGTTTTAAAAATAAACTTCATGTAAATTTTCTGTTGACCAAATAAAAACAAAATCACGGGGGCCCTTTTAATAAAAAACAAACAACCACATAACATTCTCGTTCTCTTGATTCTTGGCAATGTAAAAAGCCACTTTGGAACGACACTGGTGCAAGACCGTGCCTTGCGTAGGCCGTCCTAACTGAACTTACGCATACGTAAAACGCAGAGAACCAGAAGTCGCCACCGTTATATTTATCTTGCTCGACCTGAGATGACCGTGGCGATCAAACACCAATAAAAAAACACACCGTAAATATTTTGTTGTATTGGCCAACTTTTTTACCACCAAATTGACTGGTCGAGTAGGTTTAATGTGTGTGTTACAATGTAGGTACTATTTTTATGGATGTGGAAAATAATAAAAAAAATTAATTGATTGAATTAAAAAAATATTTTGTAATTTACGTTAAAATTAATAGTTTATGCAGAATATTTTAAATACCTACATGGTTACCTATAGGTCGACTTATAAGTTATTTTTTCAGTAAAAAAATTACCTACCAAATATGGGGAATGGTTTAACATGTTATTTTTACTAGGTACATCATAACTATCCAATCGACCAAAAGAATAACGTAACAAAAACAAATTTATTACCTCATATTTACGTAAAAATAACGTTAAAATT